CTTCTTATAGAATCTATTTAAGTTTCTCCCGTATAAGAAGTTTCGATTCTTCACTAAATTAAGCTTCTAATTCTTCGTCTAAGTCTAAGTCGAAGTCGTATTATAAATTCGTTATATTATATTCTCTTAATACTTCTAGATTTACCTCGGCAATATGAATATTTAAAGCGCTTAGATCGTCTCTCTAGTGAGCGTAGGTAAAGCCCGGGTAGTTTCTTTTCCACGGGTATTCATCGTTTTAGTAGATTCTTATACTAAAAGTCATTTTAATCTTCGAAGAGAAGTTTTCTAGTTCGTATATCGTATAGCTATACTCTAGTACTAAAGAAGTATAATAAGGATCTAAGTATAATCTTCTTATTTAATATTTCGTTCGAATATATATACGCGTAAATATAATTATCATTAATATCGCTTTTCCACTATCGATACTTTCTTTAATCGCTACTATTTCGCCTTCTACTATATTAGCTTCGGGGGTGATCGTCGCTATTTCTTTAGTCTTAGGCTTCTTTTCGACGACCGTAATTTATTTTCTCTTACTTCTATAGTCTTTTACGTAATGATCTAGCTTATCGTAGCTATAGTAGATAAGTTTTTTTTCTTTTCTAAGATTAGATCTTTCTCTATCTTTACTCTTAGTATTACCGCGTCTTTTCTACGCTTAGTCTAGATCTATAGACTATAATCCGTAATAAGGTTTACGCCTTTTTTAAATATTAGCTCGCTACGCTCTTATCGTATAAGTTTTTCTAGTAATATTAAGATACTCGTACTAATAATATTCTCTAATATCGTTATCTTCTTTAATAGCCGCAGCTATTCATTTTTCTAATAGCTTTTCTTCTAGATATCGAAGTTCTCACTTAATTTTTAGCTTTAATTCTTCTTAAAAAATAGAAATAATAATATTATCTTATTAGCTAAGCTTCGTATTTAGCGTTCTAAACTTAGTTATATATTTCTAAATAAACTCTATTTATCGAAGGCTCACTATTTTCTTTTAAGCTTTCTTTTCTTTATTCTTCGCTCTAAATATTAATTTTATTATTTTCTTAAACTCTATAAACGTAGCGAAGAGACTAATAGTTTTATTCTTTCTATTATTCGCCTCGTTCTTAATATAATCTTTAACGAAGAGTCTAAGTTAAGCCTCGATATTATCTTTAAAATAATTTTTTATAAAGAGTATTTTCTATAAGTCGTTTTAGAAGTTAGTGAGATTTATTAAAATATATAAATCTATATAGTGAATAAAGAATATAAGTTTAAATTTTACGTTATTAAAGAACTTAGATAGATTACTAATCTTTTCTTTAGTTATTAGCGTAGATACGGTAGTAGTTATTATCGTTCTTAAGATACTTAGTATTAACCTCGGAGTACTAATAGTAATAAATATAGTATCGTTAAGAAATAGTCGTGCTATACGTCGTACTAGTTCGTTAATAGACGAGATAAGTCGGTTCGATATTCTCTAACTACTTATAAGGGTTATTCTTTCATAATAAGAATAATAGCTAAAGTATTAAAGATTCTACTAAGATTTAACTAGATTAAAGTTCTTAGTAATAATCTAAGTAGTATAAACTAATTAAAAAGAATATAAGATATAAATAGTCACTTATCACTAAGAACTATATAGTTTAATAGATAATATAAGTTAGCTACGAAGAGAATATAAGCTATCTAGGGGTAATGAGAGTGTATATATAATGCCCATACTCTATACGCTCTATGCGCTCTGTGCGCTCTGCTGGCAGAGCCCACAGAGCCAACAGAGCCAGTAGAGTATATTACGTAACTTAGCCTTGCTCTTTCGCGGACCCTTCCACGTGGCTAATGAACGTGGTGAGCCGCTCCTATGCAGCCCACGTATCAGGGACCTACGCAACGCAGTAGGTACAAAGGAATTGGAGTAGCTGAATGCCTTATTCTATTCACGTAGTCCTATTGACAACGACTCAACGCTTAAGAAAAAGGAAGAGTTCTCTCTCAGCCGATTCAGGTGAGAGGAGACTCTTATAGCTTCCCCTCTTTCTGTCACGTGAAAAGGGTAAGGCAGCGTTAACCGATAGCCTTGTGCCTCAACCGTCCTTTGCCTTATCCTTTCCTTTTCTTTCTATACCGTCCACCCGATTCGGGTGGAGGGCGTAGAGTACTTGGGGACAACGGTGGGCTCGTGACACCACGACCGGTCCTTTCTAAGGCCGTGTCTAACATCGCTGCCTTCGGTTTATCTAGACATCGCGCTATATCTTCTCCCCGTAGTTTTCCTAGCGCTGGACTTCGCCGTACTACCCCCTAGACAGGCGCCTCAAAGTAGATTCGCGCCTAGCGTTAGGGTTTTACGCCGTTTTCCTCGGTGGGTATGCGGTGTGGTTAGCGGAGTGTCAGAAGCGCAATGGCTTCTGGGCGTACCCGGTGCTGGAAAGGATCAGTGTTAAGGTGATGGCTATTGGGTTTGTTAGTATGACTGGGTTCTTGGGCGCTGTAAGGGAGCTATTACTGAGACTAAGCTCGGCTCAGCTTTAGAACTGACGAGTCTGGTTCTGCCATCTTATCCTAAGAATATTGAGGAGGTTCTGATTCTACATAGAGGCTGAGCTAGAGATTAGTTAGAGAAAAGCCTCGAGGTTCGCCATTAATAGCACCTCTTCCGAAATACATCTATATTACCCAAAAGCCTAGAGCCTATAAAGGTAGGCCCGAGGCAGAATTACTAGAACCTACGCTACGCGGTAGATAACCAGAAACTAAAGTAGCTAAATATCTTACTCCATTTACGTAATTCTATTAACAACGACTCAACGCTAAAAAAAAAAAAGAAGAGTTCTCTCTCACCCGGTTCGGGTAAGAGGAAACTCTTATAGTTTTCTCTCTTTTCTGTTACGTGAGTTAAAGAGTAAAGCGACGTTAACCGATAGCCGTGTTAACTAGTGTAATAGAGCACTTCAGGGTTCGGCGTGCACGTGCAACAACGCACAGAGGCCTGTCCAGCAGTGTTAGGGATTCCTTGGCAAGTAGGCAGAGTCTAACGATAAGCGTGTATATAAGTTATCCCTATAGTATATGGTCGATACTGTACACGACTCTAAGCATGAGAGAAGAAGGAATGCGCCTCTCATGCGGGGAGTATACTAGTAATAAAGATGCACCCCCTGAGTCGCATCAACGCTTGGCTGGTGGCCTGATCGTTATCTGAGATATTAGGAGTCCGTTGTTCCGATGTTTAGCCGAATCCGTAACAAGCAGGTCGGGAATCGAGAACGCGTTTCTGGTTGGCGCTGACAAGACAACATCACCACTAACACCACTCAGAGAGGCAGCGCCGCAGCGGCTAGGGCTACGAATGCCTAGCACGGCGGCAGCATCGAGGAACATGATAGGACTGATAAAACATTCAGGAATTAGGTAGACGGCGCCAAAAAGCCATGGAATTCATGATACTCTGCTCAAAACTGTAAAGAATGGCACTCTGCCAGCACCGTAAACTGTCCCGCACTCCCCCTGCCAGCCCAGCTTGGTTTGACATGTGACTAGACAACTCTCCCCTCTCTGCCACCACTCCACCAGCACAGCACAGCACAGCCACTTTTGCCTTGTTACAATATAGCCGAAAAATTAACTGGGCATTCTATTCTATTTAAGATCTGAGGGGGTGTGTATATCTCAATATCCTGAGGATGTGATCCTTGTTAAGAACAAGTCGTCATCGTCATCATTAGGCACGCTTCCTTGTGGCCGTAGCATTGCGCCCCTTGCCCTAAGTTCTGGTGGAGGTGTTTCCCTTTCCTTACCTTTATCTTTCGCCTTACCTTTTTCCTTTCCCATTCCCGTCCTTATTCCCTTACCGGTTCCCTTTCCTGATCCCTCTTCTAATCCCTTTTCTATTACCTTCCCTTTTGCCTTTTCTTTACCTTGTCCCTTCTCCTTCTCATTTCCTGGAACCGTTTCCGTTTCAATGTCTATTTCCGATTGCCATACTACGGGTGGCCCTGGCGGCATTGATAGTGGTGTTAGTGGTGGCGGCGAGGGCGTTGGTGACGGTGATAGCGATGGCGATGGCGATGTTGATAGCGACGGGGACGGCGACAGTGTTGTTGCCCCATGAGGAACTGGCATCGGTGATGCACTCTGAGCATGTGGAAACCTGCCTGCACCCTGAAGATATTGCATTGCTGTTGCTTTGTAAGGATGTGACATCTTTGTCGTACAGTACTGATATGGCAAGGTTGTCGTCATGCATGGATCTAGCAAATTTGTTTGGCTGTACGGATCTCGCATCGCTGGTTTGTGCGGATCTGCCATCATTGTTGTCCTGGCGGGGAGTAATTTGTCGTAAGATGGCGAGGGGGGTACTCTTGTTTCACTGTGAGGGAACCGTCTTGGTCGCACAACCGTTACAAGATTAGGGTGTAGAGGCGGCGGTGGCGGTAACCCAACTGCTGTATATGGATGTGGCATTGGCGGCACCATTCTCTGTATGCGAGGAAGTATTGGAGGTGGTGATCTTGTTGTCGCGCTGTTGAGAGATGGTGATGGTGGCGTTGCCGTTCTTATATTAGGACGCAACGGTGAAATTATTGTTGTCGCTGGATCAAGAGGTGGCGATGGTGGTAATGCAATTTTGGGAAATGGTGGTGGTGGTGGCAGCACCGCCGAGGGAGTCATAAAAGGCTGCGGTGGTGGTGAGATTATCCTTGCTCCGCCAGGAAAGCGTGGTGGGCGTGGCATTGCCGAAGTCGCCATAGGAGAACGCGGTGGTGGTGATACTGTTGTTACCCTTCTAGGGCGCGGTGGTGGTGGCATTGGCGGGACTGTGAGAGGAGGCTGCGGTGGTGATGACATTATCGATGCTCCACCAGGAAAGCGTGGTGGTGGTTGTGGTTGTGGCATTGTGGGTACATTAAGAGGAGGTGGCGGGGGCTCAGCTGTCCGCCGTTGTGATGGGTGTGAAGGCTCAGGCTGAGGCTTGGCGGCCTGGCTTCCGGACTTACGGGTGGAGGTAAGGTGATTTGCCGTGGCATCCATGTGGCGGACAAATTGTGCAAGGTGTGGACGGACGTCTTGTACGTTACCACTGACCCAGCCATCCCAGATTTTGTCCAATTCGGCATACGACCTTCTCCAAAGCCAGTCTTCTAGCCGGCGGACATCTCGCAATCGTCTCTGGTTAACCAGTAATTGCAGCCTCAAGTGCGCGCCTTCTTTTTGGTGCTCCTGTGTGACCGACACCAACGCGCCCTGGTACTCGCCTCTCAGGGATGGCAGGCATTTCTCAAATTCCCGTTCGCTTTTCAAGAGTTCCCATTTATCCTGTTCTCGCTTATCCTTATAAGCATCGTCCAAATACTTGATTTTGGTGTCCATCGTTCGAAAGGCCTTCCAACACAACTTTTGCAGACGTCTATCGACGCGAGAAGGATGCTGGAAGCCTCCCGGGAAGATGCCTTGTTGGCATTGTCTCTTGGAAGAATGATAGCCTTGGCTTCCTGCCGGCAAGGATTCCTCGGCAGGGCGTTTTCTGGACCCTGGGATGCTTGACTTCCACTGGGCTTGCCCAGGGTATCCAGGTGCCATGGGGTGCGAGGGTTGAGTATAGCCGGGATATGAATTTTGAGCGTGGAATTCAGGTGCCATGGGGTGCGGGGGTTGAGTATAGCCAGGATATAGCTGTTGAGCCTGGCCAGGATCGTCCGATGCCAGAATCTGTGGCAGTTGAGCATAGCCAGGATATCCAGATGCCATGGAGTGTTGCTGTTGAGCATTGCCAGGATATAACTCTTGAGCTTCGCTTCTGTTTCCAGACGCCATGAGGTGTGGCGGTTGAACAGGGCCAGGATATAAATTTCGAGCCTGGCCAAAGGTTCCAGGTGACACGGCAAAAGACCTAGGAGGGCGGTTGACAGAGGCCCATGTGGTTACAGCGTAACCATCCTCGGCCTGACACTGTGAGGCGTTCCGCCTGCCGTCATTCGAGCTTACTGGTGCCACGGCAAAGGGGCGTGGAGACCATTTGAGGGAGGATCTTGACCGCCGCAAACGAGACCCTCCGCGTTCCCTGCCCGCCGCCGAAGGCGCAGACTCACGCGGAGCCGTGGTGGAATCTTTCTGAGGCTGGCGGCGGGAGTACGTTCCGCTGCGGACCGTCCGGCCCCTCACTGTCCGTGAAGGCGAACGACGGCTTGGAGTGGAGTTTTGAGCACTTTGACGGGCCTTGTCACGAGCATCGAAATCGACCGGCATTGTCACGAGAATTGAAATGCATTTATTGAGGGGATGCTGGATTGGCCGGCTCTGCAACAACCCAGAAAGACAGTAGTGAGGCCGCACCCAAGGCACACAGAAGGGCACTGAGCAGCAGTCAGCGGCGACTAGATGCTAAATGCTCATTATGCCTCGCCCTGCGTAGAGTTTCTCTAGGGTCTAGGAGAGTTTGAAGTCTAGGTAAAGTCTGAAATATGAGGTCGAAGGTGGGCACGGGCGGACGGGCGGGGAAGAGAGAAGGTGGGAAGTCAAGTTGAAAGTAAAAACAGGGTATTTGAGTTGAGTGGATGAGCGGATGGGTGGCCTTACCCAGGTACCACGTGGGGCATTGAGCATTGGGCATTACTGCCAGAGGCCGCCTCACCAGGGCATAGCCGCAGGCGGAGGAGGGCGCCTAGAAGGGCCTGTAGGCCTCAGCAGCCATTTAAGAGTGCCAGACGCTGGAGTGCCAGTCGGCATTCTACGCACCTAGATCTGAACTGGCTTAGTCAGTGGTCTAAGTAACTATCTATGACGCGTGCCGCAATGTAGCCCCCAACATATGAGATACTGCGGGGTAGAGGCCAAAGTTGAAAAATTCGCCAAGCAACAGTTGCCAAGCCCTAGCCCCTCAATTTCCTAAGCCCCTGATCATCCCAACACCCCCTCCCCCGGAGCCCCCTAAAATCCACTTCTCTTCCAACCAAGTCTGTCCTCTCTCCTGCAGTCCACTTCCCAGTCCTCTCTCCTCCCAATCAATTTTATTTCCTTGTGTCACAATCTAGCATTTCTCAGCCCACAAATCCACAAAGAGGGCTCGGCGCGCTTGAATTCAGTCTGTCTCTCGATCAGCTTGTCTAATCGCACCGCACCTGCGCTTCTGCAGACAATCCAGTCCGCTTTCTCAGATTGCTTTAAGAGGCACTGGGTAGTGGGGTTGCTACTAAGTACGCTCGCTTACCTTGACGGTAAGATAGCCGACTGCTCTGTGTGGAGAGAGTGTGTCGCTAACATCCACTTGAATGCCTCCAAGCCCACCCATCGCACCATGTCGTCCCACCCAAGATCCTCGGCCGCCTCGGCCGCCTCCTCTTCCCTCCCTAAGCTCGACCTAGCACGCACCTATTACAGGGCCCGCCATCCGCGCAGCCGCTCTGACCCAATCCGCGTGTCAGGTGCAGGGTCGGGTTTACGGGCTTGGCACAAATTGCCGACGAAGGAATCGACGCGAGGGGAAACACGCTTCAGGATAAATGACCAAGTTGAGGCATATTGGATGGACGACGAGGACACGCCGCAATCGTGCGCGGCCCTGATCCTCGAGATAAGAGAAGTGAGGTGGGACAGAAACATAAGGAAGAAACAAAAGAGAGCCCGGAAACTGCGCAAGGAACCTGTGACGTTGTTAATGGTGGCCTGGTTCTATGAGCCGGCTTTCGCAGCCACGATAGGTGCTCACGTAACGGCACCCACGGTATCCTCTCATATCGATATCATCAGTATCGAGTGCGTCAGGGAACGTGTGAGACCGGAGAAGCGAATTGCAATCAACTCGGTCCTCATTACTCATGCCAAGTCGGTGGTGCCGGCCAATACAGTGGACTGGCTCCCCAGGCAAAGGCAGGACCCTCCCACTTCAGTGGCCGTCCCGGTGACGCAGGGCTCGTCGCACCACGACGCGATGGATGAGACGGTAGACGTTGCGCCTGTAGACAACCCTGACCCCACACCAGCCACTAGGGACAAGATGGACGATATACAAAACTGGTTGACCGAGGTGCGCGATGAGGTGGCCACACCACAACATGACACAGTTGCACCACACGACACAGTGTACATACCACCAGATGTGACGGTGAACCCACCGCCGCTCCCACCAGTCGACATAGTGCTCCGACCAGACACATGATGTCATCGCCGATATCATTGCCGCTGACGGCACGGCACTGGGGGGTTCAAGGTTATTCAAGGGTCTACTAGCGAGATAAAACGGCGGAACAGGGCCACGGAAAAATCCCAGGGTGGGATGTTGTCATGGGAGATTGACAGGATGGACAAGTTGTCACGGAAACAAATTGACACGGAAGGAAACAAATTTTTATTGGAAAGTGCTGCAATTGGAGTCTATCTTCATGTTTGTAAGGAATCCGTCTACGTACGTACTCTCTGTGGTAGCAACTGCTGCCGTTAATACAATAATTCAAGTCGTTCGTGCCGGTTTGCGTCATTCAGTACCTCGTAGGCAGCCCAGCCTGTCAACCATGCTTGGTTCTCCATCCGATCCCTCGTTATCAATGCACTTATCAATACAATTATCAATAGACCCTTTGCCGTCGCAGCTGCAGCCATGATCGCCTCGGGCGAGCGTCTCTTGTTGCATGGTCTCCACAAAAGCTCTGGTGAATCCATTTGGTGAGAGGACTGGCATTTGATGGCCTTGTTGCTCTGCCATTCTCGTTGTCCCGTTCCGGGTCCACACCTCCATGCCCGCATCCGCGATTCTGCTGGCCCAATGACAGCCTTGATATTCGACTGGCCTGTAGTATCCTTCGATTTTCGAAGTCGTCTTCGCGGATCTCATTGCTTAAGAGCCCAAAGAGGCAAGCACAAGGCTGCAAGGCTGCTATTGGCTCATGGAATGTATTTGATCCGAAGCCGGAGGGGCACTACTTGTTAGACGCGGAGAGGTGGCGAGTCAACTACGTCATATTTCCCATCAAGCCTGCGCTGCCAGAAGCTTGCCAGCATCATGCCCACCGTCGAGCTATGATGTAGGCCTACTCTTGTCCCAGTGCCCTGATGGCCGCTTCTTCTTTCTCTCCCATCCTCACTTGCATGCTATGAGTGAAACCCAACAGAACTGCATTCAACTTGTTGACAACAGCACCGGCCCTCGGTCAGAAATGACAATGTCTGCGCCAGACGACAAGGAAACCGTCCCATCTCAGGACACTGAGGCCCAGGGGAAGCAAGGTGCGTTGGTCTTTGCCACGGAGAACCTGCTCTCGTTGTCTCTTGCTCACTGAAAACGAGCAGATAGTTGGGTGTCGAAGCCGCAAAGACTAGGCGACAGCGCAGGGGAGAAGATCGAGGGCACCCTTTCCCCGGTCGGCAAACACGTCGGCAAAGGACTGGAGACGGTCGCCAGGCCTGTCGGAGGCATTGTCGATCCTACCGTCGGAAGCATAATGAGGATGGGCAAAGGCTGGGGAGACCAACTCGGCGTTGGCTACGGGAACCATGAGGGTGGCCCAGCCAAACAAGAGGAGGCAGAGGGACAAAGAATGAAAGAGCCATTTGGAGGCAAGGAACAGAACGCAGACAACCCATTGGGTTTGTAACATGGTGCCACCTCTCGCCGAGAAGACAGATAGGAGACAGTCATGACTTGGCAAAGACATCGATGCCATGGTATACTTTATACAATCAACTTGACAGTTCCTAGTGTTAATAGGGTTGGCTGGCTGATTGATTTGATTATATTGGGGCGGGCTCGGGATCGGATTGTAGATTGTCGCAGAGGGAGGTACTGCAGGTGATTCTGTATGGATCGTTTTTAGCATTTACTCACTCAGCCATCGATACAGATCAGAAAGATGTTATCAGGAGAGCAACTTATTCATTTGAGAGCGCACAGAAGCACAGCCCTGGCAGTGGTGACGGGTTACCCGGCCTATTTCTCCCTCTCCCTTCCTCAAGCACTCTTGTACGGATTGATTGTTACACGAAGGAAAGTCGGGTTCATTTGCATTGATGAAGAACGAGAGGGGGGGTTTTTTTTTTCACGTAGAAGAGGACAATGCCTTGTTGAGATGTCTCACGAAGACAGATGAACTGACATAGGCGTACTGGTTAGTGTCGTGTTGTGTTGTGTTGTACGCAGTCTGGGAGTCTTGGCAATGGCAACCACCCCACGCAGCTCCGACACGGCAATGGATAAACAAGTCACCAGGGGACAATGACCGTCAATGCTCCTCTCTGCTTGATTAGCTAATGCGTGCTTCATGTGAGAAGCTATCATTGGTCCAGTGGACATGGCGGGGTTGTTTGGGGCAGCATCGTTTGTTGTGGACCCGTGTGTATCTTCTCGACTTGTACCACTTCTCCACGGTCCGACACGTGATGGTAGCCATGTGGACCTGTGCTGCCGCAGCCTTGTTGCCGTGTCCTGCTATGTCCCACTGGCGGAATACCACGCTGTCGAGCTGTCGGTAATATTGCCTCACACTCCCACATACGAGGTGAGTTCCCCGTTGATGGTATAATTTATGTCATGCTTTGCCAGCCTCTCCTCGTTGCTGCAATGCTGTAGCAATGCTGTGTTTCCTCGCCGGAATCTCGGCGCCGGCCTCCCTCCCATCCCACGTGACCTCGCGCCGCTTTTGCTCTGGCTGGCTCGCGCCCGGCTCAATGTCGGCTCAGGGTCGGCTGGGCCAGCTCACCCTGCTGACTACGTCAGGGCGGTAGCCCAAAGGTTGTCTCTCCTCCAGACTGTCAAGTTTTAACAAGGGCCCTAAAATTAGGCTCTAGGACATTAGCTACGTTGCCAGACCTCACGTATTACTAGGCTATCATACCGCCATCCAATTGATTGTATGCCCCCTTCAGAGACCGATTGATGGGTGATCAAGCTTAACCTTCTAGTTACAATTTCCGGCTGGTTGTTAGTGCTGCTAACTTCTTGTTTCCCAGAATCACAGATTCCTCACTAAGTACCTCGTACGACACAAGTACGAAGTGCTTGTCACGAGCTGCAGAAACCGAGGGGAGCTCACTCTGGCCACCCCGACCGTGCCACTTTTGAGATCACCAGCTCGTAGCTTCTTCCCTCCTCTCACTTTCCACGCAATCTGCCTACTCATCCTTCACGTCGTCCTTGACTGGACGATCCTATTTCGTCCTGCAGTTGTATCTGCACACCGTCTTCGTACCGCCAAACCAGTGCCTAAATTGGTCACAGTGAATACGGTCTATTTCTGGGTCCTCGGGAATCGGATTCTGCCGTTTCTTTCTCGGCCGCCGATGGTAGCCTTTTGCCTCCTTCTGAAACGCTGCTCTAGTTTCTCTTCCATAGAGTACAAAACGACGTCTAATCGAAGTCGGCGGCTGCCTGGCCACGAAATCCTTTCTCGCGCACAATCCTCCGTATCTGCCAGCTCTCTCTTGCCAATTCCCATGTTTCCACGATCTTCAAGTCCTTCTCTATTTCTCCTCCACCTCCTCCCGCCATGGGCGGACGAAAAGATTACCACAGACGAGTTATTGGCTCAAGCCGAGGCAAATGGGTCCAGAAGAGGAGCTCATACAGAAGTTGATCAAGTCCCCGTGAGCAGAAACATGTCTCCAAGACAAAGAAGGATCATGACGGAACTCTGTAGCGCTATGTCTGGTAGGAGTATACAATTATTCCTCTGGCCCGTTAAGAAGAGACGGTCGACCCTGATACTGTGTTCCGAGTTGGCACCTCTAGTTGATGAGAGAAGATTGCAAGCAAAAAGGGCTCCCTCTTCTAGACGAAGACCCTACGCTCGGCCAGCGTCTGAGCAAGGGGGTGCCTACTCTCAACCTGTTTATTGCGAAATGCCCTCTACGGTTCTACATCGCCACGAGCAAATCTCAGATCGACAATGGTAAAGCCAACTCCCTATTCCGTCTTCACTGTGGCAAAGTGGCTCTTTGTCAGGAACTAGTAACCCCAATGCTTATATCTGCTACAGGCCTCAACTTATCGGCACCCATTGACGATACAACCGTCTCTCATTTTTTATTTTTAGAAAAGGGGATTGGGGGTCTGTTCGGCTTGAACCTCAAGGCTTTGTCCCATCCCCTGTTGCATCTGCCTCACCAGTACCATCCCTCGATGAAGATCCTGCCTTGCGAGAGCTCGACTGGAGTGGAGGGATCATCGGCCTTATTTTGCCCGTAATCCGCGTTATGTATCGGGGTTGGGGTATGTCGACACCGAGTATTTTCATGATGCTTTCTCTCGCATCGTGACATGTGTTAGTCGCAATGTCGTACGGGCTCTGGCCATGTTCCTTCGCCAGTGACTCGAGTTGGCTGACGGTAACGTCAATCTTACTGCCTCTGAGCTGCTTCGTCCACTGATAGCCGTCTAAGTGGAAGAACTCATAGCTCCTTCCATCCATCTGATACCACCTTTCCTTGACTGCCTTGCCTTTCGGGCCATCTCTGCTCATTTGATACCATTTCAAGAACGGTTCGCCAATATCGACTTCTCTGATTTCTGCAAAAAGTGGCCTAGGATCAGCCATACAAAATCATGAAAGACCATCTAGAATTGTTATACATACCAAAATATGGGCTAAGAATGCCGGTGTCGGGGTCTTTGTGGTCCTCGAGACGTTCGAACATGAATTGGGTGACTGGTCTAATCTTCTTTTCAACGCTCTGACTCATTTGTTGGACTTGTTCCGCTGTGTGAGCATCGAGCAGCACAGCTGAATGTGCCAAATAGTCGATCGCGAAAGGAAGATTGCGAAGCGGTCTCCGGCATATATACCCACGGGTGAGTTGGAACGTCCCGCAGTCCTCAATGGACCTGGTGTGGCTCACTTTCCACAAGAATTAGTACATAGCACCTGTTTGACGCGGAGCATCGGGTGGGACGATGTGGTACCTACGAAACTTGACAGTTGCCTCGATACTTTTGCCTGATTCCATTTCCATGGTCATATCTTATTGATCCTGAGGCTTGTTGGAATTTTGGAAGGGCGGGCGATTTGTTTTATGGAACAAGGGCTGGGGATAAGAAACCAATAAACATCATTCCGACTTGATGAATAATCCTAAAGCGAGGGCTCTCGACTTGGAAAATGGAGGAACGCTTGGATGCCCTCCTGACCAGGTGCATTTTTTGTAGATGCTGTGTAACCTTACCCCGTCTGTAAGTGGTTACGTGATTCAAGGATGTCGGAGAGGAGGTGAGCCACGACAACAAATAGAACAGCGCAAAGTCAGGGGCAGCAGCGTAACCTAAGTCGATTGGTGTAAGCGACAATTGTGAAATCCTGTCTCTCACACAAACCGGGCGTCAGGCTGTTGCGCTGGCAGCAACGCTTGGATGTAGCAACTAACCAGAGAAGATCTTATGCGGCTGAGAATGGTTCTTCTAGCAGACGCTTGCAGGATGTCTAAATACCCTGCCTGCCCCGCCTGCCCCGCCCGCCCCGCCCGGCCCCAAGGACCAGCCCAGGATGTGTACATATATATGCTTGATGGACTTCGACTCAGCCTCACCTACTTCGGGCATTTCAATCTTGAGGTCCTTATCAAGTCTCCCAGGAACAAACCCACTCATTCTCGCAGTTAGCTTATAATTTTTTTCGGGTTGACTATTTTTTGCCCCGTAGGTATCCAGTGAGGGTGATTGTATCACTCAAAATATCTGACACTATTCAGCACGCGAACCGCGAGCATCCAAGTATGGGCAACACTTCCAGCACCAGAGCAGCACCGAGAAGACGTGGCTTCGGCGAAATGATCTCTACGTGCTTCGATGTGGTCGATAGGAGTGCAAGATTCTTCGGCACAGCAGAGAGACTGATGCCTTCACTCCTGACCATGTCAAAGCATGCTGGATATCTTCTGGGTTTCAGCACATTCCTCGCAGGCGTCGGCGTCGTCACACAGGGCGCAGGTGTTCTCACACAGTACCTGCAGACGAGACAGATGATAGCGGAGGTTCGTGGCATTCACGAAGAATTGGTGGCTGGGACAGGTCTCTCGGCCGACCAATTCGCCTCCAGAGTTTACGAGTACATCAAAATGAAGACTAAACAGACCTCCGGGCACAAAAGGAAACATCTTTACTTTGTGTATCACCCGGACACCGATTGGCACCCCCGCTTTGCGGCTCTCACGGCAGACGAAGAACTCGCCGATTCCTTCATGGGGCTATGTGAAGACTTGGATTTCTTGTGCCTGTGGATGCAGTATCTCCGAGTCCGGTTCAAGTTTTCAAGTGAATGGGGCTCGCGTCCGATCTTCCATCTGCTGATGCCTGCTTATCGCCCGCAGGTCATTGAAGAGCCGATAACCTTTGCACAATCGTTGCAGCCTCTTCATATTCACGGTCTCATCCATAACAAGTTTCCGTGGGTGGCATTAAACTTATTCGATGCCGACCTGGAGAAGCTTGATGGAATTCGTATCTGGCGGCCCGACAAAAGTTGGTGGGAACGAATTTCTGGCTCCCAATCAGACCAACATCCGAGAATTCTCGGTCTTACCCAACAAGAGCTCGATGAGATCTTCGAAAATGAAATCAATATACGCCGGGTCCGAAGAAGAAGGGGTGGCAGAGGTATACCACGAAGATTTAGGCAATTCGCCTGACTACATTACAGTGAAGAGCTCCAGAGACAAAACTTGGGCCCACTCAAAGATGTTTGGAGGAGAATTACAGCAGAAAATAAGTGGCCGCCATGATCAGCGAACTGGGAGTTCCATGGGCCTAGCTAGGGCCTGTCATATTTTGGGTCATTCTCTTCAATGAGTGGTTATGCTAGTGACGACTTGGACGATTGCACTACAAACCTACCTTTACGCGGCTACCAGGACCCGGGAGACAAGGCAGATGGGGGCCGAGAAAGCCGAGTAGGATAGGAAAGGCGAGAGAGGAAGGAGCTTGAGGTCATCGTCTATCCATCCCGTGCACCTTGGATTGCTCTGAAGGGCAGAACCAGTTAGATCACCAGTGGATAGAAGGAGTCGGTCGGACTTGTATAGGGTTGAGTTATTTCTCTCCAATGCGTCATTATCACACGAAGGGCTAACTTGGCTGAAGCGGGAAGCGGAAGGGCGGCGACTTGGTCTAGGGATATCTTAAGAACATACCGAATAGACTCAGGTGAAGGCAGAGATTGTCGAGCTGGGTGAGAGCACAAGGTGGCGTCACCCCTTCCGAATCGGGGGAAAGGGAGTTCAACGCAGTTTTTGCTTGTCTTTAGATGCCAAGACTTGTTATTATGTACTGCATGACGGCTCGCCGGTACCTGGCCGAGTACTATTTCAACTGCAGCTTCATCTTCAACTTCCAATCCCACGAACCCTCTTTGGAGCACCACACGCTCTCCTGTCTCGAACCGTATAAACTCAGTCATCTCGGATTCTGGGTGAGCCACTGCATCATCTGACGAATGGCCGAAGTTTTCTTGATCGATGGCCAAAGCTGGAGACGACTGTCTCCAGTTTGTAAGGAGAAGGGTATCACGGACAGTAAAAAGAAGGGGAAACCCGCCCGGGATGGCGTGCTCTTACAGATGGAAGTATCCAACTCCACATGCAAGGCATACCCTCAGATCCAATCTCATGTCCTCTAGCTCTACATGTCATATCATCGCGAATCAAGCGCCACTTGGATGTTGAGATTCGGATCCTGAATCGAGTTGATGAAGCCCGAGACCGTGGTCCTCGCGAGGTTGGTGGAGAAGTCGGTGTCCGCTGGCAGGAGCACAATGTGAGCTATGCTCGCATCCCCGTCGAAGATGACCGCGGCTTTCTGGGTGCCCGTGATCGGTCGCTGGATCCAGTTGGAGTCGCCTTTGGCATGGGCATTGTGCCAGGTGGACTTGCATTTCTGGCCGCCCGAATCCAAGACTTCAAAGATGTCGAATTCGCCGCAGCCAGAGTCCCAGCACGAGCAGTTGCCGTACTGTTCCGTCTCTCACCGCTCCTCATCCACCGTCCGCACATGGCTTGTCCGTCATGATCACGAATTCACTGTTGTCGCCGATCAAGGTGTCTGCTAGAGTCACTGGCGACGCAGAACCAGCACTGTTGTCAGCCGACGCGTAAGAGAGCGAATTGCCCCAAACACTAATCTTGTCAGCGAGGTTGCTAAGGTTTCGGTGAGTTTCTTCCGACTTGCGTGTCAAACACGCCAGATCCTTCTCCATCATGGTTGTTGAGGAAGACGATGCCGTCCGCAAACCTTATTCCGAGTTGTAATAGGCCTGTCTGCCCCACTGCCCAACACTACCACCGTCCGCACTCGCTCCGCCTGCGACTGCTCTGCGCAGGCGCGTGGCCGCCTCGTGCAGACCAGCTGCGCTGTCGCCGGATATACATTCAGCCTGATCGGAAGCCCTTCAACAATACCTCTCTTAGACACCTTCAAGCGCAGGCTTCAGCTTTATACGCGCTGCAGTTATCGATCTTTCTTCTCTACTTCATCTTTCAGTTGTACTACCCTCCCATATCTCTAAGCGTGGCCCGATCTCATAGAGCAAGCTGTCTCCGCCGAACGAGCGGTGGGTGGCCCGTCCAACCCGGTCGACGACAGCCTAGCCCGGGAAGAGGCCTCGTGAGCACGTCAAGTATAACCGAGCGGGAGGGTCTAGAATATGGCCCTTCCGAGCTTTGAAACAAGAAAACTGGGAACCCGGGGGCCAAGTTGTGGGAACCTTCACAGACTCAGGACTATGATCAGTCACGTAGGGCAGCACCTCAGGTTGAAGCGGCGAGCCTCAGGTCGTCATCAGGCCCAAAGATGGAAAATGGAAAGTCCTCGTGTCGAGATTCCGACGTTGAACTCCCTGTTTCGCCGTCGACGGGCGGATTGGTCTGCCAGCGTGGTAACGCCCTGGATGATGGGTGCCGAGACATGTCAAAAATGCCTCCAGCGTCTGGTCAATCCCTCCCAACCACCAACCCGCTCGCCGGCCCTTACTTGTCAAATCTGTCAAGTTGTTTCAAGAAACAGGTTTTGTGTAGAGGATCCCTCTCTATCTCTCCCTACCAACCAGCTGTCAAACTACCGTGATCAGGAGGTGACGCAGTAGCAAGGGGCTTCCAATCAGGCATAAAGGATGCCAACATTCCTCCTTCGCCCCTTGCCTCCCCTCTGGTCTGGCCAACTGCAACTGCGACTTGCATCCCCCCCCTTTCACGGTTATCTCATCGGTTCGAAGACTCTTGCTTTGTTGGACGCTATGCTTTCCATCCTCCAAGTCACAGCCATCATCTTGCTGGTCCAGAATGTGGCGGTCGACATTCTCGGTACCGCCGCGTATCGAGCACCGCAGACGCAGATCGTGTCATGGCAGACGCCTCTCAACCTCTTTGTCTGCTACCGCCAGATACAGACCTCGCTTGCCATCATGGTGCTGTTAGCCACCTTCGTCTCAGGCTATGCAGATTACGTGAGTGTCTTGATGCTGATGGGGGCGATGCTCTTGTGTGAAGCATCCGCCGAGGTGAGTCCCCGTTTCATTTTGCCATGGGTGGGCTGTGGTCACTTCTAAAAACTTGAGCAGCTCATTTACCTATACTCCTTGCTTCGACACCACTTCTTCCATCGGGAGACGGCGATTTGTTGGTTCTTCACTTTGGTGTGGGCTCTTCCCTTTGGCATAGCTGCGCCCTTGTGAGTGGAACCCAGGCTGGTCTATTCGCTCCAAAAGCGCCGACTATTTTTTTCTAGGTCCCAGAGATTTCAGTTGACGCCCTTTTGCCTCTGCTCCGTCGTGTCCCAGATTCTACAGGTTATCATCTGGAGATACCTCCACAAGCACGTCTTCAATGCCAGATACCCTCTCCTCAAGAGCACCGAGCTCGGTCGGTACCACTGCCTGTGGGGACAGGGGAGGGCTTTCTTTTTCCTCGCCCTGTCCATCGCATTGGCGGTGCTGTCGGCCTTGTCATCGCACCATCAGCCGCTATATGCCATTGTCTGCGGGAACCTCATCATCCTCGCCCCGACCCCTAAAACATTTGTGAGATACAATCGCTCCAGGCGGCAGACCAAGTTCAACGTGGAACAACAACTTGAGGACGGCACAAATCCAAAAAAGGTCGCCGTGGGCGGCTCCTCGATTGAGGAAGTCGTTGCGCACTCAAAGCGGCAGGCACAGAGGTTGTCCACATGCACCGTCTTGACAACGATGGTACAAAAGGACGGGCACATGTTCCACTACAGCCATGAGGAGCAGCGCTACCTCTATCTCTTGCAAGACCCCGGAGAATTACGCAAACTTCAAGACCTCCGCCACCGCACGCCATGGCCTGTCACCTGTCCATCGGAGCAGTGCACTGCCGACGAGTTCATGCAACTTGCCCAAAGCTGGCCTCTGGAGCATCCCTATATGCGCGGCACACCGTCTCTCTACGACATCTTCCGCGACATCTTCAACGCCGAATTGCGCGGGAACATCACCGACTTCCAACACAAGGTTGCGTGTGACAAATGCCTGGACCGCAAGTGCTTTGCACAGTATCGTCTCATGTTCCTGCTGTTGCTCAACGAGGTCGGATCAAAGATGCGCGTTCGCCTCGATGAGCGCGGCGACATCTCGACGCACGGGACAACCATCAGCGACCTTTGGCTCACCGGTGTTCGACTCGAGTCGTCGTCAACGGTTCGTGTTGCGTTCAACACCGACGTCAATCAAAAAACGGTCGACGTTGGATTGCATGACCTTTGGAAGTTGAATTCATTCGGCATATACCTGACCGTGCCCCCCATTGTTGCCGACATTCTCCCCTTATGGGACGAATACCCTGCTGGCGTCAACAGGAGCGGGACGTGGATTTAGGTTTAGATCGATGCTACCAATGCTGACTCTGCCAACTGTTTCTCGGTACCATCTATACTCTGTATACTAACTGTGCTCCTTCATCCGTTTTCCTTTCGCTTCATCTTCCCACCATTCCTTCCTCTCTACTCCCCCTCCCTCCCCTTTTTTTCTCTTTCTCCCTTCTCCTCTAAGCAGGCGTTCCAATATTCCTTCCCCACCCCCCCAAAAAGGGGGACCGATGATATTCTAGCTAGCTGTGATAGCTGCTTTGTCTTGCGTTGTGCCCCTCTTCTATCGTCATCACCCTTATCACATTCAATTATTACATCACCACTTTTATCATCGAGAAGCAAAACAAAACCACCAATCTATTGTAACGGAGCACTTCAGGGTTCAGCATGCATGTCCAACAACGCACAGGGGCCGGTCAGGCAGGTCGGTGATCGAGAACGCCTTTCTTGTCGGTGCTGGCAAAACGACACCACCACCAACACCATCCGCAGAGAGGCAGCGGCTAGGGCAACGAGCGCCTAGTACAGCGGCGGCGGCGTTGAGAGGTGGAAAAGGACACAGAGAATGCTCAGGAATAGGTAACCGGTATCAAAACCATAGACTACTCGTATCAAACTGTAGAGAATGGCGCGCGGCCAGCACTGTAAACTGTTCAGCACGCCTGCCACGATTTTCTCTTGAATGTCCGTCTGTCCCTGTGCCCCTTTGTTCTCGCCGTCGTCGTGACGACAGTTCAAAGCTTGTAGTTCTTAAAGATTGTAGTCCCACCAACGCTGCTTAAGCCACGATAGATCCTTGGAATTGCGGCAACCCCAGACAGCGGAATTGTCACATCCATAGTGTGGACTTGTAGCTGTGTCGACGGTGATAGTGTCTTGTGAGTCTAGACTCTCGTAGTCTTGCAGCGACTGCATTACGAAATCGAGCTGCTGGGCGGCAATGAGCGGCCCCATGCTCTAGAGCTTTGTATCACATCTACACTGGCGCGCAATTCCTCACGTATTTATTGGGCTTTGTCGCCGTTGTTGTAATTATACATAAAAGGGCATGGCCCTGTGAGTCCCCGATGAGCACCCCATCTCTCATCACTAACGTCCTGGCTATCATGCGTCGTGTAACAAATGAATAGCTGTACAGACCATCTGCTGCAACTCCTTTACGACATCTGTTGTTTGCTTCTTCTCGAGAGTTTTTCAGCCAAGCAAGTCGTCTTGGACCATGCAAAGATACAGCATGTAGGATGATTTACAATCTTTTGCAGCGTCCAAATAATTCAATGCTTCAGAAGTCTCGATAGCAAGAATGCACGCTCCCTCACCTGGCCTTGTCCGAGTTTGCCGTGCTGTCTTCTTTTGAGACCGATCTGTCCGCATCCAGTTGCCGCGCTTACCCTGGGAACGGCATCAATCCTGGTCTATCGACAGGCCACTCTTCATTCTCTGGCACCGACACGGCCTCGTCTGCGTCATCTGGTGTAAAACCCGGAGAACCCTCGGTATCGGCATTAGGATCCTCCTCAATCCTCTCTTCCAGGGAATCGGCTTGTTGAAGAATGGAACCAAGTTCTTCCACCGATAGCTCGATGTTCCGACTGTGTAGGAATGGCGGAACGAGTTCCTGGCGTGCAAAGTCGAGCACGGTGATTTGCAAGGGCGGTCCCGGAACCAGTGTGCCGTTTTCTGTGCGGAGCTCCTAGGCATAAACGTAAGTAGATAGTTCACAGACAATATGGAAGGCTGATACTGACTTGAACCCGGCATCCAAGCCGTAATCCGGCGGGGTCAGTGTAGTCTCGTCTCCATGTGCACAGTGTAACTTTGGATGTGCGATTGTGGTCGTAGTCAACGGCGATCAACAATCGGGCTTGCCGGTTGCTTTTGAGGATGTGGAACTCAGCCAGCTCTTGGAGTCTGTTCCGCTTCTGCGAATAGGCGATTTCGACAGGGAGACCACACCTTGGTAGGTTGGCGTGTGAGAAAAAGATATCCGGTTGGTGTAGATCACGGCTCGAGTTGGAGGCTGCTTTCGAGCCAGGGGGGGCGGCATGCACAATCCTGGCCCCAAATTCTTCTGCTTCTCCTCCGATTTCCGAGCACAATCTTATCAACTTTTGGAGGATGTTCCGTGCAAGGGATCGTCTCAAGAGCTCGTGAGCCAGAGAGGGTATTTGATGAACGAAGGTCTCCGAGCGGCAGAAATAACCATACCTATATCCGGATGTCAGCAGCAATCAAGTTGAAAACCCCCCCTTTTCGCCTCAAACATACTGGATCTGCTCTCGCGACTCGGTGAGGCACGTGTTGAGAGCATCCCAGACGCGGACACCAAGAGTGTACTCAGTCCAGCAGGACGCATCACGCGCGGCCACGGCGGTACGCGTGATGAGAGCTTCAAGCATCGAGGTCGCCTCTCGTCTTACCTCCCTCTCGGCTTCTTCCTGTGCGAGAATTACACTTAACGCTTCTTTGATGGCCGGGTCTTCGACCGCATCAGGCTCATCTGCGGCGTTAGGATCGTCAACGGGACGGGGAGCAGGGTCGTCCGTGATTTGGAAAGCGAGATTGTTTGTGGGTTGAAGAGCGAGATTGTCTGGGGTCTGAGGAGCCAGAGTATTCGTCAGTTGAGGGACGAGACCGTTCATGGGACGAAGAGTGAGACCGTCCATGGCTCAACAGACAGCTTCGCGCGCTGTGCCAATGAGCTTGGTAGTAAACGGAGGATCATAGAGAGACCAAGTTCGAGTGAGTCTGTGTAGAGATGAAGGTTGTTTGGGGGGGGGGGGGGGGGGGGGGGGGGCAGGATTTGGTCTGTGCAAGAAGTCAGGAGACAACAGCTGTTTACCACGATAAGGAAAGAACAAGTCCAGGAACATGATCGCACTTGTCTTTATCCCTTCTCACTACTTGCAGTGTTTCATAACTCGACCGAGGTAGAGATCCGTCAGCTTGCCGACAGAAACTGAAGCCTATCAAAGATTTAACTCTCAGAATCATTCTTTTCATACGTTGACGCCAGGCCCATCTGTGCTCGACGCGATCCAAGAAGATGAATCAAGCGGTGCCCCAGAGCTGCATGGGAAAGAGGTGATTCCGGTCGTGGCTGACTCTACAGAAGACGGATGGAGACTGGGTAAAAGACTCCAGACCTGAGGGCAAACTCGGTTTCTGATCGGAGGAATGTCGAGCATTGCGAAGAGATCTTGTGCGACTTTCCCATAAGCTAGCACAGCAATCTCCACGACACAACAATCACCAACTACAACAGCTTGGAAGATTACATTTCTAGTCCAGTGACTCCTCTAGGCGACTGTTGGGCAACTCGGCAGGAGACAAGTCAGTCTGAAACCATACCAGCATCCGGAGCAGCTTGCTGAGTTTTGTTGGAAGAATCGACAACATGGACTCGAAGAATCGTGAAGCATTGGATGCAGCCCAGGTCGTCAGGTAGCATCCCGATTCTCCACATACATGTCGATGGCAAAGTGGAAATTGGCGGGAAAAACTCCGCTTTCAATGTACAGACTCCGGTTGCAAGATAACTTTGCAGAAATGTGGTTGTTTCATGGTGTGAAGCCACAAATGCCCTGCTTAGGGTTCTTCGCATAGCATGGTTGTCTGTCGAGATACCACTTGGTGATGTACGACAGAGCAAGGTATTGTTGTGACTGAACTTGCATAGAATCCTTTCCACGCGTGGGCAGAACCTACTGTTGGTAAAGACGCCAGGTCCATGGGGGGGTATTCATCGAAAATACCCCGGCTAACTTGGCTGAGATCACAGCAATTTTCATAAGAGAGCATCGAGAAAACGCACCCTTCATCGGTCAACGGAGACCAGCTAGCTATCTGGAAGCGGTTGGTTCCACTGCCCGTACATCGGAGGTCCTCTTGCTCGAAACTCGTTGAACTGGTTATCTGCCTCGCTGGCAGCGGCTCCGAAAGGTCGCTTACACTTCTGAATAGCGTTGTTAGAACAAGAAAGGGTATTAAATATGTCAACGAGAGCAGTATGGTAGCAGAATCTTCGTGTGAGCTTGAACACACTTACCCAGGACCAATATTTCGAGTTGGCGCTGCGACTCTTTGTCAGTACACACCAGTAATACACAAAGACGGTAGGGTAGACTTGGCTTACTACCATACGTAGTTGTCTGCGTTTTGGATTGCTTGCGAGTACCCTGTGCGAGAGTTTTTGGCAAACTTTGACAGTTTGGCAGCGTTGAATGGACCGTAGGGATCCGGAAACGACCCAGCAAGTTTGTAATCAGCGATTTGCGGTCCGAATTGGCCGCTGCCGTCGATGACCTGCGAGTACACGGGGTTGTTTTTGAACAGCTCCGGCCACTGTATATTTCTGTTAGCGGATACCCTCACTGTAGAGGGGATAGAGATAGCCACGCCAACAAGGGTGTGGGAGAGCAAGGGAACTTGCGTGGAACATTTCATGTAAGAGAGAAGACCCAATTGTTCTCATGTCTCCAGTGTCTCTGTCTCCCAATCCATCACAGCTCCACCCGCTCGTAAAGTCCTGCCCTGGGCCTTTCCTGGCCCAATCCGGAGGGTTTTCGGTGGTGGCTAGGTCGACGCAAGTCTGCCAGTTTGTGGCTTTTGGGCACATCCCCAAGTATCCCGAAACATTGGGATAGTCTGACCGAGCCGGATCGTTCTCCTCTCTCGGTGCCTTGCCGTCGTATGTGAGGTAACCATTCACGCCCTGCATTTTGCAACTGCCGCCTGCGGGAATGTCCCATGGACTCTTGGGGTAGTCGAGAAAGGAAAGCAGCAGTTTGTCCCATACTGGGCTCAAATTGTCCTATGAAGTTTCAGGCTTTCAGCATCATCGATGATCTTTTTGCGTGGTCGAAATCACATTTTGGCCATTTAGCCATTTCGATATCGAATGTGGCTCAGACTTACAGCAGGATTTGTGTTTTGCAACATAGCAAGGACTTCCTCTGGAGTATCTGTGTTCTTGGGCGGACGAACATTGGCAATCCTTGCGACTACCGCTCTGTCAGCTCGCTCCCCATCAGCGTAGCTGAACTCCAAAGGCGTTCCATCAATATGGAGAGCACGAAGTCCAAGACACTTACACAATGACTGAACAAAGCTGTAATCTTGTTGTTGGAAGTATCGCAAGAAGGCCTTGTGGCGTCGCGGTTAGTGCCATAATCTCAAGTTATCAAAAGGGTTCCCACTGCATATCTTACCGGGTCACAAGCATTCCCTGTCAGTACCACCACCCGCGCAAGAGTGATGGCGTCTTGGAAAGCCTGGTCGACAACACCCTTCCATGTCAAAAAGTCAGCTTGGAATTTTGGGTCGGTTTCGAAGAACTCTGGAAACCAGACTTTCGGAAGGGCTGCAAGACTCAATCCAAAGCTTAGAAAGGAGAGGAGGAGTAAGGGCAAAACCATTTTGGCGGCTCGTAATGTATCCTGTACCGTTTCCGTAGGTAGGAAGGGCAGCACAGTTAGATTGAGGCTTTCAGAGACAAAATCACCTTCTGGTCTATCCATCCTGATCTCCAGAAGTGGAAATTCACCTCTGGGGCCTTCACTTCTGGGAAATTCACTTCTGCTGTCACTTGGGCAGGGGGGAGTTACGCAAGGCATCAGTCATCCCTCAAGATGGACGGAACTTGCGCGTGTGCGAAACGCCAGACTGAATCTGTCCTCGTACCTTTTGCGGTTGCCTTTCGCCGCACACACATTATGGGCTGGAATACATGCAGTCGCTCTCTTCATCGTGGATACTTGATACCAAACGCAGCTGAGACGACACGGTGGCTAGTGGCTCCCAGAGCTTGGAAAAAAGATGGTAGTTCCTGGAGATTGGGTTGTAAGTCTACCGACCGCGGCTATTTGGGCTTGAAGACGAGCGAGAAACTCGCATGCGTATTGAAGACTTCATTTACGGCTTATTCATGCGGGTAGTTTCTTGGAGTCGAGAGGCGGTCAAACGTGTTGGTTTCGGTGGGTTAGAGTGAGTTTCTCCTATGCAAAGACATGATCAGCGTTAGGCGTTGGGGACAACGAGGCTGTCAACCTCACAGGGATCAAAAGATTCAGCTGCGATGCATTTCAATATCAGGTATGTCTGCGGCAGAGTGGTTTCCGATACAGTATCGATAGGTTCGATACAATACCAGTACCGTATTATATTAGATCGGCATTGTAATAATACCGAGTACCTAATACTTTCGGCAGCAACCTATTACCAGCAAGAGTAGCACGTGACTTCTACGTTAGGGCCAGCGTCGATTATTCTCCAGGGTTGAGCTCCTAAGATTATGCACCTATTATCCCCTTACTTTTATGGTCAAGAGAGATACCAAGATGTATTAGAATACTTTTGACTCATCTGATACCGGCTAATGCTAGTATTGTATTAATCCATATCGATGTCCGAGGTACAGAAAACCGGTGGAATGGGTGTTTCCGCCACGCCTCGCGGAAGTTCGAGTGAAGTACTACAAGCAATGCTATCCATATCCACTTTCTTACTGGGGGCAAACAGGCATGCTTTTCAGACAGTAGACCCTTATCCTCGTCCGAGACGGCAGCTTAGAGATGATTGATATCTAGAGATACGCCTTTATGCTGTAGGATCAAGATCAGGATATGGTTCAATCAGCACGGTAGCTGTGGGTTGCTTTCTTCCGAGCCTTCAATTCCTAGAACCCATCCACGGATGAGCTTACACTAGGGCGCTGGTGGCCCTCAGCTGAATAATTGACTTCAAGCGAGGGAAGCTGTTCCGCGCCCGCGATTTGACTTCTGTTCAGACTTGCGTCAACGGGCAGAGACGGCGGGAGAGCTATCAAGGAGTCGCCATTTCGTAGATTGTTCCGGACGTGATGTTAACTCTTCAAACCCTCAGCGTCGTCATTTACCTGCGCCCAAGTACGTCGGCGAGCTAGATTGAGCGCGACGTTGGTCGTTCGACGCGTCCGTCGGTGTCCCCATGGCCAAATCACCCTCCCGGGCCGACATCTGTGTCGGTCAAGTCGCGTGTTTGCAAATGGATGCTTACTACGTATCAACGAGCGCTTCGCTTTGAAGTGTTGTCTCTTGAATTATGATGACCTGTCTCGAGCCCGAACGACCCCAAACTGCTTGGCGGCCTGCCATTTCAATCTGGCCCACTTGTTGCGTTGCCGCCAGAGCATCCCCAAAACAGATGTCGCCCTGAGCGTGGCGAATCGAATGGTGGAGGGGAGAAAAGGTGGGAAGCACCGCGAAGTGGCGGCAGAGTTCAATGGTTCGATTGAGCCTTGGCGCTTAGTAATACCAGCTGTGGGCACGGCGTCTGTGCTGATATCAGGTGACCAAAGCCTCACCTGCTTGGCTCTGAGGTGCCAAGCCGGAATGCGATAGGCAAACCACCCCTCAATGCCACTGAGCCACTTCCGTCAAGATTTCCTGCACAAATCCGCCGCGAACGGCGACATATGTGTGCCTCAGCGGTATCTGTCCTGTGCCGACATTTGGTACGAACCCAACGCACATAGTCTCGGTCAAGATCAAGCAAGATGAAACTGATCCTCTCAACCTCGTATGTCCGCACGGAAGGTTTCCCATCCCCCCCCCCAAAATGACGCGCAGTCATTCATCGCTAACACATTCTCGACAATGCAGCAATATAATGTCCTCGGGACATTCCGTCGTACGGCGGCCACTGTTCTCGAAATCGAACATCGAGCTCATTAATTCTCTGCGCGCAAACTTTGATTCCTTCAAGCATTACTCTTCCCCTTCCCCGGCCGGGAATCTCGCTCCTCCCATATGGACGACGCAAGACGGCGACACTCTCTTCGTACCTTCATGGCGGCCAACCCCGCTCGTCGAGCCCCGCGATTCGTACGATATTACATGCAAACTATTCTTCCTTCCTGGCATACCGAGTACTCGGCGGTGCCGACACACGCGAGAAGCTATTGGCATGGTGCTGAAAGAGCTAGGTATTGATACCATTGACCTGTTGATCGTTTCGTATCCCGGTGTGAGCTTTGACGCCGATGATGAAGAAGACGATGAGGAGGCGGAGGCGGCTTCCGCCCATGAAGATCAGAGCGACGCCAGTGGCGAGTCGCAAGACTTGGATGCGCAGGTCAAGACCTGGCGAGTCCTAGAATCGCTGTATGATGAGGGCGTCCTTTCCCAGCTGGGGGTATCCGAGTTTAGTTCGGAGCGGCTTGCAAGATTTCTTCCAGAGGTTCGAGTCCGTCCCACCGTTGACCAGATCAACGTAAAGGACTGCTGCGTCGTACCGAAATCGCTGATCACGTACGCAAAGGAGAACAAGATTGAGCTACTGACACATGCGGATTGTATGGATATTCTCCCACCCGGAACGACGAGGGAGCTGTTAGGGCCCGGTAAAGATGGTGCTGGTATTCTCGCGGCGCAACCGGACGCCGGACCTGAAGAGCCCGGATTGAAGGGTGACATCGAGCCACAATGGGTGATCAAGTACACCGCCGTGGTCAAAAACCGTGGTGTCATCGAAAACAAAGGCTATTTCGCCGTCGCACAGCTGGGAAGTTGTATCGAGGAGAAACCCGTCGAGGGCGAAGCATCATGGGGTCGGCATTCTTCAGAATGGTAGTGACGTTGAGTTTTAGCATGGCGTTAGGATGTGCGGCCTTCGTCAACGAGGTCCCAAAGATTTCTTTCGGCCTCCTATTCATCCAACCATACTCCGCTTCCTCCCTCTCAGCCTGACCTCCTCCAATCTCTTAAGCACGACGTTGGATCCCTTGAAACTGCCCCTGTAGCCCTCTTGACTCTGTAGGACTTCGGCATCGAACCACCCCTCCTGTCGCGGGTGCGTCGATCCAAATGCTCGCTCGAGCACATAGAGATCCACAGCCCTGTCTTCGTCCTGGACTGATTGTGTCGCGAGGCCGAAGTCGATGAGAACAATCTCGCCGGTCAAATCCGGCGGTTGCTGCGGTGCGGACTTGTCTTCCTCCGGTGGTAAACTCGGCTCTCTTACCTCATGCTCGCCATTAACGATTCCGCTCTTCTGCCCATCCGTGTCCACTGGGGGGGTGGCGGGCCGGATCATGATGTTGCTGCTCGTCAAGTCCCCATGGACCACACCTCCTTTGGAATGCATCGTTCCCACCGCGCGGCCGATGCGGCGCAGCAATTTTTTCACGGCCTCTTCTTGCCCGGCAATCTCGTCCGCCCGACGCGACCGATCTTCGTTCGAGTGCGCATTATCCCGGCTGGCGTTGACGCCGAGGGACTTGTACCAGACATCCCAGTCGCGCAGCAAGTCCTTGACGCTGCGTCCTTCGATCCATTCCATCAAGAGCCAAGCCCCTTGTCCTGCAGTGGTGTTCGTGGTTTCCTTCACACCCATCCGCGAGTCACTCACCCCGCGGACCTTGCGCGCGATGTCCCACTCCAAACTCAACACCGCGGGCACTTTGACCCCGTCCTCGTGCCCCGCGGCGCTCGCCAGCGCCGACAACTTGACCAGAATGCGGGCTTCGGCCAGCACCCTCTGCTTCGTCAACCGAGCATCGAGTGTCGGGTGTCGGTATGCTTTACTTGGCCGGAACTTTAGGGCGGCGGGCTGCGCTGGATGGAGGAAATGGGTGCGGTAAAGGAGGGCTTCGGCGCCTTGGGTTATCAGTGTCGGTGAGGGTTCGGTGGCGTGAAAAGGTGAAGGGAGGGGTGGTTTATCTTGACTCTGGGAGGTGAGAGGCACAGGAGGTGGAGGGTGCGTCGTGTCTGTGGTTGTGCTTGTTTCTACCATGGTGAGGGTGGGAGTTGGCGGGCGTTGTTTAGACTGGTTGGTGGGGGAGATCAAAGTTCGGACGCCTTGGGCCTCTGGGATATATACAAGCAGATCGAATGGTCAATATCTCAGGGGAGATCGGTGCAGAACGGAGCTATGTGCACAAGGGAAGACTGAATACATAGACAGAAAAGACGTGGCTGATAGTATGCGTGGGTTCAAAAGCTCCGAAGTTTGTCTTATTCGCTTTGCTGGAGTGCGGAGCCTTAGCGCAGCCTCGCCACCGCCACTTGACTAACCGTCAAACATCTGCAAGGCTGGGTGCACATGTCCCCTCATCAAGGCAAATGCCGAAATCGCAATGGTCCGTGGCGTCTTTTTGGGTGAGTCTTTGATTCCCTTTTCTTTTGGTATGTGCAGAACGTCATCATCATTCACAGACTTGACCAATACGACCTCGGCCAACTTTGGACAGTTCCTATATAAAATTTTAAATTTTGTATGGAAAAATTTATTCTAAATAGTGTGGGCGTCTTTCTACATAGCTCCATAACTACGAATTTATTTGAAATTTTTATATACATTAAGTAAATTTCTTATAAATTTCTCTATAATAGTGGAGTTTCAACAAAGGTTGACGCCTAAGTTACGGACCTATTATGGTGCGAACATGGTGAGTATTGATGTAAAACAGCCAAGGGCTGAGAATTTTTGCCCGGTACGAATCATGACGGCACAATGAGGGATTCACCCCTGATACGGCTTCTTTCGGGCTTGATGGAAGTGGAAACGTTGCTTATACAGAACCTGCGATTTCCAACTAGCCTTTCAAAGGCTGCATATCAGGTGGGAATGATATGGACCTCACATGTATAGGCTCGCCGTAAACACCACGTCTCGTCTGATCATCTCCCTGGCCTTGTCCATCTTCCCATACAGAGATGGATCCCCAATCAACCTCGCCGCGCTCATCACCTCCCTGCACGTCTCATCCAACCTCGTGATGACTCTGACAATGGTGCCCTCCATCACGTCCGTCAGATCGGTGATGCGGTTGAACGACATCCCTCTGGCCCACTCAAAGACCACTTCGACCAGCCCAAAGCGTTGTCTTGAGACGAAATCATTGGCGTCGTCCGAGGAGAGGATCACTTGATGCAGGATCTGGTAGTGGTTCACTCTTTCCGAGATTTCGATGATGGCTTCTTTGCCACGCTCGAGATTCCCGCTGAGTTGGGGTTCACTCTCCGTCTTTTCTTGGAACACAAAGGATGAAAGGAGGGCAACGATTTCTTCGGGCTCGAACCTGGACGCCCGTCAGTGTGACCAGGGGTTAGCTTGAGGAGAAATTACTTACGATGCAAGCACATTCTCCAGAATTAGCTCAGTCATTACAAGCTCGTCGGCCGAGTGGATCTCGCAAGCCACTTTGCCCTTCAGCTGAACGCGAGACTGATCGTCGATGAACCCGAGATCCTTCAACACCGCAGTTCTCTGCTGGTAGTCCGGCAAGAGAGACAAATTCTGGTCAGACATCAACATCTTCAAAGATTGGATATTTTCTTGGATCAGCCATTCGTCATGTTGCACGCCGTAGTGTTTCAAAAATTGCGGACATTGCAAGCATTGACTATTCTCGAAGATCCGAGCAGCATGGTTCCTCTTAACCAGCAAATCGCGAATATGCAGTTCATGCACTTTACTCCAGTCTTGCTCGTCCCACGCTGTTGAGGTCCAGGAAGAATAGAGGTTGACAAATTCTTCCTCAACAAATTGCTGTGGCGCCTCATTCGATTGAAGCAGCGACCGCAAATCGACCTGTTGGTTTCCAAAAATATATATAAGAAAACGGGTAAGCATCACATTTTGAGGTCCTGGTGAACCTGTGAGGGCCAACTGACCTTGACAACTGTCTGGGTAACACATTCCACATCGTCCAACAAAATTTGGGAAATGCGCCATTTGACCTGGGAAGCCGCTTCTGGAAGAGCGGAGAACATCATGCGCACACAAGGTAGGTATGGCAGCAGATCTCGCGTCGATCGCTTTGCGTCAACGTGTGATATTTCAAGGACTTTGAGGCCTCGATCTGGCCCGCCTCGCACTCCGTCTTCGAGAAGCATTCCAACTGTGCGTATACCGTCCTAGACAGAGTTGAGAAGAGTCACACCAAAAAAAAAGCAAAAAGAGTTTCTCACCTTCTTGAACACTATCAATCTCTTTGCGGTCCAGAGACGGCGTCCGACTGGCGACAACAGTAAGCCTATGTGGAGTTCCTTTGTTATGCGTTCAAATTGCATGGCGGCTTCATGACAGATCTCTGCGTCAATGTCGCATATGTCGCAAGGTTCCCGTTTGATCTTGTCCAGAGTTGCCTGGGATAGCGCTACCTGCTCCTGGTGTTGAGGTAATAATGCTTGCGTAGCATTCTCAGAGAAGCTCCGCTTTATCATTTCCTCAATTTTCAGAGCCTCGACCCGCATGAGGTTCAGAATCATGTTGTAATGCAGTCTAAACTGGCTGCGCAGTTTGGTGGCAGGACCAGTGATCATCTGAGTCAATTCTGCGGCCGAGGGCGCCTCGGTCTTGCCTGGCGTGACGATGATGACAGTCCCAACGGTGTCGAGGCCTCGACGACCTGCGCGGCCAGCCATTTGAGTGTACTCTCCAGGAAGCAGGTTTCGAAATTCACGTCCATCGTGCTTGCGGTATCCCGAGAACACCACGGTACGGGTTGGTAGATTGAGACCCATGGCAAATGTCTCCGTGGCAAACAGCACCTTCACCAAGGTTTTCGCGAAAAGAATCTCGACGATTTCTTTCACGATGGGCAAAAGCCCTCCGTGATGGACAGCGACACCGCGGCCTAGCATCTCTCGCAAACGTCTGATTTGCGGCAACACCCGGTCCTCCGGTTTGAGTCTCGCGATTGACCTTTCGACGACCATGTGAATGGCACTCTTCTCGGTTGCGGTGCAAAAGTCTTGGTTTGAGAGAGAATCGGCGTTCTCTTCGCATCTCTTCTTTGAAAAGACGAAGATACAGGCTGGGAGGAGATTTTCTTTTCGCAAGTACTGGACGAGATGCACCCAGATGTTTCTGTCTTGAGCAGCCGTCGTCCTGCCGCCGCCACGTCCTGTTCGCGCAATATTGCCTTGACCGCGGTTCGGGCCAGGCCCGCGTCCTCGCTGCTGTGCACCCCCTCTTTGAGTTGACGGGCCGCGGGGAGCCTGGCCGCGACCGCCTCCTCGTGGTCCGGGTGCCTGGCCTCCACGCGCAGCCGTGTGAGCCTCGATGGCTTTCTGCTCTTTGATTTTATCAAGTCCTGATAAGATGTCGTTGACCGCTTTCCATCCACTCTGAAGGAAGCGTTTCTCTGAATCTACAATCTTGTGCATCTCTTTGCCCGCCCACAGGTAATGCTCCAACGGTACAGGTCTCTTGGGCGTGGAGATGACGTAGATATCCTTCTTCTTGGTACGCCCAACCCAGGACGCAAATTCGTAGGTGTTGGGCACGGTGGCGGAGAGGAGGATCAGGGTGACGTGATCGGGTAACATGATAATGACCTCCTCCCAGACCACTCCTCGCTCAAGGTCATTGACGTAGTGCACTTCATCAAAGATGACAAACTCTACATCTCGAATGAGGTCGGCACCGCGGTAGAGCATACTACGCAAAATTTCTGTTGTCATGATGAGACAGCTCGCTTCTGGATTGATCTGGACATCGCCGGTCAATATGCCGACGTCATCGAAGATGTTCTTGAAATCACGGAACTTTTGATTGGAAAGAGCCTTGATAGGAGACGTGTAGATGGCTTTGGTCATATGCTTCGCAGCCAGGGCGATGGCATATTCCGCGACCACAGTCTTTCCCGCCGAGGTGTGGGCCGCCACAAACACCGAGTCGCCGCTTTCCAGATGATAGACTGCCTCTTTCTGAAAAGTGTCGAGTTCGAACGGCCACGTCCGCGCCATGTCGGGGACCAGTTCTTGGAAGTTTGGAATGGCCTTATTGATGTCCACCACGTGAGCCCATTTTTTACCCGGTACCCTGGTGGTTGCGGGCAGTAATTTTTCACGCGGCGCAAGAGAGGGAAATTCGACTGGCAGCAGATCGTCGAGATCGGCATATTCTTCCTCGTCATCTTGCACCATTGAAGGTCCATTTCCCGCTTCAGCCGTTCTGTCTCCGTGGTGGTCATGGGCTGAGGCGGCTGGGCCAGGTTCCTCATCGGCATTCAAGGTTTGTTCTACGTCCTCGGCATCTGCTTGGGCCTCACTCGATCTCTTCTCGGCGAGCTTCATGCCCCTGGCAAAGCCCGGGGGCACTTCGAGAAGGCCATCACCAACTCCGAAGTTGATGACCCGAGCGAGCCCATTGGATTTTTTCACTGGTCGGAAGTTTTCTCTCTCTCCCTCCAGCCTGACCTGGTCTTCGTAAGCTTGAATGGTATCGACTCCATCCAGGCCACCAGGCGCAAAGGGAAAAAAGCCGGCGGCGCCTCGCACAAAGTCGGCTCGATTCGCTGGTTTTCGCATCAGTGACGTGGAGTTTTTGGCAGTATCACCGGATGCGGAGGCGGGCAGCGTGACCTGTCGATAGGCGGCGACTTTCCCTTCCAGACCGTGTCGGGTGAAGCGAGTGATGGTCCTAGTCTGGGGAGGGGCCAATCGACACAGCTCTGGGTAGTTGGCAGATTGGCCGTCCCACCGAGGCTGCAGCTTGTTCAGCCATTCTGGCGACAAGGTTGATGGTGGCGACAGAAATTGGGTTTGCAGCTCATGTTTGAGGTGCTGCTCGCGGGTGTCGCTCTTGGGCGTGTGCAATGGGCGAGCCATGGATGCGAGGGGCAGGGGCGCTGGCTGTGGTGAGGGAGAAGTGTCGCGTGTTTGTTGCTCGCACTCACTCGCACTCACTCGCACTCACTCGCACTCACTCGCACTCACTCGCACCACACAAGTCCCCAGCCGGGTTGACGGAATAAAATACCAATCTTTCATGCAAGATTTAAGACCGGTGAATTCCGCGTTTTATTTGAAAAGTCGGAAACTTTTACTTTGAGCAAACAGCCAATCTTGCCGATAGAGGTCGCAAACCATCACCTTCTGCTCCTTGGTATCAAATATGGAAGGCAGGAGTGATAGTGCACTTTTGAACGACTTCTCAGAGCAATCACTTGTAAAATTAACGAAGTTGCGATGTCAATGGCATTGTTCATTCACGGAAAATCTGTGAAATATTACATCTCGGTCACGTGCGTGACGCTAGGCTCTCGTCTCAGCATCCCAAACGTCAAAGCCATTCTCCAAATGCCCCACATGGATGCGCGGACGTGAAGATTGGCGGGTGCGCCGCTAGCATTGTCACCGAGGCGGCGAGGCCACCTACGAACGAAGGCCACCCACCGCTCCCTGATTTCGTAAGGCCGACGGGAGTGAATGCATTAGCGTTGCTAGCGCCGGGTAGCTGACCAGGGGGTCGCCTCGTCTGACTGCTTGTTACTTAGTCTGGCTAGCTCCTTCGGCCCGGCAGAGGCCCATAGGCCCATAGGCCCATGGCAGCTCGTGCAACTTTTCTTTCTGTTTTTTGTTTCCTGGGGGGCGCCTCCCCCCCCCTAAATAACTAACCACTTACCTGAGCGGGAGGGCTGTGAGGAAGGTGAGATGAGTTGTGCAGTGCGTGCGACGCTGAAGTGGGCCTATCAATGGCCCCTGGTGGCTCCTCTGATACCTGCTTTTCCAGTACCCGGTACCGAGTACCTCGTACCAAGGAACCAACCCCCCCCCCCCCGGGACTCCTCCACTCGTCTTTTGCTCTTCTTCTGCCTCTTGACCCAGGCTGTGGTTTCTCTTCCTCTATAACTACCACCTCTACCAACAACTACCAAATACCAGCACCAAACATCCTCGAGGGAAAAGCATTCTAATGGAGGTCTAGCTGCCGTCTCGACAATTAGCTCCTAATTGCCCAGACCATCACTTCATCCATTCACCCTGACCTCTCCACGGCGGGATTCTCCCGTCAACCAACATGACAGAGCTTGCTCAGCACGCCAATGCTCCAGAGAATCGCCGGTGCACCCTCCCCTTGAGCTGAAACCCTAAACACCTCTCGACAACATCATATCCCCCCCCCCTCCCTCTCCCTCTCTCTCTTTGCGTAGAGAAAATATGGATCCTCGGGAGAGTAAGCGCGCCTTTGACCTACCCAGGCTCAAGACAACTTGCTCACGACCCGCTCGTGGTCAATTCACCTTCTACGACGTCAAATTCTGGCCATATGCCTCCGCTTCATGCGACGGGCCTATCTTCGCCGTTGCTGCCCAGAGGGGAATCATTGTTGGTCGCTTGTCAAACAAATCCCAGTCTGTAGTCACCGTCCTGCAAGATCTCTGGGATTTTCAAGATGATCACGACGCATCTCCGAATCTGAATTCGTGCGCTTGGTGCTACATCGATTGGCAGAGGCCTTTGTTGGTGGTTGGCGGCGGTTCAGGCCAACTAAAGGTTGTTGACGTTCTCGAAGCCCAATGTGTTACCACTCTGCTGGGCCATGGACAAGCAACCATCAATGACATTGCTGTTCATCCTCTCTACCCGTGGGTCTTCGCCACCGCTTCGCAGGATGGGGCGATTCGAGTCTGGGATCTACGCCGACACCGTTTTCGTCACAACGCACCGTCCATCATCCTCTGTGGGAATGGAACCGACGGACACCGTGCCGGCGTCTTGTGTCTTGCATGGCACCACACCGGCCGCTACTTGGTATCGGGCGGCCACGATCACCGCATCTGCGTGTGGACCATACCCGATCTTGAGGATGGCTCTCCCTTCTGGGACACAATTTGTCCCGAGCTCATAGAGCGACGGTCGAGCGAGACATTCGTCATCCACTATCCTCACTTCGTCACCCAAGCCGTCCATACCCAATACATTGATTGTGCAAGGTTCTTTGGCGATTTGATTGTGACAAAGGCGGCCACTGAAGGCAAGATTGTGCTTTGGAAGATCACCGGCTTCGACTCGGGAAGATGTCCGCCTCCTGTCACGACAACCCCCAAACTCGAGGGTCACCTCGACACGCGCAACGGTTTCATGCGTACCATTATCACCGACGAGGATGGCTACGAACATGTGGGGATTCGAAGTGATTGCAAAAACAAGCCTCCCTATCGAAGGCTCCTGGAGTTTGAGACTCCCCACGACGACGTATTCTACATGCGGTTCGGCCTGCTATTGCCTACGCAGGCCTATCCAGACACACATCCGGTGCTAGCGTTTGGCAACGCTGCTTCTGAACTTCGCTTCTGGGATCTCGAACGGTTGTCAGTGGGGCATGCTGGCGAAGTCTATCCGGGCGCCAATCCTCCTCGCGCCGGCAGAAAAAGGAAGAGGCCGAAAACCGAAGTCATACCCACAGCAAACCAACCGGAGAAACGACCTCGAAAGCCCGACACCGCTCCCTTGGTCCCTGAAAGAAGGTCTTCAAAGCTCAAGCAAGACCCTCCAGCTATCAAAATTAGCAATGTAGAAACCAAGGAAGAGGTTGTAGAGATCAGGCAAGGGTCTGCAGCAGCCATTAAGACAGAGTCTGCACAGATGAAGATAGAGCCTGTAGAGATTCAGCAGGAGTTTCCAGGTCCTATACAGCTGATCCCTCCAGCTCGACATGTCAATGCTACAAGAAGTTCGACTCAATTAGGGTCAGACGTCGCTCAACTCTCTCGGCAAACTCCAGTCGCCAAAAGAGAGGCAAATTCTGTCGGGAGATCAACTACAATAAAAGCAAACGGCATACCTCCGTCTCCAGACACTCCGGCTGCCACAACAGAACTAAACCCTGTCAGAAGATCGCGTCGTCTTTTAAAGCCACCGTCTCCGCCCGCTTCAGATGGCTCAGAAGATCGAAGTCCTAGCAGGTCGCCATCTGTGGAAGCAGGCGCATCAGGCGCCGCGCTCCCATCTCCAGAGACTTCACCAGAAGCAGATCTTGTCAGAAGGTCGAGTCGTTTAAAACGGAAGGCTTCGAGTGTATTTCCGGAAACTGTAGATGGCGCAGGAGATACCAATCCCGCCAAAAGGTTGTTGCCTTCCCCGGGTCCCGAAGGAGAGAGTCTTAATACTACACAAAACGAGGAATGGTCTGCTCGCGCTCTGGCAAACGCGAGACAGAAGTCTCTGGCGCCAGATTTTGAGGTAGAGGTCTTGGCAAGTATAGAGGCCGACGAATGGTCTTCTGGAAATCTAGAGGTCGAGCGAGAGGGGTCTGCCAGTTCGGGTATCGAGACAGAGGTTCCCTACCGCGTAGAGTCCGCGCGAGCAAGGCCTCTGGCTCTAGACTTCGCGTCAACGTGTGCCAACTCTATGGACATGGACGAATGTTCTCTAAACATCAAAGAAACCCCCACGGATGTCGGCATGCCAGAGTCCCGGACAGTACGGATGTCTGATCTGAACTCGGGCCCGCGGGGTCCCCGATTCAGCTCTACCGAGGAGGACAACGAATCCTCGACGGCCGCTGACTCCACACCTGTTCGCTTTTCGGTCATAGATGATGAGGACTACCTCTCCATCAACGACCCTAAAGATCCCCCTTTTAGCCTCCCAGACCGTGAAAAGTATCCAATCGACGATCCCCACATGCCTCTCAAGTCGCATGCAAGGGTTGTGGTTCATAAGCTCCAATACAAGAAGCGAGCCCCGTTTGTGACGCGAGCAGTGGATTGGAGTCCTTGCGGGAGGTGGTGTATAGCAGTAGGAGAGTCCTGCCTCGACCAGGAAGATGGCTGGGGCGGCTTCGCTGTGCTGCATCGTCCTGATTTGCCCAAGGTTACGATGGACGACAAGACCGAAGCATTGAACAGGACCTTCAAAATAAGGTCAGAGATGCTTGACCGAGTTCAAGGAGATGACAAAGCACTCAACCGTCTCCTCGAAGATTTTGCGTCGTTCATGCAAGTACATGACACTGACGGGGAAAAAGAATCCCAAGGTGGTTCAGACGAAGAATTTGAAGATGAGTTAGACGAAGACTCTAAAGGCGACCCCGAGGAATCTAATGAGGACTCTAAAGATGGCCTGGAGAAAGCTAAAGAAGATCCTCAGGATGACCCCACGGACTTTGAAGGTGAGGGCTCTGAAGATGACTCCAAAGCTGATCTCCAGGACTCGAAGAGGAGCCAGAAGAACAACTTCACGATGACCCTGAGGAATCGACGAGGACTCAGGAGAAGAACTTCACGATGACCCGGAAGAATCTCAGGAGGAGGAGATCTCTGAGGAAGGAAGACCTCTAAAGGCGGCCCCGAGTAGTGCACACCGGACCGTCAAAGGCCTTGCGCTCTCCAATTGTTTTGCAGCTTGTTGACTGTGCGTTCCGCTTGCCGAATTCGGCCATGTGGTTGGTTGATTCTGCATGTATGGGCCTCTTGTGGCACTCTACTAGGATTATGTCTGGCTTGCCATGTTGGAAACTTCGAAATTTTCTACTACGAGCATCCCAACCACGGCCAAGAACCCAGCGAGCCGGGCCTTCTATCATGGCTCGGCGATTCCACCGTGCCTCAAAAAGCTGTCGTTCGGGAGAGTCTGGTGGCCCAAAGCAGGAATAGACTCATTTACCACTCAGCCAGCCAGCCAATCATGTAGCATCATGGAGTAGTATTCTTGCCGGATGCATCTCCAGGGAGGACGCAGGCGGACGCAAAAGCGATGAAGTGGGGGGGGTTTTTTTTTTTTGTTCGAGCCCCTGCCGTCAGGTGGGCAGCTATTACTCCGAACAGAATATACTGGGTACAAGGAATCAGAAATCACGTATATATAATATATGTACCAGGAATCAGATTGAAGGGTGCCATTGAGGTGCCCCTAATGATGCGACACACTACAAGAGGGCCGAGCACGTTGCGAACGCCACTGCAAGGGCAAAGAAGTAGCAGCGGTGTTGAGAGATGCCCAGCGGTAAGCTCCAGACGTAGCCACCGTAGCGGAGTTACGTCTGCGCACCTCGCGACTCACAGGCGCCGTGAGGCCCGAGAGACAACAGGTAGGCAAGCGGAGAGATAAGCAGAAAGGCAAGCAGGCAGGCGGAGCGTGGTGACCAAGACATAACCTTCAAGTTCCATCAGTATATACCTCGCCGTGTCCGCAGATCCCATCATCACACGCGACTTCCAAGGATGGGGTAGAAGAGCCTCGAGTTAAAGCACAAGACCGCCACGATCCACGGGACTCGGTTCCCAATGGGCCAGCGGTTGAGCGTGGCAAGACCGGCTCCCTGATATTACTACGCAAGCAGGCCGGCGGTGTGAGCGCAGTAAGTGGACTCTGCCGCTTTGGGGACAATGAAAAAAACCGTCGCAGGATCAACCCAGCTCCCTTCCCAGGCTCTCTTTCTTCTTTTTTTTCTCTCTCTCTCTTTTCAGGAATCATCGAGAAGCGCCTCCGCCAGCAAACCCTTGAGTCCACTCAACACGGTCGGAAACCAACGTTTGGAAGAATTGATCACTAACCATTGTTGAAGGAAGAAAGAGCTTTCATCGACGGAGGAGGAGGAGGAGGCCATGTATGGTGGCGCAAGACCCCAGCAATCAACCCCTCATGGGCGAGAGTAGAGTAGAGCAGAGTGTAGAGTCGAGTAGTCGAAATCCACAATGAATGAAAAAAATGGAATCAAGAATCCAGGCTTCATTCCGCCACCCACGCACGAATCGACAAACTTGTTGTCATGGTCCAAAAACATGGGACATGGAAACTGGAAATTGGGACTTCTACCCCCAGCATGCTGATGGTTGTCTGTAGGGTCTCCGGAAACGCCCCCGTGGGCGCCGACTCAGTCGTGTAGGTTCTCTTGCCACACGGGGCCGGGTCGAGCCTGTTCTTCGTGGCATCCTGTTGTACGTGTATACGCTCTGGAGGATGGATTGGCCGCAGAACGGAAGAGCTTTGGGGGAAGAAGGATGTGCCCTTCACCGCTGATAAATAGTATATGCGTATGTGTACCAGAAATGCGGCAGAAATGTTTCTGGAAATGCCTGCCGTGTTGTGAGTGCTGGGTATCGTCCGCCACCTGCTTCTCTGGAATGATAGGCAGGAAAGGAAGGGGGGGAGAGCAATGACCACGCATCCTGGACAAGTAAAAAGATGGTCGTAACGTCGGGTCGTGGACAGAACTACATACATCCCAGGAGAGATCGCTCAGTCAAATCAAGTTGCAGCTCTCACTTCATCCATTCTCCACGCTCTTCATCTTCCCCGTGCCCGTTGTTCCCTCATCGTTCCCCAAAGATGAATCCTTCCTCTGCGGACTGTTGACGCCACTCCCCAACCCATTGCCGGTGTATAGTCCCTCAAACTCTCCCCGAACCCCCTCCACCAATTTCCCCACCACATCAATCTCGGCGGACAAATCCTCCACATTCGCTGCCAGCGCCGCTACCTCCTCGAACTTCCTCCGTCGATTCGCATCGGCGATCATCTCTTGTACCAGGAATCTCTGTTCTTCGAGGACAATCAGGCGCTCACGGAGCGACTTTTCCTCGGATTCGAGTTCGGATATCCGGGCCGAGTTGGTGGTGGCGAAAGAGGCCACGCTGAGGGCAGAAGAGGAATCCTTCCTTGCGTGGTGGGGGCCATTCAAAATCGCCAAAGAAGAACGAGGGTTGGGGTTGTGATGCAAGTCAGCTGGTTTGGTGCTGTTGCCATGAGGTGTGGCGTGTTTGAGGACTTTTGGGAGGGACTTTAAGGGAAGCATATGGAGATGTAGAAATTGGGTGGCGTTTTGGTATATGGCTTTCTGGAGTTTCAACTGTGTCGGCGATTGGCTGGGCATGTCCCGTATACGTCGTGCTGCGGTGTCATATTGTGTGAATGAATCCATGAGTCGTTTGCGCGTACGTGAAGCGTCGGTGATTTCACTTGATGAAGGAGGATGATCCGGGTCTTGCAGGGCTTGGAGGAGTTTCTGAAATTTAGGGAGCAGGAGTCGGATTCCCCGTTCAAATTGAAGGAGATTACTGTATGAACGGCCAAATGCCTCGATCGAGGGTGAGGTCAGGGAGGCTTGGAAGTCCCTGCGGGCGAAAATCATTTGATTGCACTCTTTGCAGAGCCGTATGTCTACCGCGACAGTGTCGTTGGGGGCAGGCTTTTCTGTGATGGTGAGGCGGGTGTTAGCTGTCAAGTTTGATATCAGTATGTCAAAAGAAGAGCAACCTAGAAAGAGGCAGACTTACTAGTAGCAACATCGAGGCCGATGACGGTCGAACATCCAGTGGCAGTGTCTCCACAAACAACCTTCCCACATGTTCGGCAGTGATGTCGCCGGAACGAGTATTGGCTGAACTCTTGCTGGCAGTACGGACATCTGGGGACGTCGGCGTCAGTCTGCCAGGGCACGATGGTTTGCTCGAGCACCTTTCGAGGGTCTGTTGGAGCCCAGGTTAATGACCATCTCTTGTTATGAGTCGGTTGTGGGATTTCGTCCGGTGGGTTGGCAATTATCTGCGTCAACCGCGACAGCCTTTTCTCCAACCTGGAGACCTCCATCTCTTTATGGCTGAGCTTGCTTCGCCTCGCACTCTCAAACTCGGCCATTCGATCTCTTTCCAGACCGTGCCGGTCTGTATAACCCTCGCGGCTTTTGTAACATGTCTCGCATACCCGATACCACAGCCCTCGAACGGGCTCATGTTGTGCAGATCTCGATAGTTTCATCTGATACATTGTATGCTCCTCGCAAAAGAGCTTTCCGCAGTGTCGGCAATTGACGACTCCCGTCGTAGACCCAAGCCTCTTCTCACATGTTGGGTCAGAACACACATCGTACCCGGTCCTCTTTTGCCAGTGCTGCTTCGTGATAATGTCGTCCGGATCGAGGAGCGATTGGGAGGGCTTTGGCGGCAAAGGCGGAGCAGCAGGATCCCTGGGACCTCTCGAGGCAGATTCACTCCTCGGTGTAGGGGTAGTGCTTCGGGCACTGTCATGGTTCGACTCAAAGACGTCCAAGCCCTTGAGTTTCTGGTTCAACACTGCTAGTGGCTGGAATTTCTTTGCCTTGACCATTTGTTGTTTGAACCAATCTTTCACCTCATCTTGTTGTTCTTCTTCAATCTCTTTATGAGCATCATCTAGGTGCCTGTTTAGTTGCAGCAAGGTGACCATTTCCTCATTACAGATAGGACAGACCAAGCGGTCTGTTGCGGCTGCGGCTGCGGCTGCCGTAGACAAATCCGGCGCTCCATGGTCGAGTGATACTCGTGATACTATGTCTTGAGGATCGGAGGACGGAGGGGTAGAAGTCCCGCTCTCAGAGGTATCCAAGGACAGAGTCGAGGCCGAAGGGGACAGAACGTGGCCGGGGAGAGGCGAGGTAGACTTTGGTTGAGGAGGAGGGCCAAGGGTTCTACTGTTTCCCAGAACCCGTCCGCCGCCGATGGTGCGCCGGGACATTGCACCGTTGTTTGGCTTCCATCAAGCGAGGTTGAGCGGGAGGTGGCAGGGATAGATACTCGACGGAGGGGCGGAAACTGCAAGAACTGTCTGCGCGGCAGAGAAAGGCGGAGTCACCAGAGTCAGAGGGATCGAACACGACCTAGGGCCGCTTAGTCACCCAGTTCCGCCGTGCTAGCACGAAGCCACAACTCAAGGGCTTCGTTGGCTGAGCAGACCGATGTACAACAAAACATGGAGGTTGCCCGCTGTTGTCCTTTCATGGCCAGCGAGCCAGCACTGCTGCCTTTGCCGTGGTTTAGTGGCTTGGCACGGAAAGTCAAAACTGCGATTCTGCTTGGAGGGACGCCGCTTTATTTTGGTCACGTGGGGGGACGTCATCTTCCTCACCTCCACAAGACCTCCCTTCCCCGGGCCTCCAGTCTGCTTCCACTTACTATAGAAACTCGTAGTAATTATAATCGTTTCAATATGAGTTCTCTAATTCATCCGCTGAGCTGTTTAAGCAGTCGCGTCTCCCGGTGTGCATCCAGTGCGCTGCAAAGTGTTCGGATCTGCACCGTGATCGAGGATGTTGTTGATTGCTCTTGTGACTGCTCGTATGTCATTTTCGTCATACAACAGATGTTTAAACAAGCCCTCGACGTGAAAACTATGGTATCCACCGTCACCATGAACCTGTGGTGCGTCACAGTCGAAAGTCCCTGCCCCGAAGCTGCGCTGAACCAGGTCCATGTTACCGTTGAAGGCAGTGGCACCAGCACCAGCGCCCGGGTTGTTGCGAACCCTTCTGCAACAACTGCTATGCAACCCACAGTTGAGCAGCACCCTCTTCCCGAGAGTCAATCTTGTACACGCAACCAAGGGTCCACCAGCAAGGCTCTAGCACTTTCTCTCTCCTCTGGCAGCCAAGTCAGCATTGAGCACATGAATTTGAGGAATGCGACCTTATCCGCCCCACCAAAGTACTCTTCGAAGTTCTCAAGGGAGAGTGAGGGTAGCGGAGGATTGCCTTTCCAATCCCCGAATACGAGGGTCAGACATCCTGATCAACAACACTGGCAATTTCCAACTCGCCTTGTTCATCGAATACTAATGTTGTCTTCGTGCTTCGGCGTTGGAACTCAATTAGTGGGGTCCTCAGATATGCAATCATCTCTGCAACATGGCATCTGTTATTATGCAAGCCTTCATCATCTCGAGCGTCAAAGAGATGCTTATTCTCCATCATATCCGAGGCCTACGGGACGGGACCCTCCATGAGCAGCCCAATAACGTCACCGGGGGAGAGCGGAAATAGGCTAACCCACGACACACGCCGTGTTCCAGATATCAACACGGTGTGACCAGCCTCTTTGCATGATCATCTCAGGCGCTTTATAGACCTCGGGCTGTATTTCTTCATATGGATAAGAACCCCCGATCCGAGCCTCGCCGAAGTGCCACAGAACAGAGGAACCCCATGCTTGGTTCTTTGGATGCCGGAAAGACCGAGATGCGTAGATTGTTCGTTCACCGCTCCCAATTTTACGTGGGCAGGGTTTTACGCTCAGCCTCCTCAATGTCCATAAGTATGCTCTTATCCTGGATAGTCAGCATGAGTTAGGTCTAAGACATAGTCAGTTGAGGTTTTGCTTCGATGAGCCTAGTCAAGGTACCGCAGTGTGTGATATTGGCTTACTGAGATCCCTGAGTTCACCTCAAAGGCTGCGTAAAGTTTCATTGCGATCATCAAAGCGTTTGATGGTTTCTTAGAGCGACTGAATCGACTGCACACCTCCGTCTTTTCGCTGACATCCTTGTCAAGACATCGGTAGGATGCGTTTGTCTCTGCGGATGAGATGGTTCGGGGTAAGGATCGTGGGATTGCCAAGCCTTTGGCTCGCTATGATTACCTACCTCGGCCATCCCAGATAGACATAATAAGTCGTTGCAAGGGATCTATGTAAGCGGTAATCAATGGTAGAAGCTGTGCAGAGGTGGGAAACGGGTTGTTTACGTTCATTGTTTACGGTCACGCGAGGGTGGAAGCTTGGCACGTTGGGAAAAACTCCTTCCGAATGCGAGTTTAGGGCGGCGTCACCCCCATCCCGATCTGGGGTGAGGCGCGAGCAGTTTTTACTTTATTCTTGGCGAGAGCTGTCGAAGCGGGGGCTTTTACTGAGAGACACCACCTGCTCAATCACTATTGCGGTGGAAACCTCGATCCTTGTGTTTTCAGCTTCTGTTGACCCCTTTTCGTGTTTGACAGGACGAGGCCTCGTCAATCCCGCGTTGATTCTCCAGGAACGCTGCCCAGTGTCCTTGAGAAGCTCTCCAACTCCAAGACTGCTTGCTACGTCATAGCATCGAGACGCGATGGTGAAATGGGCAACACTTCTCTTCGGAGCTCGCGAGAGGGACTCACCACATCACCATGGCGAGACACGGAGATGTAAGTTACAGCTCTGCCCTCTGTTAAAACCGGTATATTGAATTGAACTAGTACTTCCCGCGCACAGCTCTGACCTCCCGCCATCTGCCTTTCCCGCCAAAGAAGTCACCAAAGTTGCGCTCCGATTGAAGTATCAGATCGAGGAAGTCATCCCCATCGAGCTCCCTGAAGAGAAAGTCATAGCCGCCAACAGCTCTGTGATAACCCAGAAGGTGGTACAAACCGCCAAGGAAGCGGGCGGTACTGACTATGCGGCATGTGTGGTATATTGTCTACTCGTGTGCAAGAGATGGTTCACCAGACAAGCCAATCTGGAGCTTTGGGATGCAGACTTGCACCACGTTCGTGCAAAGGCCTGTGAAATGATCGCCAAACGCATCATCGAGGCCGAGGATGACCAAGAGTATCTGATGCAAGACATCCTCCTCAAGCGATACTCCGTCCTCCGTAAAGACGAAGAGACGGTCCCGCAAAATGTCATTGAGAGAGCCGTCGACCTCCACTGCCTGATCGTCATTGGATCCTCTGGCTACCAGAAGTGCGTCAAGTACCTTTGGAGAGGTTGGATTCACCAGGACGACAAGGACCCCGGCAGGTTCGTCTTTTACAAGGACCGGGACAACACCAATTACTGGGTCCATCTGAACCCCGACCGCATGCGCACGCCCTTGTACCAGAACGCCCTGCAAATCTCGATATCCATTCTCTATCTAGCCCTGTATACCGGTGCAGTCAACACCGTGAACGAAGACGGCGACCTGGACGTCGTCGAAGGCATCCTCTATGTCATGACGTTGGGCTTCATCTGCGATGAAGTTGGTAAATTCTGGAAAGTCGGCATCTGGTATTTCGGCTTTTGGAATGCCTTCAACAATTGCCTCTATGCCCTGCTTACTGCCTCCTTTATAATCCGCATGATCGCGCTCGGCCATTCCCCAGACGAGAATGACGACAAGCGTCGCCAACTCAACCGATTGGGCTATCACATATTCTGTGTTGCCGCGCCCATGTTCTGGGGCCGCCTCCTCCTGTACCTGGACACGTTCCGCTTCTTTGGTGCCATGCTGGTCGTCCTGAAAGTCATGATGCGCGAATCGATCATCTTCTTCGCGCTCCTCCTGGTTGTTTGCGTAGGCTTTCTTCAGGCTTTCATCGGTCTCAACCAAGTCGAGGGAAACGCCAGCATCACCAGCTTCATCATCACCGCCATGGCCAACTCCGTCATGCAATCACCCGATTTCGAGGGCTTTGACAACTATGCTCATCCCTTCGGCCTCATACTATATTATATATTCACATTTGTCGTCATGGTGATCCTGCTCAATATCCTGATCGCATTATACAACAGTGCGTATGAAGATATCACGCAGAACGCGATCGATGAGTACATGGCCATGTTTGCGCAAAAGACATTACAATTCGTCCGTGCCCCAGATGAAAATGTCTTCATCGCGCCTTTCAACCTAATTGAGTTGTTCTTTCTGATAATTCCGTTTGAATGGTGGATGGACCCATATCGCTATGAACGATTGAATAACTATGTCATGGGCGTCATCTATTCGCCCCTTTTATTGATCACGGCTGGTCTGGAGGCTGTGGATGCCCGCAGCGTGCGAAGCAATAGGAGCCGAGGAGAGGAGGATGACGACACGGTTGAAGAATGGGAAGAACTTGCGGGTGAATTGAATTTTGAATCCGAAGGATGGGACAAAAAGGTTCAGTCCTCAAGACCCGTGGTCGAGGTCGATGCCGATGTCGTCGAGATAAGACAGCTGAAGGAGCAGGTTGATGAATTGCAACGGATGGTAAGGGCGTTGAGTCCTGAAGCTGACGGCGAGGGCAGTCACTGAGGTTGGTTTGTCAAAAGGAATGACGGGAAAATGGCTAATGATCCCCTCTGGCGGTTGTCTGTTTGACCAAGCTGTCTAGGTAGACTTCAGGTCTCATATTGCCAAGTTGGCTACCTAGTGATTCTAAATTGTAATATGCTTCACGACTACCAGATACGAAAGGACCAGAATGCTGTACGAAGGGTCAAACACCTTAAGCATAATTCTAAACAGCTCAACAACCACGAAAAGGTAGAAGTTCCGGTAAATATATGTGAAATTCCTTATAGATTTCTCCCGTACATACGGACAAGTCCGTTCCATTTGGTTCACCACCTTTCCATCACGAGACTTCAACACCTCAACACCTGGAGTCAATCACCTCATCTCGGCATCTCGAACTGTGATCCTCGCCGTACCGCAAAGGGTTTCTCCCAAGAAAGACTAGGACGAAAGCGTTGTCTATTATCACTGCTTTGGTTGATCCCGCGGAGCCGCTTGGAACCCATCACGCCCAGCTCAATTTCCAATCCGTTCAAGTCATGGCTGCGCCGTTGAAGCTGGTGACTTCGGATGACCTGCTGATCTGCTGTGCGTGCGGCGCGCAGTACGACGTCGATGAAAAGATCGGCAAAGACGAGTGTCGCATCTGCGAGGTGCGTAGCATATTCTCTTTTTTTTTTCCCCTTGTACATATGCACAGACACAACCTCTCTCCACCCCATCCTCGCCACTTGTCAATCAAGAATCAAGTATTTCATCCCTCTTGTCGGAACAAACACACATCCACGCGTCCAATACCCCAGTTCCTCCCTCTTTTTTTGGGACTATTTCCCCCTTCTCGCCCCCACCGTTCCGACGTAGCACGCAAAGATGGGACCCCCTATCTGACCCGATATCGACATCCATTAGGATCCCAGACAATTCATCCCGCCCTCAGGCCAAGAGTTCACGACCCTGCGCGAACTCCGCGAGCAGGGCACGTACAGGAACGTGTTCGAGCCGTGCCCGCACAACAGCACGGTCATCGAGATCCACACGGAGCCAAAGGTGAGAAGAACCATTCGTTCGTCACCATATAGCCGGCTTTAGTCGGTGACACACGGATGGGGGATGCATAGCCGTGGGCACGACACGATGCTCGTTATTATTCATGGTCCCCCCCAAGGCTCAAGCTGAGATCCGCTTTTTGCAGTTCGGAATCGGCCAGGGAGCCCGCCTCATCCGCACGCCAAACGGGAATGTGCTCTGGGACTTGATTGCGTATTTAGACCAGGACACTGTCGATCAGGTATGTACGGCATATGCAATACGCGTGGCATACCGCGGGAAGCAGAGGAGAGATGGTGATGGGAAGCGATGGGACTCCTCTCTGTTTCTCGCGTGAGCTGGTATGCTTTCGTTATTTCCCTCCTCTCTTTAAGGGGGAAGGAAAAAAAACAAAAACAAACATTTGATGTTGCTTGGTCACTCACGCACGGATGGGGTTGACATGGTTGCGAATCAGATCACAGAACTGGGCGGGTTGAAGTTTATCATCATTTCACATCCGCATTTCTATACGTAAGACACCTTCCTCGTTTGTTTGCTTTTCGGTTCCCCCTTCTGTCAAGCCTCGCGACGGGGCAATTTGCTTGACAAATGTTCGTGCTACTGACTGGCAAACACGTGCACGACCTTAGAACCTGGGCGGACTGGTCTTCTACATTCAACTGCCCCGTCTACATGACCGAGGTCGACTCCGTCTGGGCCAATAGGAAAGACACACCCTCGGCCACCCTGAAGTTGCTGAAAGAACCCAGCACCGAGCTCCTCCCAGGCCTCACGTCGTTGATCTGCGGAGGTCATTTCCCCGGCAGCCAGGTCCTGCACTCCCTCCCACCAAACACGCCGATCCCGACGCTCTTCGTGGCCGACACCATCTTCGCGGTGCAGTCGAGCCATAATCCCGACCCGGGGAAGCGGGGCGATACCATTTCATACCAGTTTCTGTGGAGCATTCCCAATTTCATCCCCTTGCCGCCGGACGAGGTGCTCAAGATCTGGAAGGCCCTCAAACCGTTGGAGTTTAAAGCGACCTACGGGGTTATGGCCAAGATCACCAATGTCTGTAAGTATCAACTGCTCCTTCCTAGAATTGTAGATTTGGGACTTGTGACGTAGAATGCTGATGGTGTTGGATTTCGACATCAATAGTTGAGAGACCTGGCCAGAGCCTGAGTCTGAAAGCTCGGGTGCTTCAGAGCGCAAAAATCGCCGTCAAAGCGATGGGGTATTCTGACCACAGCATCTTCGTCGAACAGTTGTGATTTTCCGAGAGTTGTCGTAACACAATGCTGGATGTACTCGAGTTGGCATGGGTTGCTTCAAACCAAGAGGACTGCGTTTAAACATCCATCTCGACTCGGGTCGTTCGTCACCTGCGCGTACTTCCCCCAGACCACTTTTCCGCCAGTCGTGACAAGACCAAGCTCTGATACGTTGACCTCGATGACCGTGCCCTTGGTCAATACACCCAGCTGCGTGTAGAGTGGATTTTGTGGATTCTTCTTGACGCTGATGATGGGCAATTGTACCGTGACGCCCAACTCTGGATGTGTGACGTTTGCCTTTTTGTACCGGAGACCCATGGGCCGTATGAATCGCTCGTACTTGACGGGCCGCCTCGTGAAGTCGGGTCCGACAAAAGTCGGCTGTGTAATCATTCTCTTCCAACTCTTCTTGGCCGTCTTCTTTCCCGTCTTGACCACCTTGAACATCTCCTCCTCGCTGATCCCCTTCACCTTGGGCAGCGGGACGGAGAATTTGGCCGCCTTCTCGGCCCGCTTGTTCTTGATCGCGCTCGACAGTGCCTTCGCATTGTTGGCCTGCGACCGGTCGAGCAGGTAGCTGGGCAAGGGGGTGGAAGATGGTTCGCTGGGCGCCGCCGACTTGACGTCCCGTTCTTCTTGGGCCCTGATGGCCTTCTTCATCTGGATCTTCTCCGCATGTCGCTTCTTCTGGTGCAGTTTCGCCCGCAGGCCACGCAGGTTCTGTGCCTTGTCCGATTGGGCGTGGCCTTCTCTTGCTTCCCTCTTGCGCACCCGTTCATCGTGGTCCAGACGCTTGCCATGCTGTTTCTGCCAGCGCTCGATGTACTCGTTCTGAGGCATGGCGACGTACTCGGTAGCGCAGTGGTCTTGGTCACTCAGAGTATGGGGTCGGGTCCTGTGCAAACGTCGCAACAAGTTCGATCGCAACTTAGCCGCCAAAATTTTCGTGGGGGGAGATGCATGTCACGTGTCGTGATTGTGCCAAGACAAGGCTAAAGTAGCTGGCCAGTCACGTGGAAGGCTTTTGGCCTCCTGAGGGAGCCGGCCGCATTATGGGGTAGTACCGGGCACATTTGTTGCCACTACGACCTCTGCTACCGCTTGCAATGCCACCGCACATGCCACTCCCATTACATCTATCTACAGGGAAGAATGATATAATTTAAAGATAAAGATCTTGACTAACTGAAAGCAAATACAATAAGCAGAAATGCTAAATGATGAAGACCGAGATTGTCCTCGCCGAGCAACCGATTGAAATAATTTGTTAGTCCAAAGCCATTCCCCCGAATGCTACCATATATGGATGTCAATGTAGTCTCAGTATTCCCAGCAGCACGGCATCAGTGTCTTCCTTGCCATTTACATCACCAACGTATCCTAGCCAGCCCTTTCGCAAAAGGCGTATCGTTAGACTTCACTCTTACAAGCTATCGTTCACCAATATATCACCCAGCTCAGATACCCTAAAGCCGTTTGTCATCAGAGCTTAAGAGATATGCAAAGAGGACAGACGTTTTTCTTTGCCGTTGACTAAGTCAATCGCCGTGGGGATGGTATTTCTGATCTGCACGCTGTCACTGAAGATATCGTCGTTCGTAGGGGAACTAACCTAGTGACTGTTGAGCCGGGTACTAGCGAAATGGGCTAAGTATTCCGTCCTGATATCCGATAACTCTAGGTCTTTATTGATTAGTTTCATGAACCGAATTATCATGACCTTCTTGGCGCCTTTGTCAAGGTCGTCATATTTCAACATTAGGTGAATCCTGTTCAGGATAGGAGCGTCGACGTCGTTCAGTAGGTTACTAGTTACGAGCAAGACTCCTTCAAAGAACTTAACTTTGCGAAGAAAGACCGCCACGAGGTGATTCGGGTCAAGACTGAGGCGGGAGCGCTCTTGCAGATGGAATACCGACGAGATATAGTTTCTCGCGCGGTCCCCTAAGACGGGAGATCCGGCTTGTGAATAACCCGGTCTATATCTCGCCGAAGCCCCTCCGTCACCGCTACCTTGGATTAATAGGGTTTAGGCAATGGCGGACCCGATGAGCCTTTTCTCCGGTCTTCTCGCTCCGATCGTGTGACATCACCTTCGGTCTCAACGATTGGAGGACACATTTTTGAACAGCATTTGTAACCTAATGTCGCTTTTTGGGGTCCTTCCCACCGAATGGCCAATGTCAAAACGCTCCTGCCTCTTACCATAATCCATAACTAGCGCAGAAGAACACTCGTACTTTATCAATTTTATTTAAAGATTTCGGTATTTCCTTTATCTCCTGTCCTGAGTTCACTTACTCTCTTATTACAAATGCCGGCCCTGGAAAGTTTGGCAGCGAATGGGGAGAACCACGATTGAGTTCAATTGCTAGCTGCGACTTTAGGCGGATGCAAACGTCCTCACTTTTCTTGCCTTATTTCTACCGGCTGAATTGTCTCGCGTCAGGCGACGATTCATGGCGATGTTGCTATTGAAAGATAGGTAGACCAGCAAAATCTGTAGGTCATCTGACCATGAGCGCGGCTGAGAATAGACAGAATTCAGGCAGGTCGCGGACAGCCCCGCAGCCTTTGACCTACCATCGAGACCCGGAAATGGTAACCAGCTTACCTGTTAAATCCAACCAATCAACTTACGGCCTGGGAGTAAATGCAGGGGTAGAGGCCTTATCTTGGACGCTTGATACTAATCCCTTGCTGCCTCCTATAGAACACTGACCTGCAGGCTATTCGATTCATCACACCGGTTAGGAAACGTAACCAACGGTTGTTGACCACATATTCCTCAGCTACAGGGCTGCAGAATTTCTCTGGCTGATAAAGTCTATAATTTGATGTTAGACACAGCCTTGAGGACGACCGGTCACGGGTCGCACGAGCACGATTCACCACACTCATTGGACACATGGAAGGATCTACAGGAGAACAAGGCTAGGTCACGTGGTGCGCTCTGTTGGCTCCGTTGGCTCCGTTGGCTCTGCTACAGAGCGCACAGAGCGCGAGCATTATATATACACCCTCATTACCCCCAGATAGTTTACACTCCCTTCGTAGCCAATTCATGTTAGCTATTGAACCATACTGTTACTAGTAACATTGGTCGTTCATACCTTGCGTTCTTCACTTCCAGTTCATACTATCAAGGATCTGTTACTGAGGAACCTAACCTAGTTAGGATACAGCAGCAGCCTTAACATTTACATTTGACTTGGAGTGAAACGAACGTTCGACCATCGAACTCTCTACCTGTTTATCTTAATACATCGTCGTTACTAGCCACTGTCTAGCTCTTCAAAATACTAGATTGAGCACGAATCTTATCCATTCAGCCTAAGAACTCCATAAGGCTCACATTCTCTTGGCCAGAAGCCGTTCCCCAAGAGGTGCGATAGCAATCTAACGGGTATAAGTTAAGCTTATCACCCTGCTCATGTCCCGTCGTCCTCCTGGTACACAGAAGTTCGAGTCCCTTTGTCTCTCAAGGCGATGCCATCAATCAAGATAAAGTCACTGTTTCAACGATCCAAAAAGCCCGTCTCGCCAGACCATAGCTCGGCTCATACTATGGAGCAGAAATCAGCGTCCTCTGCATCCGACAAGATGTTGGCTGCGGTCGAGCCACTGTCACGCGATTACAGGACACAAACTTCATCAGCGACCCAACACAGCAACTCTCAAGGACCATTACCTGTTACGCCTATGTCGCTGGATCAGCTTACGCCCTCCAACAGCCCCAGGGGGATGTGCAAGAAATGCTCCTCGGGGGGGGGGGTAGTGGATACCACGAAAAGCAACCGTAATGGAAATAGCGGGAGATTGTTCCTGAAGTGCAGCAAACATGGCCACTTTATGAGATGGTTGGATGAGAGTGGTGTCCACGCGGACAACCCGCTCTGCGATTGTGGTAGAAGCAGCAGGCGGGATATTGCAGGGCCCGAGAAGGGCAGGAAACTCTTCTTTACGTGTGCCGAGAGCGAGTGTCGCTTCTGGCGGGCCGATAAGAGAGCAGATGGTCAAGACTGGTGCGCCGATGATAACTTGCTGGAGCTACTTCGTCGTCTCCGTTTTATCTAGCCCGCGAGCCGAGTTCGGCCCCAATAAGTGCTTTTGGGGGCTGCATGCAGATTGTTAATATATGGGTTTGAAAGTGCTAATTGTCAGAGTATGAGAATCAACGGATCTCTTAAAGATAGGACTCTTCGCGGTGACCTTGCAATACGCAATAGAACAGATGTTGAGACGGATTTGGACCGAGGATATCGGGCTCACAGCGCGAAATTAGTCCCGCCATAGTCCACCCATATGTATCCGAAGTGCTGGCGGCCAGACCAACTGGAGGGCGGCTGGTATCGATCATTGAGAGCCAATAATTTCGCAGGCAGCAATGCCGACATGGAAGCCAAAGGCAAATAATTGGCTGGTATTTGGGCGGCACTACTGTACTTGGTATACTTCAAGCCTTATAATGCCTCACCGGTTGAAAGAATGATCAGTTCCCAGCTGACCCAGACCACCACGTGGCCCGACCCGCCCTCTGGACCGTTGAGGCATTTGAATATCGCTTCCTGCGAAATGGTTGACTCTCGATGAACGATACCAGCCACCCTCCGGTTTCGCAATAGACATAGACCCCATGATCTGCATACGAGATCACAAGCATAAGTGACAGCACTGTTACCCTTAAGTCGCTGGGGGAAGGCTTGCATCGTTGAGATTAGGGTAGAAAAAAAAACACATGCAACTGTAAGCTAAGATCATTTTCTTCGTCCAAAAAGTTCTCAGAGTTGGGGCAAAGCTCTTAAATGACCTTAAGGCGTCGTTATAAAGGAATCCATCGGCTCGATGGTGTCGCCGGGTAGAAGGTAAACTGACTTACTCATTATACATGATAGATTAGCTAAGCGATCAATAGGACACTGTACCCTCGAGATTTAACTTCTTCCAACGGAAGCCCTGGATCAAGATATCAAATTTGGTGAAGCATCTATTAAATCAGTTTCCGCACGAAATAGTTCCCGATTTATTCTATCTCTCCTCTCACCTCTACAGAAACATTGTACCTGAAGATGTCGACGGATTACCAGCCTCAGGACCAAAGCGACGACAATAAGATCTTAAATGACCAACAGAACACACCCTTTCCCTCTCCGACAGGTGACCCGATTACTCTCCAAGTGGGCGAGCAACGGTTCACCACCTTCCCCTCCACCTTGACAGCTGAAAGCCCTTTTTTTGCCAGCCTCTTCTCGCCTCAATGGCGGCGCGTCCAAGCTGACGGATCATATTTTGTCGATGCCGACGGCGCTCTATTCCCTTATATTCTTCGCTATCTTCGGTCTGGTGCCCTTCCAATCTTCTATAGTAGCTTCGGAGGGCACGATTACGGCATGTATCAAGCGTTGCTAGGAGAGGCTCAACAATTCCAGATCGAGCGGTTAATGAACTGGCTTAGAAATAAAGAATACGAAAAAGCGGTGAAGATTGAATATTCAGCTCAAGAATATGAGGGATCTAAAAACTTAGCAAAATCATGCTATTCAGATTTGCGGGTGGAGTATAATCCAACTTGGATAACCAGAAAGGTCTATATCTGCCCGAGAGGCATTTATAGTCACAGAGGCAACCCTTCAGCCTGCGGAAAGTCGTGCATGAAAGCCCAAGGGGATGCGGAAAAAGAGTTCGAGGATGAGGATGAACTGAGAACACTGGTCATCTCGAAGAGAACAGTGGTGGACTGTGGGCTTTGTCTTTCAGAGTGATCTAGTAGATCTGGTGTTTATGACCTTTACTAGGTTATGTTTGTTGAACGCTTCAGATATAAATTTGATTTCCCATCCTGCTCGCATGGTGGAAAAAAATTCAATGTCGAAGGAAAGTTGCACGGGGACTGAAAGCTACGGTGCGTATTTGTTGTCGTCAAATTTAAATCGCTGTGATCGTGGTGAATAAGGCTGCCGAGAATCATTGATCGGGACCCTGCTTCGTTTTACAGTTCTTTCGACGTCGTCTATGGTTGTGAGAGAATAATGGGCAAATTTCAGCTGATCGCATCTGCTGCTCTTGAGGCTGTGATCACCTTTCAGCTGCACCAGCGCAGGCACTTTATGTCGGTCAGAGAATCTCGAGCAGAGGTACAAGCCGAACTCCGGTTTGCACGTGATCAACCCACCATACAGTTCGTTTTGCACCACGGAGGGTAGTGGCAGCATTTACTTGGCATTCTTACACGTTTACTGGGTACCTTTCTATCTCCTCGAACGCAGCAGCCTTACGCCAAGCTCACAGTACACGTGAAAAGGCTCCAAGAGCCAAGAAATATAGCATAGGCATAAAAACCTCTCCTTCAGCGCGAAGTAATTCTACGACCTTGATGAACATGATTTTGCTTGCAGCAACCCTACACCATATAGGCCATTGCCTGATGTTCCGATTCTTACCTGTTGAATATGTCGAGTCGCGTGAGGCATAATACGATGTACTTCAAATCAGCAAGTATGAAGGTGATGAGCGCTGGCGTAAGAATTTTTCGCTACCGTTGAAATTTCGTCCTGACATCGAACAGCTTGGACTTGCGGCTTGTGGCCTGTCGTTGTATGTCCTCGGCTCAAAAGAGCTGCATTGTCGTCCACTAATCATATTTTAGGTGGACATACATTCAAGTGCGGAGGTTTGCACTACCCGTTACTTGTATGATTTCAATATTGAACATCCTCATTTCTTCAGCGGGATTGGCTGTGATGTGGTCCCCCAGAAAAGTGGTCGCAACAACCGAAAACAGACGATACATTGATTTTATCACCAGCTATTCGCATGTCATTATCCTAGTGCCATTCGCCTTGGCCGTGCTGTCGCCCACTTATGGGGTCCCATCGGATGTCAGAGCCTGTCGGACAGAAATGCAGTGGGAGCACCTTTTCCAAGCCAAGAATGAAGCTGCTGTCAAGTCAATACAAAAGCAGTTTCGCTGTTGTGGCTTCAACTCCATGCGTGACCGCGCGTGGCCCTTCCCTTCTCGGCACGTTAACGCCGACGCCTGCGAAAGGAATTTAGGGTTTGAAACTTATTGCGGACCTTTCCTCAAAGAAAAAGTGTTGCATGCCGCAATAGTCAGCTGTTTCGCCAGCGTTTTGAACATTATCTTGCTGGTTCGTCTGAATGGAGGGTCTATTTGAATAATACAGCTAACGGATATATAGCTCCTCATCACATCCGTGATTTCGAAACTGCCAACACAGGGCCATCCATCCTACCTTGAAGTCAATGTGCGAAGCAGGCTTCTTCAAGGTAACAATGACGATGTTCAAGAAACCTTTGAAGAAGATCGGAGGAGGCGAGCAGAGCGAGATAACATGTGACAGCGACCATCAATTAAAAAGACGACATCTTTCCCCAGGGCCGAGTCCTTCATCTTCTGTTGACCAGTCCTACAAACAAGCTGGAATAGTGCCAAAACCAAATTGAGATGTCGGATATTGTGACGCGAGTGACCGGAATTCAAGCGTTAGGATTCAAAGACCCGAGAAGTAGTAGAATGTGCTATCTGTGTGCTCCAGAATAATCCTTGACCCAGTGATCAGTTCTCGTCCTGCTCGCTCTCTGGTATTTCATTGCAGAGTTCGACGATTCTCGACGGGTCCATTGGCTCCAAGTTCAACTCATTTAGATGTTCGACTACTATCTTTGATACGTAGTCTCTTCCATCATACACGGCCTGGACAAATGGCGTGAGCAGTGCTGCAGCATCACGAACATAACCATTTCCCTTTTCCTTCAGAAGATTTAACAGGGTTTCACATAGTCTATCCCGTAAGTTTTCGAAGCTTGCCTTATCAGCGTGATTATAGAAATGGAGAAGGACAAACAATACCTTTGATTTTGTATTCTGAAGACCCCTGCAGTGGGAATCAGAGCAAGGATGCCAAAACCGAACACCTCGACGGCGCGTCGCCAGTTTTTGGCTGCGAATAAACGGTTGCTCAGTTTCTTTCTTTCTGGGTCATACTTCTCCCGCCATTGTTGAATATTCATCCCCTCAGAATCTTCAGTGGTATGTGGAAATATTTCTCGAACAAGCCCATCAAGCACGATACTTTCAACTTTGCCCGACGTTGAGGATTGGCGTGTCCTTTGTGCACTCTGTATTTGGTCTCGGACTGTTTCCGTGCGTCGGTCACGCTGATAAGCCATGCGTAGCAGTAGAATCCGCCGGAAAAAGGCCATATAATTGTGCACAGCATCTAGTTGGTCTAGTGCGCGCCACAGGTTGACGAAGGAGGAGAGTTCAGGAGCTCGAGTCCAGCTGTCTGAGGTTCGCATTCCCGTAATCACATCTTTGAGCTGGACCATTGAATCTGCGCCAGCAGTTGCGCAGTATATATCATACATTAATGGTGCACAGTCCTTGTCCTCCTCCTCGAGGATTTGATCTAGGTGATTCCACACCTTATAGTTTTCCGTGGAGCATGGTAGAACGTGTCGGTGTTTGGCTCTCTTGCACCCACCAGTGATGCTTTTTCGGGAGGAGAGCTTCACCGCTCGCACCGTCTCCTTCCTTCTTGCGCGCTTTCTAGACCCCGCAGACAGTCTAACCTGCCCCCTACACTCGGCCGAAGGTTGCGGTGTCGTGGAAAGTGATGATGACAGATATGCAGAGGGTTGACACTGTGCAGCCGCATGCTCGGCCTCGTGGTGGCTGCCTCCAGAATCAAGATTGAGCATCGCTGGATCTACGGTGCCGTCTTCGTTTCCCTGCTCAGGAAATAAAGTATGTCTGTCGAGCGTTGGTGGAGTCGCAGCAATTATACGACATCCCTGCGGTGGGCAGTACGTGCTTTCGGATGCTTCTGCGCCAAATTGTGAAAGTGAGGATGGGGATATATGATCCAGAGACTCTTGGAATATTGACACGCCTTCATGTTCGGTTATTTCTGGGCTGTATGTTGACTCAGGGCCCAAAGCACCAAGAAACCACTCAGGGGCTGGGGTGTGGTAGGCACCCTCTTTGCACTGGTACGCAATTTCACCTATATGGCGAGCATATCTATCCAAATATTGGCTAATCGTCGTGTCCTCTCCAGGCCACTTCTGCGCAAGTTCATCCAGAAACTTGTCGAAACGGTGAACCTGGATGCTAAATGCCTATTCCAAGGACGAAGTGTTTAGCAATCTTGGACTTGATCTCCAAAGGCAAACCACGTACATCAGCGATAGCTGACCGGCTATCTTGGGACATCATTTATTTTCTGAGATGGAGAGTTACAAGACACTGGACGTAAATGAATTCTGGAAGGAGGATCCTACAGCACCAGCGTCTCATTAAATCCCACATCTTCCCCGCATTCGTGCCCAGACTCTGCGGCTGGGGGCCCATCTCGCCACGTTTACCTTCCACCACTGCGAGAATAATTGAGAGTTGTCACCACCAAAACATCAATCGCTACCAGAAGCCTTGTTGTCTCTCGAGGCCGTTATCTGAGCTGCTTTGACTGAAGCTTAGCGCCAACGATTTGGGACATTTTCACAGTATGTTTCGTCTCTAATATCTCCTTGGCGCCAGTGCTTAGGCCTGGATTTGCGTCAGCCGGCCGAGAATCGAAGATTTCACAAAATGTCTACGAGTAATGATGGAAAACTCCAGGAGCGTCCTCTAGCTGTCAGTATTGACTCCCCCAACCTGCGGTACTTGCCTCACTTGCAATACTTGTAGTCAAGAAGGATGCCGAACTCCAATACTGGCACTGTTCGTAGCGCCGAATTGCCTTCGCCAAACAATGCAAGAAATTTATCTATCGAATCTGTTGCAGGTTCCGAAGTCGAATCATCTTCACGTCTTCAGGAGGACACATTGCACCGGCGACGAAATATTCCCGGCAAGAAGAACAGTGCTGGTGGACATGATGAGTCTGGGAGACTTGGCGATGCTTCTACCTCGACTTGTACGTTACTTGCTATTCCTCTTATACATGACTATAATACTGCGTCGTAATAGGCTGACGAAGCGATAGCGCCGAAAGCACACGGTTCAATAAGCAGCGCATTGAAAATCGAAAGCGCCGATACGCCAATTGACGTGAAGTCATCGGCTTCTGAGATGAATTCGAGAAATATTGCGGAGGCCATTCGCTTACTAAGTGTATGGACGACCCGCGCTAAACAGCTTAGGGAAGAGCAGGAGATACACCTACAGCGAGCCCAGGAGCTTCAAGAGCAGATAAGAGCGGGCGAGCTTGCTTGTGGGCGCATGACTCAACAGGTACTAGAGGCGCAGGAGGAAATCAGAAGTCTAACTCAAAAAGTATTGGAGACGCGCGAGGCAATTGTAATTCGGAAACGACATATCAAGGAAGACGAGGAGAAATTGTCGCAGGAATTGCGGGCTAAAGAGCGCAAAATGGAGGAAGTCATGTCGATTGTGTCTCGGGTGAACAAAATTACACTAGAGACAAGTACTGCGATTTCCGATGGCGATGGGCCACATTACACGATTTGGACCGACCAGACGACACGGGGGGCATGATGGGAATCAACCGTATCGTTGAACGCTTAACAACCCTACAAAGCTTCGCACTTTGACCGGAATCTTAATTCCAACGTTAATATCTGCCATTGCAACTGAGATTGTAGGTACAGAAGGATTTCTCTTCCTGAGCATCGGCTTCTCAGCCTGGATTCGGACTAATCTGTTGAACTAAAAAGGTTGGGAAGTCACGTGATCCAGCCCAGCCACCCAGTACTGTCTATATAGTCTACCGTAGTCCCCGTACTGAACAACGGGGGACAACCTTTTGATCATTCAACATAATCCACCCTCATTATCACCTTCACCATCGTATCCAATACGATTGAGCATAGCGTCAAAGAGGATTTCTTTACCGTCTTCTCATTCCATCGATTAGCTAGAGCTCTTCATGGCTTCCTTTATCTACGTGGTGGGAGCTCAATGCACTGGGAAGACGAGTTTGATCATTGCATTGAGCCACTATTTCGTCAAATCATTTCCGTGGTTGAAAATCGTCGATATCTCAGAATTGGCAAGGAACGTTCTTCGACGGGGCCACGTCTCTGCATTCGATGTTCAAGCTGGACGTCCTAGTGCAATGCACATGTAGCGAGTTATCCTCCAAACACAATTCGAAGTGGAAACTAAATGCCAATTCCATGACCTGGGATTGTCTGATCGATCAGGTCTTGACCCCCTTGCATACTCTGCTAGATATGGAGAGGATCAATATGTCCAGGCTTCAGCAGATACGCCGGGAATGGGCAAGTCTACAGTCAAACATGCAAAAGTCGATTGTGTTCACGTGTGAGCCTGTGGAGGAGCCGCTTCACGACGACGGAGAGAGATCGATGCGGCAAACGAACAAAGAATGGTATGATTTGCATGAGACATTTCTGAGGCTGTTAAAAGAGATGGATGTCAGTTTCAACCTGCTGTCGTACTCCACCACGGCACTTGATGAACGCGTCGGAATTGTCCTGAAGATCTGGGAAGGCCAATTCAACGGATGTAATTAAGGTATGATTGGCTATCCAAGTTCAGACTTTGTGCATAGTCGCTATCACACGTCACGTGACCACAACAGCCAAGGTCTGACAGTCTCTGGCACCCTCGCCCATCTTTGTAGTTCGCTGCTACCAATCCAATGAGCTGTTCGGGGCAAGCTCTGATGGAGAAGAACGTTTCCGGTCATAAATCCCGCGTTGTTCGTGAAACTCTCCTCGTCCAAAAAGGAGGACTGGCGACCGTCTCGGTCAAGGAATCGCAAATACTCGTCCACTATCGGATAGGATTTTGCCATCAACCGATTGGGCTCCAGCACCATACACCTCTGTTTTTAATGTCTTCCGCAGAACTCCTGAAATACCTGATCCGTTATCATAAACTTTCGTACATCTCGAAGTGTCTGCTCAGAGTCGTTCTCTCCTGCAACCATCAAAACCTGAAAGAATTTCCATCGAAATGGGGGGAGCCTTGAGATATGCTGATTCGTGTCCTCATTCACGTTCAGCTTGCAAACGATCGTATTTAGCTTGAATGTGATACCAAATTCTCGGCAACACTCAACCATCTCACAGAGTTTTTCAACTAGATCGCCAGCCCGTCTGCCAATCGCAATGTCCGCTTTTTCGTCGAAGGATTCGTATGAGACCGCCAGAATATGAAAGACCTCTCGGAAAGTTGTCAGCCTATTTTGAGCGTCAAGCACAGGAGAAATCCTAAAACACTTGCCTTCTATGTCGGCCTGCAGAGCACGCTAGAAATGAATTGACATAGTCACCAAATGCAGGGTTGTTGAAATTTTTCTCGCAGGAATATGTCGATGATGCGTGTTGGCACGCTTTATCCATTGGGCATCTGGCTATGTTCCGGCAGCTTCATGACTAGCTGCGATCCGCGATTGGACCTGATTTCGGCCATGTGGTTGTCAATGCGTAGACCTTTTTCAAGTTCCTAAACCCATTCTTCCCGCCTCGGACCACCCTTTACCTCCATGTCTACCTTCCACGCATTTGAAACGCGAGCGTACCGAAATGGTCCAACAGACGATCGACATTATCGACCCCAAAACGGCCCAGCCTCAAGTCTCGCCAGTCTTTTGCACTGAGAATGAGTTTACAATCAGCCACCCGACCTTCGCGTTGGGATGGCTCCAACAAATTGGGACAGGTATTGTCAAACACCTGGCCAAACTTTGAAAATTAGTTCACACCGCGTATAAGAAGGGAACCTTTCGAGCTGGCGAGATTCAGATCCCCGTGGTGCAGGCTTTTCTATAAGCTAGCTGCTGATGCCACTGATCTACAAGAAATCTACATATTTTGGGATGCAGAGCCAGTATGTTGGCACTTCGAAACATTGGCCGATGTCGAAGTTGTCTGGGCACTAGGCGTGGCCCGCGTGTTTACAGGAGAGCATAGGATCAACGGTCCGGAGTCCAGCCAGACAACTTATGATTGTATGCAGGGTCCTGTTGAAGGATCATAAACATCGTAAAAGCAGGAAAGTGTACACTTTTCATGTCATATTCGAACGATCTGTCCTGCCGATACCCTTAGAAAACGAAAGAATGGCTTCGGCTTTATTTCTTTGCCTTGGGCTCTCAGCACCTCAGATTCATCATCAAATGCTTCAGATACGTCGGTCTGAGCACTTTCCGCTTCACTGTGCTACTCAAGACTTCTTGACGGCGGATGTATTGCTCTGCTGATTTCCGCCAGAGGCACCGCTACCCCCATGGTGGTTGCTTGCGGTGACGTTGGCATTGCGGTCCCCCGCACTCTGCGCACGCGCGGCAAACCCACGAGAAGACATATCGCCTCCCGTTTTCGCCTAGGTGAAGGATCAGTATGAACTGTCATCGCTAGGTCAGCTCGAGATATACCTGAGAGGATTGAATGCGCGATGCATCAGTCTTGGTCATTTGACCGGGCATGTTGGAATAGGTATGGAGAGGTGATCTTAATTTGAGACTTGGAATTTTGGTGAATGAGTGCTGGGGAGGGAGTCTTCAGGTTAGCCTTATATTGAAGCTGGAAGTTTGAAGAATAGCACGCAGATAACAGACACTTTTGTATGCATAGATGCCTTGGGGGCGCCACAAAAAGGGTCCATTTGCGAAGACTACGTAAACCTTTGCATGGCTTGGTTGAGACTTGATACGGTGACCTTTAGTTCAATGGCAGTTTCAACAAATCATCTCGTCATGATGGAAGTAGTTTGGCCAACTGTTCCTTGCCAAGTCTTTTTCGAGGGATATGGCCCTTTAATACATCAATTAGGTGACTCAGTGAAGCAGGTGACATTTTTCTTTGTCAGTGATGAAAGGAATTCGAGCACTGAAAGCTAAGCCGTCCGCAACAAATCATATCTTGTATCCATTGAACTTGTCTTCTTGGATATTTAGGTTTCCGCCATATCTACCGAAGCTCGGGCATATTGAGCCCGTCCATGCTCGGGAGATCAGACAACCTTTCCGTCTTGAGTCACATCTGGAGGATATAACTCTTGACGCAGTGGATTAAGTCACCGGTCAAGGGCCTTATTTGCTCTTTTTAGTTGGCCGTCGATGTCTCTTCGCAGCCCAAGCACCATCTTATAAAGTGACTTTGTGGACTGAGAGAGAAATCATGGATCCTATCGACCATTTCTTTGCCGATTATCCTTCTTTCGACTACAACAGATCTGCCTCATCGCCACAAGAATTCTACAGGATGTGCGATCATTTCCACTGGGTTAAAGACAGACGCGGAGATTACCCACAAGAGAGAATCGATGCCCATGAGGCTTTCAGGTTGGCGATGGTGGAGGCCTTCAATCACAATTTTGGAACAAACGTGGACGACAAGACGTCCTGGGAAAGCATTTGTTACCTTCTCCGAATCGAACCATTACCCGAAGATGTGGCAGAGATGAAGAAGGTATGCATATTATCTCGATTTTTCCAGTCCATTATAGTAATGACTTTCTCAAGCTCGTCAAATCCACACACGTCAATCTATCAGATCTTCTGGATAGTGGCCGTTCCGGCGCCAAGGTTTGAATTTTCAAAACAGAGGCAGCGCTCGCTACATACACGATCCGAACGGGACGCTTTTTTCCGAAGCTGGAGGCATATGCTGGCGGTGTGTTGAGGTATCTTCTTCGCGAGATCACGGGAGAGTATCAAGGCTACAGAGGACGTTATAAATCAAAGAAATCCAAGCCACGTGGAACGCCAAGCCACTGATATAGCAGGTCTAATCTCGTGGTGCTTCAATTGGAAGCCCATCAAGCTACATAATCTCCTACAAGACTCTGGTCATTATTGGCCGCGTCAGCTTGCACATGACTCTTTTGCCCGATACCAAACTTCATCTTGTAGCTTTCCCATGTACTACTAGCTCGGCGAAGGCAGTGGCCGCAGATATTGCAGGGAGATGATCTAGAGGCCGCGATCGTCACACCTTCTGCGACCCTCAGCAAGGATGCTGATAGGGATCCTCTAGAGAAATAGCTGCTCTTCCGTTGAGCTGCTGACTGTCATATGCGACAGCAGAAGAGTTGCCTCAGTATATGACCAACCAGCTGTGAGAATCCCAACCCTTTTCCCTGGTAGCGGTAGTCGATTCGAAACCCTTCCGACGGATATCGTTGCAATCGGCGACGTGAAGAGCGTTTCTTTGCCGGTCCTTCAATTCGATGTCGATGGCGATGGTGTCAGTGAGGTTGACGATAGCTATATTTTGGGGGAGTTCGTGGTGGCGCCGTTTCGCATGTGGTGAGATCTCTTACGTCGTCGACGGCGTTGGTGGCGTTGGCTGCGATCTCTACGCCTAGGTACTGCTGTCAAGCCGGACGTAGGAACCTCCACGATCGGACCTCCGTTGTTTCGAAGCTCTGGGAATGAGATGCCCTCAACACACTTTGCCAGTTAAGAAGGCGTTGGGGCCCTCGATGTTTGAGCTTCTAACGCTACCAGGGACGAAGGCGGCGACGTGGCTCTGGAAGTCTGGGCGTTGGAACGAAATATAATACTTTCGGCATTTTCGCCATCTTTGTACAATGGTAGAAAAGTGGCCGATTTCAAGATATCTTCCCTGGCGTGGGTCAATTGTAGCTTCGGTGGCGTAGAGGCGGCGACGAAAGTTTTGAGTGAGATCCGGGAGAGATTAGTAAACGATTCACTCTGAGGACCAGAAAATCGTTTAAACCGTAATCTTCCACGCAGAGCCACCACTCGATCCTCCAACAAATGACAGATTCCCTTCGGTGCCTCATAAAACTGGCTGGCTCGTGCCGGAGAGGCGAAGATGACACTCTCTGAGACCATCCACAGTGAGTACAGTGACTGGTGACAGCCATTACCTTGAAATCAACCATGGCGGATTAGGAATTCATGACAGAGGTAACAACATAGCTTATCCCCACCAATGTAAGGGCCAACCGTTTCCAGGTGGAAATGTTCCTCGTAAAAGATCAACAGTTGTACCTCCGCGAGCACTCGGTATCGAGGCCATCGCTGAATCATATTTCGGATTTGTGTTTTAGGATATGGCCGAGGTTTGGTACCACCGCGTGCCAATATATCCGCCACCGTTCGGTCCTTCAGCTCTTCCACTGCGATTTTGTGGGCCGGCACTCCCCGGACCGTCAAACTGATCTCCTCGCTAGCCAGCCAGGCCATGAACGTGGCAATGGTTTTCCTAGCCCGGAAGAATCGAGCTAGTTTACCAATACGCTCGATGATGTCGTCGATGTGCGTGTCGAGAACGCCAACCTTAGCCTTCAGGCACAGATTCTCCTTCAAGTACAACCTCAGTGCCCCTGATCCGCGGCACTGATACGCAATCATGCTGATCCGACACCATTTCGATGGCGGCACCGTTGCAGGACTGATGTCGGTCTCGTGGCACAGATTGCGTAGCTCATCGAGCAGACGAGCGACATGCGCCATATATTGAACGTGAGTATGAGCACCATAGGGACCAAACATCTTCACATTTTCTTTGGACTCAATTGCACTCGGGTAGGGATGGCAACCTGGCGGAGAGTATTGACCCACAGCGCGACACTGTGCGTGTCTCAGCTGCCCGAGAAACCGTGATATGTGTTTTCCTAGGTGGTATCCACATTCAGATATGATCGATTCCAAGAGGGTATCTTGTGGCACCTCGGGCCTATTAATCGTGACGTGAAGAGTCGGCGAGCCTGCAGCTCGATCACCTCGAACTGTGTAACGCACAGTCTCATCAAGGAGATTTTGCAGCTGGCTACAAGCACTCTCTTCGAATCCATCATTGCGGGCCACGGAGGCATAACTTTTGGGTTGTCTCCCACTCTAGGCAAGTTAAGACCACGTTGTCCTTGCTACCGGGTCCGGCAGTAGCGAGCGCCACGTCGTCCAGGAAATTACGAAGAGACTGCTCATCTCTCCAGGACCTGGTCATGATAAAATTATTAAACCGAGTCGTATTGTAACAAGGCAAGGTAGCTGTGCTATGAGTAGCTGTGCTGGGCTGGTAGAGCGGTGGCAGGGTGAAAAGGTTGTCTAGTCACATGTCAAACCTAAATGGGCTGGCAGAGAGAGGGGTGCGGAACAGTTTACAGTGCTGGCAGTGTGCCATTCATTACAGTTTGAGCAGAGTATCATGAATTCTATGGCTTTTTGGCGCCGTCTACCTAATTCCTAAGTGTTTTGTCAGTCCTGTTCTGTTCCTTGATGTTGCCGCTGTGCTAAGTGTTCGTAGTCTTAGCCGCTGCCCCTCTGGGTGGTGTTGGTGGTGTTGTCTTGTCAGTATCAACCAGAAACGCGTTCTCGATTCCCGATCTGCTGGACAGGCCTCTGTGCGTTGTTGCACGTGCACGCCGAACCCTGAAGTGCTCTGTTACAGTATAAGCCTTACCATAAGATTGATCCTTAACTTCCAGCAAAAAATTTCGTAAAATGCCAATCTATCCAAGCTCCACCATGGGTTATCGGAGGAGCCGCTGTCCATATCTCCATCAATAGAGGTGGCTAATTATTTGATATGACTTGGTTTTTCCTGTTTTCTAGTAGATAGGTGGTTCACCAACGCCAATTTACCGAAAAATATTTTGTAGTATTCTCGCTACTTCCCGCCTCTTTCTCGATGGTGATGGTACTAGCGTTTGTTCATTTGCGTGCCCTTGAGAATCTTTTTGATATTGCCTCTCTAGATTCTTTCACACTTTTGTTTAATCTCCTTTCCACGGCTTTGCTTGAGCTCCTCGGCATGCTGAGAAAGACGAGCCCCGTTTAGTCGGCAAGACAGTTATAAAATGCCTTTTTGTGCGAGGATCACACATCTCGGTCTATCAGACACATGTCAATCACCCCTCTGGTACCGATACCAGCCGACCTATCACAATAATGCACGAATTCATGGCGTTATATATGTCAATGGACGAATCTCGACCTCGGTGCATCGATAAATACCATGAGATCGCCCAGATATCTCAGCAATATCCAGTGATGCAGTCAGCAAACGTCGCCGCATGATCAACTGTTGGCACTATAACGCTGATATCTGAATAGTTATAACGGCGTTCATGAAGTGCCGGCAGGGGAAACGGATGGTATCGGGCCCTGTCACTCTCCGTTGCTCGGTGTTCGCAGAGGTCCCACAATCTGCCATCCACTTCAGCTGGGGACCAAAAGCTCAATGGACGGTACGTGCTTGCACAAAACCTACCAGTATAACGTGTAATGCCATAAATTAGGTGGAACATGCCGTCCATGTCCACCGCAGAGGCGGCACTCGGCACTCGGCATTCGGCACCATCAACGCCTGTCGCTTGTTGTTTTCCTTCCGAACAGGTGGGTTGTCAGTTAGTTGCGAGGGGCGCAAGCTCCAAAAGACACGCCAGGAGTGTGATTGACAACTGGCATGCAGTATTCGAGATAGGCAGGACGACATCGATTAAAAGTCCCGTCTACAATTCTCAACGAAGAAAGTCCTGGTCGCTCCCAACATCTGGACCTAGCTATCCTATCTGTCAGAATGCCTCGCTGTTTGGAAAAAGTTTGCTTGGCTCGCACACCAGCTACGGCTCCGGTTGAACAGATTCTTGCTGCTTATCAACGCGATGGTGGCGTCATTATTCAGCACTTGCTGAGCCTCGACATCGTCAAAGAGCTAAACCAGGATATCGACAATCAGATGATCAACATTCGCGCGGGCACCGACTTTGGTACCCCGGACAGACAGGACTTCCATGGACACAAAACGAAAAGACTGACCAACTGCTCCAAATTCAGCAAAGTTTTTCGCGATCAGATACTCGACGCGGATCTAATCCATGAACTGATGAAAGGCTCTTTGGGGAAAGGTACTAGTGTTATCAACTACTGGTTGAACTCATCCCAGGTCATTGACATTGGCCCGGGGGAAGCCGCTCAGCAACTACATCGCGACGACTACATCCCGCTCAGAGAGAAACGTCGACGCCAGCCAGAATGGATAAACAATATGTTGATCGCCCTCACCGATTACACTGAAGAAATGGGTGCGACGCGAGTTGTCCCAGGGAGTCACCAATGGGAAGATTTCAAGGTCCCTGCCAACCCTGAAGATACCATACCAGCGGTTATGCAGCCTGGGGATGCGTTGTTCATTCGTGGAGATGTCATTCATGGTGGCGGCGCAAACACAACGACAGATAAGTGGAGGAGAGGGTTGTCCTTCAGTTTTTGCAACAATGCCCTGACTCCGGAGGAGGCTGTGCCGCAACTTGTGCCCCTACAGATTGCAAAAACCATGTCCAAGCGCGCTCAGCAGATTGTTGGGTTCAGGTCTCAACCTACGCTAGATGGCCAATATAATTGGATGGCTGACTTCGCCGAGCTGGCTGATAAGCTGGGGATGGACGAATAGGATTACTAGTAGTTGGCCTCAACCGGCTGTGAGAAATGCATGCCACTGCTGGGTTCTTGAACGAGAGTCAACCGAACGCCTTTCGGGACGAGAATTATCCACGTTTGCATGTTTGTCCCGCAGTTCATGTGAGAGCAAACCGACACATCGGTCCCCAAACGCCCCCGGGGACAAAGTGTGACATATCCAGGAGCGGCCTTAGCTCTTAGCTCTTGTGAAAGTGTCAACAAGTCGGCAAATCGACTGACCAAGCAGACGAATCAAGGACTGAAAACGAACAGGGAAAGGTGATCTTAAGGATACTCGTGACCTGTTGTGTTAAACCTGTGATCATATCGGTTCATCGGCTCTGGTACTGACATATCTGCCGTTCCAAGCCCTATCTGCAGGCACTCGGCCCCATGCGGCCAGCGGCTTCATTCTTGTCCTATCAGTCCCGCAGAAGGTTGTGCCCGAAATCATCGTCCCCAGCGCCTAGATCGACTTTTCCGAGAGATTGAACACAATTATCGGGTAGGACCTGTATCACAGCGCTATTTATACATTCACGGAAGTCTTGCGGTACCAATGATGATATTTCTCGGTCTCTGAACTGAAAACACATTCAGGCCAGCGAGTGCTGACACTTCATACCTCAAAAACCAAACCGCTTGACAACAGAGGAGCAAAATCTTCCACTGACACCCAAGGAACCTTTCACAGAGCTTTCCCACTGACGATGCCTCCATCTGTTCCGAATTTATCTGGATCAAGTGACCCAGCAACCACGCCGTACGGGCATCACACCTCGTTCCCATGGGAGCCACTACCACAGCCAGAGGGCTATAAATCAGTCATCTATCGCTCTTCAGATGGAAAGATTGTGGTTGCCGCTGCAAAAGAGACCGGGATGGCCACTTTTACCTATCCATGCGACGAGTTCTTCTTCGTAACAAATGGCTGGCTCAAGTTGAAGATTCAAGGGGGTGATGAGTTTACGTTGAGCAAAGGCGACTTTATATATCTCAAGAAGGGAACCACTGCCGACTTTCACTTCAGTCCTGATTTCTCGAACGTTGCTGTCTTTATTGGGGATGAGGCGATATCTTTAGTATGAACCTTATGGCTGCAGAGAAAGAATTGTCGCCAAGTCAAGAAGCTCCAGTGTAATCCGTCTCTGCTTCACCAACTTTGAACTGATCTATATTCATCTTGGAGCGTCCCGGATTGTGTTTATAACACTCATTTTGCTTCTGACACACGCACGGTGAGGGGGTTTTTCTCCCAGACTGTGAAAGATTTCTGGTCCAGCCAGTCTCTTTCGGGATGGACGAGCTCCAAGTCGAATGCAAGTGTCATCTTAGCCAGTATAAGTCGCATCTGAGCCAAAGCAAGGCTGCAGTAGATTGTCAGTTTCCCATTTCACACAAGCCACGGAGTAGAAGGAGAAAACCTTACTTCATCCCTACACAATTGCGGGGACCATAAGCGAAGGGCTTCACAACTTCTCTCTTATCGTTTGCATAAGCATGACCACCAAGCCATCGTTCGGGCACAAAGGCGTTAGGGTTGGTAAAATTTCTGCTGCTATGGTTCGCTGGGTACTGTGACATGTACACCGCGGTTCCTTGAGGAATGTAGCGTCCACTGATCGTGGCACCACCAGGCGGCACCACACGTGGTAGGCCAGTGGGAATTGGCGGGAAGAACTTTATTAGATCAAATCAGTATAAGGGATACAGTCGATGCATCTTAAACTCACTCGAAGTCCCTCATTGATGACAGCGTTCAGGTAGGGCAAACCTACCAGCTTATCGAGGTCATTGACGCTAGTATTGCCAAAAGTGTCTCTCACCTCACTCCGTAGCTTCTCCAGTTTGTCCGGATTCTTCAACAATAGATATGTCGTGGCAGCAAGCGCGGTCGATGGAGTTTCGGCGCCGGCCACCATCAGGAAAAGGGAGTTCATCTCCATCTCAGGGAATGAGAGACCATTTTCACCCCGATCTTTGGCGATCTCCGTCATGAAATCCGGTTGTGTCACCTCCCGGTCGAGACGCCTGCGCACTAGATCTTGCATGTGCTTGAGCACCTCATGCCGCAAGTTCATCAACTCAATCATTGACTGTGGGAAGATCCATGAGGGGAACCATTTTGTGATCGTGAAGTAGTTGCTCGCAACCAAGTGGGTGGCCGCGGAGTCGAGCTTCGATACAATACGGTTGAAGTTGTTGTCGGCGCGTTTGGAAAGGCATCCAAAGGATTCTCCAAAGGTGAGATGGCCTGTTAAATCAAAATTTGTCCAGCTGTACCACCGCTCAAGGTCGACAATGTTAGACTCGGACCTAGCTTGCTCTCGCAGTCCATCAATGAGACTGCCAATATACTCTAAAATCAGCGGCAGCTGCTGTCTGATGGCCCTGTCGGAGAAGGCATGTGACATTGAGCGTCGCATTCTCGTATGGTCCTCAGGAAGTGCAGACCCAATGCTGAGCTTGGATTCTTCGCTATACCCGAACCACACAGGGTCTTTCAGAAATTGCAGTGACTTCTGCTTCCCGGCGTGAAAACCTAGGGTGCATTCTGTGAGCGGGTTGATGGGAACTGCGGGCAAGAAAAGTTACCATAGATTTGCTGCCATGCCGTTTCCCCAGAGATAAACGAGACTTCGTCCGGGGCCACTCTGACAGCTTCGCCATACCGCTCATGCTGAGCAGTTATCCACCGAACCATTGTGCCCCGTAGTAAATGTACAAAATAAGGAATTCTGCAGGCGGCCGCAAATTTTGAACCAGGAACATGGCGCAGGGGATGAAAGTAGATATTGTAACATGCGACAGCAAGCAAATGGAAAATATACTGTGATATCTCAGCTAACTGCCACCGTGTGTAAGCGTGTCAATGAGGCAGGACCTACAACGGCAAATAGATATCCAACTACCTTGACGAGACCCAGTAGGCCTGGGAAATTGCTTGCCAGGGCGACCATGATGCCGCTTTGTCGAGAGAATGCTCACCACATCGCTTCAGACCATGGCTACCATATTTGTGTCGATATACATAAAACTGCATCCATGTGAAACGATTGGCCCAGATGTCGTACGCCGAAACCGTGGCCGTCCTGTTCGTGGCGGCAGACGGACTTCGGCTCACCAAGATCAGAAGTCCCAGTCTCGACCCGTCAATGCCGCCTCGTTCTTTGAAACCCTCGCCCAATGCCGACGAATGAGCCGCACCAACCTAATCGTCAAATCCGGTAATCCTGATTGTTGAACACTGATGGCCATCTTTCAGCAGTCAGTTGTAGTTGAGCTGACAAGCAGCCACGGCCTTCTGCCAAAGAAGCCATAAAGAGGACAGCCCTTGCTCGACACCTACTTCCTCACCTTACTTTCTTCTTGCTCCGTCCGCCGAAGGATCACTTTCCTTCGTTCGAAAGGCCCCGAAACCAACTAGTCACTGTTTACTATGGAGCTCTCACAGTAGGCCTGACCCGTCCAAAAAGTGCGGATCGAAGAGAAACTGACCCGAGACAGCATGGAAGACCAAATCTCTCAGAAGCAGACTCACCATTCAGAGACTCAAGTTTCGGAAGGCATTGGTGAGGTTGCACCAAAGGTGCATTTCAAGCTATGGAGCGCGCTCGGCTATCAGTATTGCGCCCAAGTCACACCACTGGTGGTCGGCACCTATCTTTCCCTGACAATCGGTCTCGGGGGCTCTGCAGGGTACTTTTGGTGCTTTGTTTTTGTCGGAATCTTCCAGCTCATTTTCTGCCTGGCCGCGGCAGAGATGGCTTCCGGGATACCACATTCTTCAGGTTAGTAGACAAGATCAACTTCCATATCAAATATCATACTCAATTCGCTTTCCTCGACAGGTCCAGCCCACTGGGTTATAGTCCTCGGCCCGCCTAAATGGTCTCATGTCATCGGCTACATACTTGGCTGGGTCACCAACTGCGGTTGGATGTGTGTCTGTGCAGCATCCTCACTCTACCTGGCCCAACTCACAATGGCCCTCATTGTCGCATCTTATCCAGATTTTGACCTCCAGCCGTGGCATACTTACCTGGTGTACATTGGATACTCCTTGTTGGAGCTCTTCCTGAATCTGCCCATCATGTTCAAAGTCCTCAATCTCCTGTTGTCCACCAACATTGTCTTGATCAACCTGACGTCTGTTTTCCTCCTCATCGTCTTACTGGCAAAAGCCGGTCCGAAGCAGTCGGCATACGAGGTTTTCGTCCACTTTGTGAACGAGTCTGGATGGTCCTCGGATGGCGTTGTCTTTTTTCTTGGAGTTTTGCCCGGATTAGTGGCCTTGGGCGCTTTCGACAATGCTTCTCACCTGACCGACGAAGTCTCAAACCCATCGAAACAGATCCCACAAGTCTTGCTAGGCTCGACTGTTATGGGATTTTTGACAGGAGTACCAATGATCATGGTCTACGAGTTTTGTAACGTCGACCCGGAGAGCCTTCTGGAGCCCGTTGGTGGTCAGCCCATCGTTCAACTGATTCTCAACGCCACGAATTCCTTGCCCTTGACAATTGTGGGGACGGTAGCGATCATGTTCTGCTTCTTTATCGCGGGCTGTTCTTACTGGATCAGCTGGTCGCGCCTATACTGGTCCTTTTCGAGAGAAGGAGCTTTGCCTTTTGGAAAATACATGTCAAAGCTGTCTGGCGACCAGAGCTTGCCGATCAACGCTCTCTTCTTGGTCACCTCTGTCACGATTGCGCTGGGCTCAATCCAGCTGGGTTCCGCCATCGCCATGAACGCGCTCCTCGGTGGCGCCGCCCTCTGCACTGTCTCCGCGTTCGCTGCCTGCTTCGCATTCGTCACCGCGGCAAGGCGGCATACGATCCCAATCGATGGCTCAACCTCGGACGCTTTAGCACACCGTGTTGCGCTATTTCTCTATTGTGGCTCCTTTTTGTTTTGGTCTGGCTTTCTATGCCACTGTATCTCCCAGTCACTCCAAAAAGCATGAATTACACCATTGTGGTAGTTTGTGGCTTTGCTACGCTCTCCGGGCTGTATTGGGTCTTTGTGTACTCCAGAGCTCGGGTAAAAGGTACAGAGGTATATATTGCCGACCACGTCGACAAATGATCCGGACGATGTTGTGCTCAATTCTGTCTACACAGGCTCAGTTCTCATTTTCCGGCTCCAGATATTGGAGGACTCAAATGTCAGAAGTGCTTGTTGAAAGTTTGCTCAGAGGCTCCACCTGGCGATTCATGATGTTTGCGAGAGAGGCGTATGTGAGGAGCTTTCATTGATAGTCTACCAAAGATGGCCACTTTAATGGGCCTGTTATGCCTTGAAGGCGAGGGGCAGAATCAATCTAATTCCATTCTCGTTCAAGCCGTCTGACCTTGGGCGTGATGAGGCTCCTTCTATGACAACGCATCGAAGCTGAGTGAAGCTGCACACAGCTTGGTCAAGCAAGAATCAGGTCTGGGGGAAGCCGACCACGGCTATACGATTTGCCGGATGTAGTCTGGATTCCAGTTTGATTCTTTACCCAACAGAAGAATTCAATATTCCCAGCTACAGTTGATCGACCGAACTGCCAGGAGTGCACTCTAACTACGATCCGCAACAAATTCTGCTGCCCCAGGGACTTAAGTTTCGAACATGCCTTGATGTAGGTGGCTCTTGCAAGTGCCTATGGCAACAGGCTGATTAGAAGCGGAGCCGCATAGAATGCAACCCAACGGTGCAGAAAACTGAACGGACTGCATTGAGTCCCAAAGAAAGAAGGGCTTCCAAGCATCCACTATCGCCTACTGTTTTCTCCACCAAACCTCCCAGGTCAGAACTTATGCCTCTCACCCTGCTCGGTACATGGCCTTCACCTTCTCCACTGTCTCTTCAACCCCAGGATATCCAATCTGATCGCCAATCTCGGAATAATTGGCCTGCCAAAGACCAGGACTGTTTTTGGGGTATTGCGACCTGAAGCCAATCATGCGTTGTGCTCGCAGACTCAGTTTCCTCACGATCTCAGGTGGTGTGATATGGACGTACGCCTCTTCTGGGGTGAGGTAAGAGGCCTGGAATGCGAATGAGATGGCTCTTCGCTTCTCTGAAGAAGTCCTGTTAGCTCCCCCGCCATGAACGGTCTTTCCTAGGATGAAACATGCATCGCCGGCTTTCATCACCGCAGGCACAGTATCTTCCGGTGTTCCATGTTCCGCGAAATCGGGCCACTTGTGAGAACCAGGAATGACTCGGGTAGCGCCATTTTCTGGCGTAAAATCCGTCAGGGCTACCAGGAAGTTGATGATGGCCTCAGGCGCGGTAGGGCCTATGTTGTTAAAGACCTGGTATTGTCCCTGGTCGCGATGAAGCACCTGAGCCGGATTCCCCGGTCCGATCTCGATGAGTTGCGCGCCAGTCAACCAGTAAGTGCCGGATTCTGCGTGGAAGATTTGCTCCGACAAGTCGTGGACAAGATCGTGATCGAGCAAATAATCTCTAAATCCCTTGCTCGCGGTGGTTAGTCCAGTAAGGCGCTTGGTATTTGATCCATGAAAAATTTTGATCGCCTCCGAATCGTGTGTCGAGCCTGGGGCTAGCACTTTCAGTGGCTGCTCAACTTCCAGGTTGATCGTTGCCACCTGATCCTTTGAAAGCAGCTGCTCGATAATCACGCCGCCAGCTTCACGAAGCGCAGCCAGGATTGGTGACGCCCCTGCAGAAGCAGGGACATGAGGTATTGAGGGAGTCTGAATCATAATGGATGGTATTTCGGGCGTCCTCGGAGAATCGAAGCTCGAGGCTACCCAGGATCGGTGGGGAGAGGTTGAATAAGAATGCCGAACCCCTCAGGTCACTGTACGCCCACGGGTGTCGCGCCTCCGCGATCCGAGGCCTCGCTATCTAAAGCCCCATTAGCACTTCCCCAGATTCCTCGTCAACACTTCACTCAGTCTTTCGCCTGCTGCCCGAGTGCCGCTGTACCGCTGCATCGCTTTGCCGCCCTACCGCTGTACGGTGTGAGCCGTAGTATGACAAAGATTACTCTCGGTGAGGTCGAAGGGGGTCTGGAGGCTCCTATTGATGACAGCGCGATTTGCGAGAAAGGATGAGTAAATGTAAATCGCTCCTACTTGTGTATATTCGTTAACGACCGAGTTCTTGCCAGGCTCGTTGGCATCAAATGAGCCAAGCAGTATATTCGACATAGGCAGAGATCCCAGGTTGTTTGCGTCTTGGTCTGCGCGAATAGACAGGTCACTGCAGAAGCTCTACTCAACCATGAAGGTAGCTCTTGCCGGTGGCGGTCGGCTCGCTCATTATCTCGTCGAAGAGCTTCCAACCTTTGGTATCGAGCCTGTCATCTTGACACGAAGCAAGAAACCATGGTTCGAATCGCATGGGATAGAACAGAGGCTTACCGACTACTCGGTTCAATCTCTCACCAAGTCACTGTCCGACTGCGATGCCGTAGTCTCAGTTATCCTCGACTACACTATGGCCTTTACCGAGGCTCGTCTCAACCTTATCAAGGCAGCCCAGGAGAGCCCGAAATGTCGTCGGTTCATTCCTTCTGAATACGGAGGAGATCTTGAAGAACAGCCAGACCAACCACTTTTCTACAATGCGAACCACGAGCCAGTTCGAAAGGTTCTGATGGAGCAGAATACACTCGAATGGACCATCGTAAGCGCGGGGTGGTTTCTAGACTACCTTTTCCCGGAAGACTATCGACATTATAAGGGCGATATCGGCGAAGCATTCCCTCTCAACATTGCGACCAAAACTGTGGTGATACCGGGTACTGGGCGTGAGCTGCTCGATTTTGTTTCAGCAAGAGATGCAAGCAAGGGCATTGGCGCCTTACTCAAGGCGCCTCAGGGCTCCTGGGAGCCATACACGTATTTGTCCGGGTGTTCGCTTTGTTAGCTTGATGTGATCGCATTCATGAAGGAAAGGTATCCGGACCTCGTTATCATGCATAAGACGCTAGGAACAATGATTGAGGAGGTGATCAAGTACGGATCTGACATGACTAGCATTGTTGCGCAGTATCAGATATTCTCGGTCTCGGGGGCAGGTTACTATTGGCCTAAAGCTCAACGTCAAAGGGGGATGTACTTCCAAGGGGTCCACTTCCAATCTATCAAGGACATGTTCGAGGAATTCGACGAGAGAACAGCGAAGGGTGAAGTTTTCATCATCTGAGAATGTCCAATTAGCATATATGTTGACGTCTTACCTCTCGTGCCAGGCTCATACACTCTTTTGTAATTCAGGATATACAGGCCAAGGAGACGCTTCCGTATCTACACTGTAGTATAACCTCCTGACTACTTATGATCCATGTTGGCACTTGCCATGGCGGCAGAGGAATTGAGATTCTCGTACCAAGAGTCCATCCAAGAGGTAATGGAACCCAGCAGGGCGATAGCAAGGACAGCGTAGTAGGCGAGTCACACGACCTGCACAAGAGATTGCCTTGCCTTCCATCGATAAAGGCTTTACTTTACCTGGAAAAAGGGTGGGATGAAATGCCGCGGTGCAATTCCTGGCGGCGTAGGGTGGAGAGAGAGGGAGTTTCCATTACAGGAAGCGCCATGGATCGATTGCTCGATCTTGAAGATAATACCGTTGGCAACCACTGCCGAGTGCCGCTGCACCTGCAAGAATGTGGGCTGCTCGAACTGCACTCCAACAGAAGATCTACCTGCCCTTGGTTGCGACTCTCATCTCCATTCGTCAGCAGTATATAGCAGCTTTAATCCGATTGCGAAAAGGAATAGCTACTCTTCAGGCTCGCCCGTGCGACAGCTCCAGCTTCACGAAAATGGCGAGCAATGTGAAATATCTCAACCCTGACACCATCCATACCGTCCAGTCTTACTCCCATGCCGCGGTGACAAGATCCAATACTGTGCTGGTTGAAACTGCTGGACAAGTTGGCATCACGCCGGAGGGAAAACTTTTGGAAACTTACGAGCTGCAAGTCGCGCAGGCATTTAAGAACCTCAAGAACGCCCTGGCAGCCGCTGGCGCCACACCCGCTGATATTGTGAAAATCCGATTCTACATCAAGGACTATAATCCGAGCAAACTTGCAGCCCTCGGCCATAGTCTCCGCGACTTGGTAGATGGTCAGAATGCACCTCCTTCGCTCCTGCTTTCCACACCATCACTTTCGGACCCCAAGTATCTCTTCGAAATTGACGCGACTGCGGCTGTCTCCTATAACCAAGCGCGGATGGGTAACGATAAGACCATCAATACCGACGTGGTTGTAGTGGGAGCTGGACTCAGTGGCTTACAAGCTGCTGTTGACCTCCAAAGAGCGGGAGTCAAGTGCATCGTTTTCGAGACGTTGGACCGAATCGGAGGGAGGACGTACTCAGTGCAAGCATCGGACCTTAACAATGGCATGGTTGACCTCGGTGCTGCATGGATCAACGATACGACCCAGGACAAAATCTGGGCCTTGGCTCAAAAGTACGGCATGGGGACTGTGCAACAGAGAGCTGAAGGCTGGGACTTGGCTGAAGGCGAAGATGGGACCATCAGCAAACAGGAATACGGCTCGCGTGCGGTAGGAAGCCGCTTCTTCCTCTCATATTACTACCTCCCTTTCAAGCATTCTCGACTGACTTTTGCCCTAGTTTGCTCCGGAGGTGTGGGAAAAGCACGTCGAGCCATATTTGCAGGACTTGGACGACAAATCCAAGGGCATTAACCTCGAACTACCGGCGGCTTCGGCTCGAGCGCAAGAATTCGACGCCATCTCAGTTGCTGACTACGTGCGCGAGCACCACAACCATCATGCTGTCTTGAATCTGTCAGCCTCACTGCTGAGGTCGATGCTGGGCGTGGAGCCAGCAGAATGCAGCTTCTTCTTCTACCTCACCTATATCGCAACCAATTATGGCATATGGAATATGATTTCTGACAGAAAAGGCGGGGGGCAGTACTTGAGAGTTAGGGGTGGTGAGTATGGAAATGTAGTCCAATTTTCGTGAACAGTGATTTGACCCGCAACTAGGTACCCAGCAATTCTCTCACCATCTCGCTTCCGAGCTACAAAATGGTACGATCAAGCTGTGCCACCCAGTGAAGCGGATTTCACAGCTCGGCGATGGCCAAGTCAGAGTCGAAGCTGGACTCAGAACCGTTGTGTTGTGCAAAAGGGTCATTGTTTCAGTGCCAACCCCCGTCTACTCGACGATCCAGTTCTGTCCCCCGCTACCTACTCCTAAGGCGCTTCTGGGCCAGTCCACTATCTTGGGGACATACTCCAAATTTGTGCTCGTATTCAAGGAGCCTTGGTGGTACGAGGGCTCAACGCCATGGTCTGGTTGCTTGAGTTCGGCCAAAGGACCGATCGTGTTCACCAGAGACACATCGTTTCCCGAGGACAATCTTTGGGTCATTACGACATTTTGCGTCGGAGGTCCCGGGCGGACATGGTCTTTCCTGCCCGAAGCAGCTCGTCGGAGGACTGTGTTAGACCAATTCCGTAAGATTCTCTCGACCGGATTCAAGGACATACCTGACCCCATTGCGATGCACGAAATGGAGTGGGGGAAAGTTGAATCCTGTCCAGGAGCACCCTGTCCGGTGACATCCACGCATGTTCTTGCAGCGAGCGCTGGAAGGTCGATGACGGCCCCGTTCCAAAATGTCCACTTTGTAGGGACTGAAACGGCTTCAAGATCCAAAGGCTTCATGGACGGTGCACTTCGGAGTGGGTCGAGGGGCGCCGAGGAAGTCATTCGGAGCCTGACGTCGGCAACCGCAGCTTCTCGTTTATGAAGTGGGTGGCAAGAGAGCCAAGCTTGCAAAAGCCTTCCAGTTTCGCTAACGGCGGTTGAAAGCTTGGAGCTTCGTGTGGCAGAATTATGCCCGGCCTAATCGTCGTCCGGGGTGTTTAATTGAGCGCCTTTTTTGAGGAGGTATCTGTGTATTTGATTCAGTTCTGTCGTGCCTCTCCTATTCCGAGCGTGATTTCCTCCTATATACAAGTTCTGGTGTTGTCAGGAGTCTTTGTCTGAACTTCTGAAACTGACTGGAAAGTCTGATGAAGCGCTGCCTGTAAACTACAAATGCGGCAGGACGCCAACACGGGGGGCTCGGCGAGGGAGAAGACTTGAGAACTGCTGATTGAAGAAGCCAGAAAGAGCTGTGCAAGTATAGATCTCTCTGTAGCTTAAAGGTAAATATATATATATATGGTACCGTTAGAGAGTGTTAGTGCCCGCGGCTTGTTTCCTTGCCCTCTGAATAATGGTTACGAGGTTCGGGGGGAGTTAGCCGATATTTCCCCCACGGACCTTGTTCGCCGAGTGAAAGCCAAACACTCCAATTGAACAGGGGCGGAAATTTGGCGCCCCATAACATACCGGAGCTGGTCGAGGTGGTGGAGCTGATGTACCGAGAGCCTAAATCTTTTCCGAGCGCCGCAACATGAGATTGTTCCACGTCGAAATCCATGGCGATATACATAAAAAGCCAGCAGCATGACCGTTCATCTCTTCTCACAACGATGACAGCACCCGTTCGGAGCTCATCGTCGCAATGGGATTGCAAAAGAATTTTGGCCTAATCTTTAAAGCCATCCCAGATGAAGCGCCTGTGATGGGAGAACATTTAAAAGTTGAAGATTGTCCCTTCGATGTCGACCAGAAACTCGAGAGCAACTATGTCCTGGTACAGAGCCTTTTTGCGTCCATCGACCCTTATATGCGCAGTTTGCTGGTTGCCCCTAGTTCGGACACCTACCAAGATGCTTACAAGCTCAACGAACCCATCTGGGGTTTAGCCATTGCGAAAGTGCTTAGATCAGAGTCGAAGCAATTTCAGCCTGGCGATGTCGTCTCTGGGCTTTTGCCAATGGTGCAATTTTCATACGTATATACTGGAGACGACAATAAGGGCGCATTTAACATTAGGAAACTCGAGAATCCGTTCAACCTTGAAGATTATCGCCTCTTCCTCGGACCGCTTGGAATGCCAGGCCTCACTGCCCTCTCGTCTCTCTACGACATCGGACAGCCGAAGAAAGGGGAGACCATCTTCATCTCGTCAGCTGCCGGTGCGGTGGGACAGATCGTTGGGATTCTCGCCAAGCACGAAGGACTGAAAGTAATCGGGAGTGTTGGCTCCGACCAAAAACTGGACTATATCGTGCAGGATTTGGGCTTTGATGGCGGATTCAATTACAAAACGGAGGATGCGTTGGTTGCATTAAAGAGACTAGTACCCGAGGGTCTTGATATCTACTACGATAATGTCGGAGGGACCCAGCTGGACGCGGCACTCGAGTCGATGAAACTCTTTGGAAGGATCGTGGCCTGTGGGATGATTTCTGACTATAACAACCCCCCGGAAAAATGGTATGGGGCGCGGAAGATCATGTATGTGATCGATAAGCGACTGTCAATGCGTGGCTTCATCGTTTCTGACGACAATATGGGTCCTCGGTACAAGGAGAGACACCAGCAAACCGTGGGGAAATTGCTGACCGACCCTCGGCAAAGGGCAAAATTCAGAGTTGATGAGATGGGGGACGTGCAGACTGCTGCTGAAGCATTTGTGGGTATGCTTGCGGGCAAAAATTTCGGAAAAGCCGTGGTCAGAATGGCTGTTTGAAGAGTGATGGTCATATTGGCAGAAGTGATAAAGAGTTTGAAAGGCGCCATGATCAATCGTTGGGACCTTTCAGTTCGATTGAAGCGGCACGCGTGTTTTCTGTCCTATCAGCTTCGGTAGCAGCCGCTGCTGCTTGAAATGCTCATACAAAGACATAGCCGCCGTTGGCGCAGGTGACGCTTCCTGTCACCCACCTTGACTGTTCCTCACATAAAAATGCCACTATGGGCGCGACATCGCTCACTTCTCCAATCCGGTCCCCAGCTGCGGTCCTGGGATGGATTAATCTTTCCGCCTCCTCCGCGCCTGGAGTATTATTCCACCTGGGCAGTAATCATCAGTCATTCATCAGTGTTTTGCCCCAAGGGAGGGGGTCTGCAACCATACATATCTGTTCTGATTGGACCGGGATTGACTGCATTCACGGTAGCCTGGAGCTCTCGACCTACATATCACCCTTTAGTACAGGTCCATGCTCGAAAGGGTGGGGTACAAGTCGTCCACGATTAATAGAAGAAAGCAGTCTTCTTACCTAACTCGAAAGCCAAAGTCTTGGTGATGCTCTCAAGTGCGGCTTTGGAGGCGGCATAGGTGATAGCGGAAGTATACGCTGCGGAATTGTTAGACCAAAGGCCCTTTGAGGTTGTAGCTTCTTGTCGCTGGGTCTCGAGGACACTCACCTGCGCGGGCAGCGGTCGAACTGATGTTGACAATGCGAGCGCCTTTCCGCAAGCTTGGGCGACACTGCCGAACCAACATCATCGGAAATAGTACATTTGTATGGAACACCTGGTCGAAGTTCTCCTCGGTCACTTCAGCCAGCGATGCATCAAAGCCATAAGCAGCGTTGTTCACGACGATATCAATGGCTCGTCCAAAGACCTTGTTGGCCTCTGACACTATCCTTTCCGCCGCTTCGGTCGCCTTTGCGCAGTCGGCCTGGACTGCCACCGCCTTTGCACCTCTTGCGGCGACGCTGGAAACGGCGGCCAAAGTTTTATCAGCGCCTGCCTTGGAGGAAACGTACGTTATCAACACTGATGCTCCTCTGCGGGCAAGCTCTTGCGCAATTTCGGAGCCGATTCCTGTTGCTGAGACTGAGCGCGCTGAACAAGAGTGTGGCCGGGTAACATACCCCTTGAGCCACCGGTCACTATGGCGTTCTTGCCCTCCAGCGACAGCGACAGCGTCATTGCTGTACTGCAGTCTCTTTATGTACAAATTACTAAAACGTAGTCCTTGCAACGATCAGAATGACAGAAGGTCTCGAATAGCAAAACTGTTGGACTAACGAAAAACTTTCACCGAAGAGCTTTTACAGAGAAGAGCAGACCCCGAGGTCATCAACACCGCCACTTTGCAGTAGAGGAAGTTCGACGGCCTCTACGAAGATGGCTGTTCGTATCTTGTACGGCAGGGGATGCAGCTCTGCTGTTCTGTAACGGTCACGGTCGCTTTGATGGCCCTCGCACCGCCGCTGAGCGAGTTTGTAGACACGATGACGTGCGAGAAAAGGGACAGCCACGCCGGCCACGACGCTGCCAATGCGGTACACTGTAGGAAAATCCTGGTTCTCGCAGGGACCCAGCACAGAGCCGGAGTGCCGTGAACATGGAGATCGCAACCCTTTTCGATCAGTGCCGAGTGCCGTCTGCCGCCGTCGCCTCCCAAGGGCGGCACCAATCCCGCCCACGTTGATTTGTTGATCGACTTAGTGTTCGTCTCACTTTCGACGGCCTCGGGATTTCGGGATTTTAGTGGGCCAGAAGCGAGGTGCACAAGGGTGCAACAAGAGGGGTCACCAAGATACGAATAAGGGACTACCAGCGGGGTAAGCGCAGGTCGAAACCATTCCCAGCTCCAGCTCATCAACTTGTGCAACTGGCCTGCGCCAACTAAAGAATGGCTGGTTCGGTAACCGTCATGTTGCTATCGTAGTAGGCGACGACCTTTCCGCTAGAGTGCTGCACATCGTTGAAGCATTATTGCAGACTTCTGGTCATTTGTTTTGATCTGGAGCCAGATTCCAGAGCTCGCACACATTTATTGGAATGAGCTCCTTCCTGAGAGACCGCGCGCGTCTCGTGTGCGTTCGTTGTCACAAGCGAAAGGTACACCAACCCTCACATAGCCGCAGAGATCAAATCGCTGAATCCTGGGATCGTAGATACGATGCGACCTTCAAGAGAGCGAGAACGGCATCTGCACAGCCTGTCGCCGTTTGAATATCGCCTGCGTGTAAGTTTTCTTTGGTTTTACGAATGCTTGACTGGGAATTGACCGTTTTCCGGTCGTCGCGAAGGGGTCCGAAAGGCCAGGAGACACTCGGCGATCTCGCAATCACCATTAGACCTGCCACCAGCTGGGCAGCCACCCATCGGCCACAGTGACTCCACCGTTCCTGATGAGTCGCGTTCGGCGAATACAGTCTGGTCGAATCAACCAATTCTCCAAAGGCATGGACCGCGTAGCCGGGCCTTCATCGCAGAGCACTCTGTACTGCAACACCTCGACAACAAGGACCTTGCCGACGTTCCTGCCACATCCACGCAACCACAGCCTGAGAGTCGCCGCATGTCACCTGCCAACGGCAACAGATCAAAGGTATTGAAAGCTTCCGAAGCCGACGTGCTCCCCAAACCAGCAATGCGACGTGCCTTGTACGATGCCTTTTTCACAAATCTGGCGCATGTACTCCCTCTTGTCGATCGTAAGGAGCTTGAATCTTCAGACTCATCTGTTCTGCTTCAACAGGCAGTCTGTCTTGCGGGTAGTCTGTTGCGTCATCCCAATCTCCCTGATAGCTTTTCTCGAACCAATGCTTTCTATGAGAAGGTTAAGCTGTTGCTATGCCTGGATACCGAACCCGACATGCTGTCGGTCATCAAAGCTCTTTGCATCCTGACACTGTGGAGTCCTCATTCGCCCGAGACTGTAAGCTTGAATGGAGCATGGCATGCGACGGGATCTGCGCTACGGCTAGCAATACAGATGGGCCTGCATCAAAATTCAACCTACGAAGCCGCGTCTGACGCGAAGAGTCGACGGAGAATATGGTGGTTTCTTTATGTGAGCGGCCTGACGATTCTGTAGATATCACGCGGCGCTGATCCCCGTTTACAGGCAAGTGACTGTGCGCACGCCCTCATTACTGGTCGTCCTCCAATGCTGAGGCCAGCAGACTTCGATGTTTCCCCTTTGACGCTTGCCGACTTTGATGATCAGCAAGATGAGGCCGCGAAATACTTCATTGCCGACGTTTCTCTGGCCCACATTATGGGTCAGCTTGCTTCCAGACTTCGAGATCAACATGCTGATGAGGGGGAGGGATGCATCCTAGAGCTCTTGGTGGAATGGATCGACAAATTGCCTCCAGAGCTCAATCTCTTTAGCTCGACGGGTCAAAAAAATCCGTATAGCTTCCCCGCCACCGAACTTCACATCTGCTATTTTGGGGTTGTCATCCTCTCACAGGCACTCACACACCAGCGCGAAAAAGGCTGGCTCTGTTCAAACGTGTGTCTAGTCTCTTCCGCCTGCATTACGCACTTGTACGAGGAAATCCTGTACCGAGAACAAGTTGCGCTCCTGACGTCGATGCATCCCTTTTGGTGCCTCATCGCCGCGCTGCCACTCTTCTATTGCAGCACAGATACAGCAAGCATAGAAAAGCAAAGGAGAGAAAGTCTAGACGCTTTAAGAGCCGTCATTCAGCAATTGAGTCCGCGACATGGGCTGGCACGAACAGTGACACGCAAACTGCTCCGCCTCGACCGTCTTCGCACGGACATCATCTCACAGCAGACTACTCTCGTCGGCGATCACCCTAAGCTAACGGCGATTCCGAATCATTTTGAAAAAGCACAGCACATTGACGAGCTTTTTCCTCAACTGCGTATGTGGCTAGCTTCCCACGACGTCTTTATACAAAACACGATTTTAGAAAAGGTTGTCGAATCCATCGAATTGACCGAAAGACAATCACATCACGAAGCGACAACGGAAAATGTACACTCGGTCTTTGATGCGCTAGGTGCTTCAGCGTTTATGGATTCGGTATTTGATGACAACTACTTGGACGAAGACTTTAGCTTCGACCTTTCGCCCTCATTATAAATTTTTTAAGTCGTCTATCACTCCGTAATTGGGCGTTTCACCATTATATGAGGCTGCTGAGTTTGATGAGTATGCCAATAGATGCTGATAACCAGGAGATCCCGATTAAACTCCTCACTAGAGCTGTCTATACCTAGTGTAGGGGTAATACGGAGGTGGCCACATGAGATATAACGCAACAAGCTAGAGTGGCAGGCAAAACTGGTGGCACGCGCCATGGTGCACGCCGAGTGTGGACATCCCTTTTGCAGGGCCACTTGGGAATCATTGATCCGACCGAGGGTCTGCCTCAAACTGGCCAGGGGAGGTGACTGTGCTAGCCGCACCCAGAGGTTGGGCGGCAAACTCTGATGCTGTGAGCATCAGCTCCCCCTTTCTCACCCAATGGTTTTACTGATCATTCAGTGTGCTCTTGGCGCCTTGCGACGACTTAGCTCATCTCGTTCAACCACATCCGCAAAGCATCACAATCTCGCGACCACGCTCCTTTCGTCCCTAGTGTGCCCTCACAAGGGAAAAAAAAAAAACACAATTCCACGATTGCTACTACCAGAAGCCGGCTCAAAGATGGACAATATCCGACCCTATTGCCGTCTTGACGGGGTATTCATTTGTAGGAGGTAGATAGAGAGTACGATCCAAAGAATCCATGAACAGATGCGTCCATTCGTTCGGCGCGTCTTGCACAGAGTCCGGCTCCTGGTCACCTGCCCATGAGTCTCTGAGAAGGCACACTGGATTAAAATCGAAGTCGAACCCTAAGGCTACTTGTCGTAGGCTACCGCTCTCGAGGAGAAAGCTCCAGGACAAGAACAGCACCCCACTGACCTGGGTGCAAGATTGCTGGATGAAGGTCTGTCGAAGGATTTCTTCGATTTCGCGCATAAATTTGTGTGGACGATGGCAGCCAGCTATGTGTAAGACTAAATCCGTATCTGGGTTTGTTGAGATATACTCTCTCCCTATTAGTGCTTAAATTCTGTCGTATATAAAGCAGTCTATCTTTTGTCGGCCGATCTTGACTTTGAGAAGCTTTCTAACTTCGGCGCCAGAGCCCGTTTTGGCTAAGATTGATTCGTGTATATTGATCGTTTTGGGAAAGGCACCTAAGAAAAATATCTAGAGCAGCTGGCTCCTGGGCCGTCCTTCGATCTGTACAGTCAATGTATGCTAGATACGTATCGGCTGCCCACGGTGTGATTTTCAAGTAAATCGAGAGGTCACGATTAGTCATGGCAAATGGTTCACGCCCATTTAGAGACTCTCCCGACGATAAAAAAATGACATTCGGAAAAGTAGGCCGGACTGGGAGCAAGTAGGCCGGAAATTTTCATTTCCTTCATTGACCAAGCAAAAGATGGAATGGTCGTCGTTATACTTGATGATTTCTTCCTGAAGTCGAAAGAACGCTCGCTGTCCCTCGCCATAAAGAAGTGACATATTGGCACCAAACAAACCCAGCAAGCAGTATGCACCGTCTTCGGCACGGGTTGTGACTCGACTAGCAGCCCAAGACATTCTCTGAGCAACGGAACTCTCTGCTAGATTCCTTGATGTAAGTACTGTCATAGGAATACGGGTGATAGCAGAAATCCGTCCAGCTAGAGCTATTTTGCTCCCTAGCTTCGCCATTTTCGATTCGTAGAAAATAGCCCTCGGTGGGGCAAGCAGCTCCTGCAGAGCCCATCCACACTTTAACCATCTGCTTTTGGCGATGGATTTCTTTCAGTTTGGGTTTTCCACGTCGCTAAGATAAACGTAGCAAAGCTTCGCACCTTGATATCAGTTGTACATCGAATTTATAGCCTCATTGAGCTCGGCACTGCTCTGCTTGTTAATATAAACTCGGTCACTCGCGCCGAACTCTCAGAGGCTCGCAGGCCTGGCCGGGACTGCCCCGCTTCGGGACTGTGGCCCTACCGCTTTGAATCTCACACGTGTCATGTGACCAGGCTCAACGTCGGCTCAGACCTTGTTCCGTGGATCAATTCCATCACAAGGTATCCACATTTTCCTCTCCAGTCATTCTCAGGAAGACTAGAGTCTTGGAAAAATTGATGTACCTAAGGGACGCACGGCCATCAACAATTCAAGTGTTTATAAGCGAGTCTTTAATTTGCTGCTTTGGATGGGGGGACCAAATAACCAAATTTGACGACCGCTCGATTGTTGAGCCGGAGAACGACGTTGGAGGTGTGCGTCCCCGATAAATGATTATGTGCTGCGTAATCTGACCAATCGGGTTTGTACATGGACATCAGTTCACAATCTCTTGGTCTGTGGCAGCTAAATGATCTTTAGTCCATCATCGCGGTGGAGGTATGTAGTTTTCCGTTGTTGGAGGACTTGAGCTAGAAGATTTGGGGCACCAGTATGCCAAGACCCAAAATCACGTGCCAAAAACTTCAATCAACTGCGCTAAAATCTTCTGGCTTGACCAGGGGAAACTGCACCACTTTGGACCTCCATATGGATCTTCCTGCGTTCACGCCCGCTCCTTATGACTGCTGGATCGTCAGAGTTGTCAGCGTAGCGGTTCATAACCTAGGCCATAGAACCCGGAGCGCATATCGGCTACAAACACTGGTCCGTCTCTTTGTTGGTGGCCCCGATTGCTCAAGATGTAACGGGCGCTGGAATTCTCCGGCCCGGTTCGCCTCGATCTCAGACCTGAAGGCCCCAAGAACGGGACCTCGCGCATCGATTTGCTAGGGTATCTCTTCACCCAGAACGCTGCGAAGCACTTCCACTTCGCTGCCAGTCACCCAGCCGGTCAAATGACCGTGAGGGCGGTGGAAGATCTCCTACGCACAGAGAACAGCCATCGATATACCACATGAGCGAAAATGGCGGCTGTCGGTGGTGAGTGTATGCGCTTTTCCGTATCTCACATCCCGCCCGCGAATCCGATGTGTTGGCCAGATACCTCGTACAGATTCAGTGTCGCGAAAGACCTCGTCGAGACGACACACCTTTCCCGCAGGTGTCGAAGAAGAAATGACAAGAGTGATGACAAACAACTATGCAAAGACATTGGCTCCATCCCCCCCACAACCTCCAGAAAGACGCACTCTCCTAACCATGGAGCTTGGGCCACAAAGTCTTTTCTTCCCCCTCGGTGGAGTGAGAGAATCACTATCTCCTAGGCTCACCGGGCCCCCCGGCGGGGTGAGCTGGGCTGCTGTCCTACCTCAACTGAGACACTGCCAGTCACTCAGTCCGTCGGTCCCCGATCGATAGACCGACCAACCGACCGACCGAGCTACCAGCCGCCTACCGATAGGCAGATCAGGCGCTTTCACCGGCCGGCGGGCGAGATTTCAGGGGCGTTGGTTGTTTTTTCAACTCGGAGGGGGGGAAGGCTGTGGCAGTCTGTTCGATAATTGTCGGCCCAATTTATATCATAGCCAACGCGTTGGTTTCGCAACGCATGTAGGTGGTGTCTTCTCATGGTAGGCATGGGGCAAAAGAAACGGCAGCAAGACGGATTTCGTCTGAAATATCCAGTACAATGAACCCTTTTTTTCTTCTTCTTCCGGGCAGGCCGCCCTGATATGCTGCATAGTGCCCGATGTGGCCAAGCTATGCTGAGCTATAACTATAGCTACTCTATACCTGGTATGCATTAGCACCTCCATCCAGGTCGGACGTTGCGACCGGAAGACGATAGACCTAAATGCTGTCCAGGAAAATCTATGATCGTACAAAACCCCAGGACACATCCTAATGTCCGGGTGTGACATGCTGTCCAGTAGGTAAAATCTTTTTCTCGTGTCCGTTTCCCATATCCTGATTCCAATTCGGTGGATCTCATGGTAAACGAGTGATCATGAGTCTCGTGGCGTCGAAGGGTTTCTCTTTTCCGCATTACGGTCATTAGTGTGAAGTTGCGCAAGTATGCTGCTTGTCAAAAAGAAAGAACCAAATTCTGAATATCGTGATTGCGTCGCTTTTGTTTCCCTGGTTGTCGTTGGGGAACAAGAAGAATCGAAAGGCGTGGTAGGTGGATCGGGAGCAGAAGACAATCTTGGTGCCGACATTCATCTCGGCTGTTCAAAGCAAGGCAGCAACCATCATGGCAGCAGCTGCACCAGCAATCTTGAATCCCCCGGTAGCCACTGGTGCAGCGGCCCCGGTGAACTGGCTGACAACAGGAGCGGCTGGTGTCGTCGAAGGGGCAACCGATGTCGTCCATACCGAAGTGGTAGGAGCAACAGGCGTTGGGGTCGGGGTCATAACCGGCGCCGATGAAGACCAATCGTTCCACTGGCTGCTCGAGGGCGCAGGAGCTGGGGCCGCGGGGACGCTGGACGACCAATCGGCCCATGTGCTTGAGCTTGTCGCGGGAACGGGTACCACGGGCGTAGAAGTTGTCCAATCTTGCCACGTCGCCGTTGGAACTGGAACAGGCGCAACAGAAGAAGTCCAGGTCTCAACTGGGGCTGGAGATGAGGACCAATCTTGCCAGGAGGAGGTCGGCACAGAAACCACGACTGAAGACGTCCAATCTTGCCAGTGAGATGAAGTCACTACCGGCGCTGGAGAAGAAGGCGTCCAATCGGCCCAGGACGTTGTCTTAACCGGAGCTGGCGGTGCCGAAGACCAGGCTTGCCATTTTGAAGTCTCGGCGCCTGAAAAGACGTTAGTACTCGTCATTGAGGAAGAAGTAGAAGTAACCGGGACAAGATTCCACTCACCTCCGTTTCCTCCCTTTCCGCCTTGACTTGACCAGTCTCCCCATTGACCATTGTCACCGCCTTGGCCTCCCTGGCCGCCTTTGCCGCCTTGACCTCCCCATTGACCACTGTCACCGCCGCCTTGGCCTCCTTGGCCACCTTTGCCGCCTTGACCTCCCCACTGACCATCACCGCCGCCAGGTGCTGCGACAGCAAGTGTGACGAGTGCAAGGACAAGTGTCGATCTCATGGTGTGGTTGGGTATGATATTAGTGTATTGACAAGTAATGTTTGAGGTTGTATAAGTATTGAATCTCGCGTGAACGATTGGCCTTTGAACGAAGGACTATGCTTGTGGGAGGAGAGAATGAATTGACTGTGAGGATGAATAGAGAACACAATGCAAAGGTCAGGGAGGGGATTCAAATACTTTGTAAAAGGGAGACTCACGTCATGCACGACCAGGGAGGTTGACAGCTCAGGCGACGTGCTCCATACGGTGTGACTGGGAAACCCTAATTGGGCATTCAGCCAACTCGGTGGCTCTATTCAGGAGGCAGGGTCCATGTGGTTGGATGCAAAAAAGACCATCTTGGTCCGCATCAACGAACACCGCAAGCCCAGATGGGCGCCATCGTGGCAGCGTCACCGGCAAGTGGAGTATAGAAAAGGAGAACAGACTGGGCTGGGGCGGAATCGGCGAGCGGGATGCTGCTGAGTTTGTGGCCCACACATGTATACTTGTATACTTGTGCCGAGTCCAGTCTGCTGTTCAGGGGGGGGGTTCCCAGCAAGGAAGGTAGAAGACACGGTGAGGGAAGAAGTTGGCGGAACATGTGTCAATGGGAAGAGGTTGGATTCAAGCTGAAACCGCACTAGGTAACCCCCAGCCAAGCATGTTTTGGAAGGCTGGACGTGGTTAGAACAGGCGCAAGGGGCAACCACGAGAAGAGCGAGCGAACCCGGCCGGGCAGAATTCTCGCTTAGAGGCAGGGGAGGCTTGGTGGCTCGGCGGCTCGGCGGCTTGGCGGCTTGTGGCTGGCCCAGGAGGCTGACCAGTGTCCCCATAGAGATACTCCCCTTTTTCTGGACGAAAATCCTTTCTTCGGGTCGATGATGGCAATTCAGGGCGTGTGCGAGACTCAAAGACTGGTTCGCTGGATGGATTTTGATTGCAGGACTTGGACAGCCATTCCTCCTGGAACCCCTTGTTTTCCTTGACCACAGCAGTTCTCCCTTGGCCGCTCCGCTCCAAGAAGCCCGAAGAGGACCAGTCAGGTGACCATCTGGGCTGAGCGCGGGGTTGCAAGGAGGAAGAGGGGAAGAGCTCAGCAAGGCGCCCCCCGATGCCCGTCAGGCTTGCTGGTGATGGTGGCAAGGCCTTGATTGATCACTAATTCGCACCCTCCGTATCAGATTGAAATTCAAGGCAGCAACCCGTGGAGCTGGGAACTCTTCGAATTGAACCTGTCTGTAGTCTGTTTATTGCTTGCTGTTGGATCTTCAACCGGCCATTGTTGCGCAAAGGCGCCCGAGACCTGCAGAAACCCGGACCATGACGTACGAAGCACAGATATCTTTTACCTTGGACACGATTTGCCCTTGGTGAGACATCCGTCAACCGTGATCCTGGAAATCTCTGGCGCATCCACAATTCATTGGTCGTTCATGTTGGTATCCGGGCTGATCTGTCGCACAGGACGTACCTGGCCAAAAGACGGTAATGTTTGTCCATGACGCCCTCGGCCTGGTGGACCGTAGGGAACCTGTTGGGCTTGGTGATTGACTCGCTTAATCTGAGTTGGCAGGCTTGACGAAGGTCTGTTCTTCCCGCAATGATGTGCATCAATCCTTGGTTTGTTGCTCGATGTGCGACCCGACCGGGCTTCCACCTGACTGTTGACAGCTCTTCGTCGATTCCGACAGAGTGACGATGCAAAGGACGTGAATTTTGTCGTCAAGTACTTTCCGTACCAGCTGTATCCTGATGCGACCAGGGAGGGCGAAAGCAAGTATGACTGGTACAAGAAATCTCGCTATGGTGACTCGGAGGAGAAGATGAAGATGGTAGGAGCCATTGAAAGAGTCATGTCAATGTTGCCGTCTCCCGTTGCTGGAGGTCTCTTCCAACACGACTCTTCCTTGCTAATACATACCACTTGGCACTTCTAGTATATGACATTGATGTCCGCGTATGGTGTCTCTGCCGGCATCAATTTCAAGTTCGGGGGCACGGTCGGGAATACACTGGATGCACATCGCGTGATCCAACACTTTCAAGAAGAAAAGGGCCCCGAAACTGCCGACAAAATCATCAATTGTAGGTGTTACAGAGAGAACAGAGAGACGGTGCAGAACATATCCTTTGCCGGCCCCCCCCCCTCCTCCCCCTTTTCGAGAGAAACCAGCTCGCTCACTTACCTCTTCTCTTCTCCGGTTCGACCATCACAGCGCTCTACTCTCAATATTTCGAGAACGAGAAACACCCTTCTTCAGACGAGACATTGCTCAAAGCAACCGCCGACGCCGGCATTCCCGAATCCGAGGCTCGTCCATTCATACAAGACAAGAACGATGGCATGATGGATGTCAAGAAGTGAGTCTCTCCCGGTCTTTGCGAGCTGTTTCAAGCCAGAGCAAGGGAGTCATTGCGGACAGACTGTCAGGATTGCAATGAGCTGACATGTGGTTGCAGCATGGTTCGTCAGCAGGCGGGCAACGGAGTGGATTCCGTACCGACGATTATGATCGAGGGCAAGAGGAGGGATATCACACTCGTAGGCGCGAAGGAGGTCGAGGAATATGAAAAGGCGTTGAAGCAGATTGTCAAAGAGAGCAAGTAAGGTTTGAGTCTGGAGTGAAGACATGATGGAGCTATGCATCAAGACAAAGGCTCCGCCGACAATGAATGATGGGACCGTGGAGTGGAGGAAGGGATATGTTGGGGTGTTGGAATGTGTTCGCCTCGGGTCTGTCCCCGTTGATGTCTCTCAGTACATCCTCACCCCTACCCTCCCTTTGTCTATATCAAATGCCACCCCCAGTCCTCGGAAGAAAGGCTCTCCAAGCACCCATACATCTTTCATGCCACTTTCTAGCCATTCTCTCTTCTGGCCCATCCTCGTCTCCACCACGCTTCCTACGCAGTACCCCGATCCATCGCCCAGTTTCCCCAGGCTAAATCTTCCTCCTGCCGGGCCATGCAGCCCATCCGCCCAAGTACCCTGACCCTGCATTGCGGGAAAGTTCTGTCCAGCAATTTCAAAGGCGATATGGACTTCGTTAAAGCATGGGAAGGCGAAGTAGAAGTCGTAGGGAGGAGGCAGCCGTTTCGTACCGCCGATGGAGTCGTAGAACCGCTGGGCTGCGAGCGGTGGAGCCAGGATGAACGGGACGTCGATGTCGAAGAGGATAGGTTGGTTCCTCAGGACCTGGACACGGGTTAGAAGATGATTGCTCTCCGTGCCGAGTAGAATCGATTATACCTTTGCTCCATTAACCCACACGCCCTTCATCAACGCCGTCCACCATCCCGCAGCGCCTTGCACCTCCGTCCACTTGAAATGCTGTTCCCAAGGTATCTCGTTCGGCATGGCCCCCTGTAATTGAGCTATCACCTGCTCGCTCACCCATTCCGAGGTCACAGCAGGATCGCCAAAGTACTTCAACTCAACTTCTCCCCGTATCTTCGCTTCCTCGACCTCTTTTGCGATTGTGCCGCCGAGGCTGAGGATCCCAGTCTCCGTGTCCAGCAGCGTTACTGACCATACCTTTTCTTTGATGATGTCTCCCTCTTTCAACTGGGTCAACAGCGGAGAAGGGGGCATTCGAGCGAGAGACCCGGTGTGTGGCGCAAGACCGAGAAACGTACCGGAATGTGCAAGGCTCTGTCGAGATGACTTCGACGGTGTGCATGTTGGAAAATCGAGTCGAATTGGTGGCAGGCTGGGAGGGAAGTGGAACTCTTCACTGGGGCGCCTGCAGACCGGATGGACTCTGTCTTCACTGAAATCTGGTGGAGGTTTCGGTCAGGGCAAAGCGAAAGCTGCGTCGTCTCCTTTACCTACGGTGACTTTGCGAGCCAGACGTGTCGTACCTGGACCCCTTGCTACTCGCAGTCGTGATCGTATAGAAATCTGGACTCAACATGTTCACGTCGACCTCCAATCTTTGTCGTGGATTGCCCACTTCAAATGTCGCGTACCTGCGCCCCTCGCCTTCGAAATCAGCGATCCTAGTTCCTTCTCAAGGGCATGACTGGGGAACCAAGGTGTTCATTCGTACCATTGATTGGCCCCTCCGACGACAGCAATCACCTCCGGATCATTCTCATCCTTGCACTCGCTTGCCCGCCATTTACGCACAAGGCGGTTCCCTTCGATTGCACGGTAGCTACGCGCATACCTTGCCTCGGCGTCTTGAAGGACTGATGTGAGATAAGTGAGGTTCGCCGACTCGCGGTACGAGAAGCGGCCTCCCCTTCTGTGCAGGGGCAAGTGGATGGCGGAATGGGCGGACTGCACAGAGCAAGCGAAGAACAAGGTCAAGCTGACAATGACAAGGCCGCTGAGAGAAGACATTTTTGATTTATGTACTTGCTCAGTTCTCAGAGTGTACAGGCCTGAAACGTGTCTGCAGCGAAAAGGAGACAACCCAAGTCTCCATGATAAACTCGAAAGTGCTTGTTTTCACATCCCGACCATGCCGTGCCATGCCGTGCCATGCCATGCTTTTAGGGGTATAACAATGTTTCCGTAACCGCAACCTTGAAACCATCCGCTCTTGCTCTAGTGATGCTGATGCTGATGCTCATGCTAGTATATCCGTTCAAACTCTGATCGACGCACTCCTCCGTATCCTCTGCCTTGCTCTAATGCTGATGCTCGTGATGTCCATTCAACCTGTCTTCAAAGTACTCCTCCAGATCCTCTGCCTCGCTCAGCCTTAATGCTTCCTCAACACTACCCACAAAGTGTCTCGTCCCGCCAACCATGTCGACAATGCCGCTTCTCTCAAAGCTTTTGTAAACTTGACTGCGTCTTTGGGGTAACCTGCAGATGATAACACGAATACCGCGCTTCACGTAATCTTCCACGATTTCAGCAAACACTTGGGTTCCAGATCCATCGATCGTGGTGACGCCGTGCACATCAAATATGATATTGCGGTTGTTATCCTCGTGGCGCACTCGTGGTAGAGACGGATGAGCAGCGGTAGTGCCGTACTGCTCCAACCGCCTCAGACGATTTTTCAACTCTCCGGTGTTTGCGAAGGTGAGCGGTTCGGGGATCTTGACGATCAGACAACCTTCAATATACTCAATATTCTCTGGTGTAAGTTCCGCATTTTCGAATTGATTCGAGGTCCCAGGCACTTTGCCGAGGATCTGTATCCTAGGCTTTGTTGCGTGACGGATCAATGCCAGCAGGGACAGGCCGATGCCGAGTGCCATTCCGACCGACAACGAATAGAACACCGTAGCCACAAAGATAATTGTCATCAGCGACAACTCTGTCCAGCCTCTGATCTTGAAGAAAAATTTGATGTCGTGAGGACATTCTTCGATCAGGGAATACGCAACGACCGAGATCATGGCTGAAAGGACGCCCTTAGGCAGGTAGTAGAAATAGGGAACCGCAAACAGGACACACATCAAGGTGATGAAACTGAGGAAAATGCTACTCATCGGCGTGGTGCCTCCGGTCGAAGCGTTCACTTTGCTTCTTCCATAACCCCCGAACGCAGGCAGCGCCATGAAGACACCACCTACAATGTTGGCAGCGCCCAAGGCAATCATTTCTCGGTTGGCGCTTAGCGTCATGTGCTTCACTTGACGCCCTTCTCCTAGGCTTTTTGCGGCGACCGAAGATTCAAAAAACCCTAGTAATGCAATCAAGAAAGACGTGCTCAATGCGGTGTCGATATGTTTCATGTGCCGAAACTGGAAGGGCCAGTGGAATGGGATGGCTGTTCCACCCGACGATTTGACTTCACCTAGGACATCGAGACCCTGCTTGTCCCAGGCATAGGCCCAAGTCAGAACCGCCGAGAGAGTGACGACGATGAAGCGGTCGGGGAAGTATGCCATCCAGTGATGCCTTGGCTGCAGAGTCTGCTTGAGATATCTGTGATGTCAGAACCTTGTAGATCCTTCGCCCAGTCACAACTTACCTGAAAACCATAATGACGGCAAAAGCTCCAAAAGAAACAGCGGCTGTCAAAGCGTGAGTGTTCCCTATGTTCCTAGCCAGGAATACCAGCTTTTGAGCACAGCTTCCGTGCGAGACGCCATCCATTTGCTTAGCAATTTCGGCGAGACCCAGCTCGGGAATCAATTGGTCGACAATAATGACGAATCCGATGGCGCTGATAAAGCCTCGAAGAAAGGGTCGGCTGAGGACACTGTCGAGAAATCCAAGTCGAGCCAAGCCAGCGCTGAAGATAATAGCTCCAGCTATGGCAGTTGCCACGCCACCGATTTCGGCGTTGAGCTTAGAATCATCATCTTGAGACTCCCCCCTCTCAATGCATGTCTTGACCACCTGGCCAACCAGTAATGACCCCGCTGCTTCAGGTCCAACAACCATCTGCATGCAAGTACCCAGCAATGCATAGATCAGGGGGCTGAAGACAAAGGAATAAAGCCCATTAATGGGGGGTACATGAGCAAGGTTCGCAGCGTATGAGAGCGACATCGGGATGTAAACGGACGCTACAGTGATAGCCGCGATCAAATCCCCCTGAAACCAACTCAATCGGTACTGGCTGATCCACTTGACGAAAGGAAAATAGTAGGAAAAGTACATGAACCGGTGACTCTTAATGCCATGTCTTTCGGCCAGCCATCTGGTTGTGCTAAGACTTTTGCTTGGTGCGAGAGTGTCGGAAACAACCTCGCTCAGGATGCCCCGAACTTGATCCTGTGAGCTGCCGTCCTCGGCAATCTCGCCAGCGTATCGACCACCAAAGGAGAGGTTGGCGCTCCCGTCACTGTCGATCGAAGGAGCCCTTGGAGAGAAAGTTCCGTGGTTGCAGTCTCTGAGACCGCAAATACGACTGTGGTGATAATTTCCCAGCAAGGCATCCCGCTCATTAAGCGACTTTCTCGAAGGTTCTTGTAATTCTGCTTGGACATCGGCCCCTTCCTCATTCACGAGAGGCTCAGGCTCAGCGATGAGAGGTGTATTTTCGCCGGCGGTCAAACTCGGCGGAGGAAGGCGCGGATTTTCCTCTTCACTTGTATCTTCATCTGACTTCGATCTTGCCATCTTGTCCTCCGGGGAGAGAAGTGTGGTCTCCCGCAGTCGGCTGGGAATCAGAGGAGCATATTGGTCGGCGTCTGCAAATCGGACGCTTTGTTGAGAAACCCGTCGCGGGGGAGTCAAGGGATCGTTGGTACGAAGGTACGATGACTTCTGCTCAGCCATGGCTGGGGAGATCAGAGAGCCGTTCAGGAGCCCGACGAGGGTGCCAACGTGGTCATTTCTGAGTCAACAGGTTCTGAGAGGAACCCAGGACTCAAAAGGTAGAATCTCCCGCAGGTTGAGCGGACAAGGCACGGAGTGAGGCAACTTAAAAAGATGGATAGAGATGGGGTTTGTACAAGCGAATAGAATGTCTGGCTGGGAGCGTGCGAACGCGGTGGCCACCAAGGACGGTTGAAGTCCGAATCAGCAGGTCATTCTTGCCTCGCAACTCCAATCAGCCGGGACCGAATTGCCATGAAAGGAAGTTGACTTGACGTGGGTTGCTCAGTTGTTTTTTTCAAATGACGTGGGGTATGTCGCTTGTGTACCAAGTAGAAGGCTTGTTTCTGGAGGCACGTGATTCGGATTATCTTTTCTCCAAGTGCAACAGGCAGCCAAACGCTAGATCGAAAAAGGAATGCGGGCACTTGGCTTGGCACAAAAGTTGAGGTGCCCGCCCGCAGAAGCGAAATCAGCCTTCAAGTTGCCCGCACATGCGATCAAACACGCCATCGAGTCACAACTCTTATTTTCTCTCTTTCTATTCACACAGAGGCTCCATATCTATTTGAAGATACCTGAGACAAAATATCGCACATTTGAGCCCAGCGTTTGTCGGACAGACGCAGTCAAAATGTCGGACCCAAACTCGTTGACGAATTGTCGCTTCTACGAAGAAAAATACCCGGAAATCGAGAGTTTTGTCATGGTGAATGTCAAACAGGTAGGTGACGAGTTGGTAAATGCTCTCCAAGTTGACGGTGGCTCTAACAACCCTCGCAACAGATCGCAGAAATGGGCGCCTATGTCAAGCTTCTAGAATACGATAATATCGACGGCATGATCCTCCTCTCCGAACTCTCTCGAAGACGTATCAGATCCATACAGAAACTCATCCGTATTGGTCGCAATGAAGTCGTGGTGGTCTTGCGAGTAGATAAAGAGAAGGGTTATATCGACCTGTCCAAACGAAGAGTCTCCGCGGAAGACATTGTGCGCTGTGAGGAACGGTACAACAAGAGCAAGTCAGTCCATTCCATCATGCGACACGTTGCCGAAAAGACGAAAACGCCCATCCTGAAGTTATACGAGGATATTGGCTGGCCGCTGAACCGGAAATACGGCCACGCCAACGATGCTTTCAAGCTCTCCATCACAAACCCCGATGTGTGGAATGACGTGAAATTCCCCAACGACGTCGTCAAGGAGGAATTTCTGTCGTACATCGGCAAGAAACTGACGCCGCATCCGACAAAAGTACGAGCCGACGTGGAGGTGACATGTTTCAAGTACGACGGCATCGATGCTGTCAAGGAAGCACTGAGACAAGCCGAGGCAAGGAATTCTGCGGAAACACAAGTCAAGGTCAAGTTGGTCTCTCCGCCACACTATGTCCTGACCAGCCAGTGCTTGGACAAAGGGATGGGCATTCAATTGCTCGAGCAAGCAATCAAGGATATCGATGACAACATCAAGGAGGCAGGGGGTGCTTGTGTGGTAAAAATGGCGCCTAAGGCCGTGACAGAGCATGATGATGCCGAACTGCAGGCACTGATGGACAAGAGAGCGCGCGAGAACGAGGAGGTCAGCGGTGATGAAGACGTGAGCGAAAGCGATGAGGGGCCAGAGGTTGCCTAAAGGGTTCCGGTCTGTCTGCAGAGCTGAAGATGGCGTGCCTTGATGCCGAGGGGCTCATATCCACAAGGACTTTGGCAGGTCATTGTCGACAGTCAAATACCAGGTCGAAACGGGGGCATCATACCTGACCGAGGCTTTGTCCCAACAGTTGGTGGTTTCCGTACCAGCGCTGTCATCGGCGTTGACCCAGTCTGTGGAGGCTACGACATCGTCGCCAGGGGCGACATGATGACCCCGAGGCTGAGGGCCCTGAGCTGCACCAACCTCTGTATAAGAGGGCCGCGGCAAGCACGAGGCTGATATTGCAGCGCACCACGGCCCAAACTCGCTAGTCATGCCGAAATAGTCTTGTAAAATGCTGCTCGCAGGCTCACTAGGGGGAAAATCAGCCCAGCTCGTGCCCGCGCTTCGCTCCAAATATTACAACAGCCTCGATCGCATATTTCGCCTGGCGCGTAGCACGAAATTTTTTTTTTTTTGGGAGTGCTTGGTCATTACATACGTGCGAATTATTGCGCTCCATGGACTTCATCGCCGGCAGCATAGTGGTGGCCTCCTGCGATGGAGTTTGCTTTAATTTGGGCGGTAGTTGACTCGAATGAAAAGCAACCGTGATGTACTTCATTGTCTCCGTCAAACTTGCCGTCGTTTAATATCTGCGTTCCAGCCTGATCTATTTGGAAGTATCGGAATCGTCCTTCCATGCCTCTAGATTTCCCCTAACGGCAGACCTTGAAATCATCCCTCTAGTCAATCATGCACTCTTTCCAGCGTCCTCCTTCAAACTGACGATTCGATTGAGCACAATCTTCCCCGCCGCCTCGTCTGTATCCTTGTCCATGCAGAAATAGCCCATACGCATCGCCTGAAACCTAACCGACTCAAAACCGCAATTACCCTTCTTTTCACCGGCTTCCTCTGGCCATGGAGCTCGTTCCCGGATCTCCTTCAACCCGACCTCTGCCATAGCATTCGGGTACACCTTGAGACTGTCTTCCCGTATGTCTGCCATGAAACTCGGCTCCACCGAGTCTGGATTGTCGGACTTGAAAAGAGGGTTGAAGACACGGACCTCGCATTTGATTGGTGAACCATGCTCCGGCGCATCAGCAACCCAGTGGATGTAAGCTTTGGGCTTCTTGATTTTCTCGCCTTCTGCTGGCTTGTCGTACTTCGCATGTATCTCAGTGACCAGTCCGGTAGCCTCATCCTTCTCGAAGCTGGTTGCAATAACGGGATAAGGGACTTTCAGTAGGCCAACAGGCTTTCCGGGCGCCATGCGGAAGAAGTCTTTGCTGTCCACCTCTCTGAAGTCGTCGCGCTCGATATAGACCTTGTTTGTGAAGGGCAGCTTGTGAGAGCCCATATCGACGTCTTTCGGACCGAACGCATTTTCCAGTTCCTCGTAGTAATCGTCGGGCAGATCGTCGATGATGACAGGTACGGGATCTAGCACAAGCATGAGACGAGGCACGGTCATTTCCAGATATTTGCGGATTGACTGTTCAAATCGCACAATCTGAATATTGATAGTCGCCGTGGTGACTCCAAGCTCGCTGACAAATGACAGGATGGCACCGGGCGGAACACCCCTCCTCCGCAAAGCAACAAGAGTGTACAACCTGGGGTCGTCCCAACCGGCGACAATCTTCTCGTCCACCAACTTTTTGATTTTTCGTTTCGATAAGACAGTGCCGGTGACGTTTAATCGACCGTATTCTCTCTGCATCGGCTTGTGAGGGACGTCGACCTTGTTGTTGAGCCACTCGTATGATACTCTGGACAGGATGAATTCAGTCGTGCACAACGAATGAGTTATGCCCTCGAAGCTATCACACAGGCAGTGGGTGAAGTCGTAGGTAGGGTAGATTCTCCATTTGTTGCCTGTGCGATGATGTGGTTTCTCGAGGACGCGGTAGGCAACCAAATCCCACATCTGAGGGTTGCCATCCGAAAGATCCTGCTTCATCCGCAAAAAGGCTTCTTTGGGCTTGTACTTGCCATCTCTCATGGCTCGAAACTCGGCAAGGGATTCTTCAATCGGTCGGTTTCGGTGAGGGCAAGCGTATCTCTCATGCTTATTCTTCGGATCTGTCCCGCCTCGCTGATCTTTAAGCTCCTCGTCGGTGCAGTGGCATACATAGGCGCCGTCCAAGGTGATAAGCTTCTCGGCCAACTCGTACAACTGATCAAAGAAGTCGCTGGAGTAGGTGATCAAAGCAGGATTAAAACCCAGCCAGCGCACAATATCCTCAATGGCGGTAAAATAGACTTCTTCTTCTGCTTCCGGGTTCGTGTCGTCGTATCGCAAGTTGCATTTTCCACCGTAGAATCTGGCAAAACCAAAATTGATTGCAATGGCTTTGCTGTGGCCGATGTGGAGATAGCCATTCGGTTCTGGAGGAAATCGGGTGACTACAGGTTCATCGGCTGGTCGTTCCTTCCGGACTGCCGCCAGCCAGCCTTCTTTGAACATAGCATCTGGGTCAGCCGGGGCCGACGGCGCTGCATTTGCAGGTTTTGCAGGTTTTGCAGGTCTCTCCACTGGTGGCTTTGCCTCCTTGGGTGGCTTGGGCTGCTTGGGCTGCTTGGGCGTCTTTTCTTTCTTGGGCTTCTTGTCCGTTATCGCATTTTCGGCTTTCTCCTTGACACGCTCCGGCAAGCTCATGCTTGACTGCGCAGATTCAGCCATAGGGCCAGGAAACGAGCGGCTTTCAAATGTTGCCAGAGTGATTTGGTGAAACCCCTTGATGGCCTAGGTAAATGGCACGTGAGATGAGATTAAGAGGCGAAAATCCCACCAAGTCTCGCGAAAACCCAAGACGTCTCTCCTGACGACGAGGATATAATTCACTATGACGTTGTTATCGAGAATGATCTGGAATCTTCCAGTTTGTAGAGTGTCGGCACGCCGTTACGAGTGAGGCTGGCAGTGGGTGAGTCAAACTTGTCGGGGAGATCAGATATGCCAAGAGTACTGAGTAGTTACCGAGTGAAACCCGCTCGCTGTGTGCCACCTCGCCACCTATTATCCCTTTTGTCCCTTGTGGCCCCGATTCTTTAAAGTTATCCGTTGACCTTCCTTTCCACCAATCGATCGAAGGGGCTGGTTCTAAACGAAGCGACCTGATTGGTTAAGTCAACTTACCACTTCAAAATTGGAAGATACTTCGACTGCCTGCATCTCCACGAGGAAATGATATAATCGGATGAATTAAGCGTGAGTTTGACGCCTTAAACGAGGCAAATCGAATGTTCTGAGTACAGCGTTATCAGCCCAGTACGTGAAAAGTTGCAGAGGGGAGAATGTGGGAGCACTACGAAAAAGGCGACGAAGTTCCAACATTTTTTAAGGTTGGCTTGGCGCTTAAGTAATACCCGCTCGCCTTGTTGGCTGCAAAGAGCGTCACTGTTTGACTGTTGTACTGGGTACACAGAACAGTTGTGGATCTATCTGCTTGATTGTGTTCTGTCTCCCTGGCTATTCAGAGAGACTCTGCCTGTTTATATACACTTTGGCCTGCAACCGAAAGAGTATTCCTGAAACCTCCTATTCGGTCGCCATCCTATCACAGATCAGCGAGAATAACGGTGTTGAGGTAAGTGGCGCAGTTGGCGAAACGCCTAGCGTCTCAGGTGGTTTGCACACAGTGGCTATCTCGAGACCCTGTCAACACAAGCCATCATTTCTAAATCCCTTTTTGCGATCCCGTTTGTTTCCCAACCCTTTGTATTAAGTAAGCTTGTCGCATGGTGGTGACTCAGCCATTTTACTACCCACAAACGATCACAATGCAATCAATCATATTGAACAACTAGTTCCACACCATACCCACAGCCTTTTCTTCTATACAAACTTGTCATATGGCTAGCCTGTCGAGCATGTTTCCGGACGTGGTTCGGGCGACGCTGCTTAGCAAACCATTTCAAGGCGAAATGAATGTCTGGGCCCTTACTCTAACCTCGCGGTAGAGGGTCAGCCAATGTATCTGCACACATCTCTATGGCCGAAAGTTACTCATGCGGCAACGTCGGCTGGAAGTGTAAAGCGCCTCCGAGCCCTCGGCGAGGGGCTGACCCAAGCCTAGCCTCAAGCAGGCAGAGTATGCCGAGCGGAAATGCAACCCTAACGCCGATTGGTTTTAAGGCATATAGATGCACTCAAAATGACCAGAAGAATGGATGGCACCAGGCTGAGGTCGACCCTGAATGGCAAACCTCGCCCTCGACCACTGTGTCTCCCTGTTACTCCCCTGACAAGCTCGTGGCAGGCAGCTCTTTATTTCTCGTATTGTTTTCAGGGTTCAACTGCGTCACGACCACGTGTCTGCAGCGAATATGCCGATGGGTGAGGATTCAGTTGATGGCGATGTGCCGAAAACATGTGTGGGAGCGGTGGTTGTCAATGAGGGACCAGACTTTCGCGTCGAAGTATGGTCAGCCTCGGCTGTGATCGCTAGTACTGCTTCTGACGGTGGGCTCGTACAGATCCAAGAGCTTCCGGTTCCCGAGATAGGTATAATCATCTGCCCTACGTGCCTCTACAGCAACACATCTTGCTTATCGCATGTCAGGACCCGATGAAGTCTTGATTCGCCTCAATGCCACCGGCATCTGCTAGAGCGACGTTCATTTCATGATGAACGACACCGGTCTTCCCAAAATGTCGTCGAACAGAGTGAGGTGCGCTGGACACGAGGGCGCCGGCGTCATCGTCAAGATCGGATCCAATGTACAAACGGTCGCCGTCGGGCAGCGGCCGACGGTCAAGCCAGTTAAAGACGTATGCCATTCCTGCGAAGATTGTAAAGCTGATCTGGATAATTATGGTACCAGGTCAATCTACTATGGGTTTTTGGTTGACGGTGAGTCGCCCCCTCGCAAGTCTGCCAATACTCCTATTTACTCGAAAATATGCTCATTTAAACAATATCTTGTGTCCGTGGAGAGATACATTACGTTAATCCCAGAGGGTGTCAGTGATTTTCTCGCTGCTCCTTTAATGTGCTCCGGTGCAACCATGTATCGGGCATTGAGGGCGGCGGGACTGGTAGCCGGTCAATGGGCGGCCTTTCCCGGGGGAGGTGGGGGGGCGTCGGCATCATGGGAATCCAGGTGGGAATGAGCCACGGTGCAACAATCCGAAAAGCTGATTTTCTTGTGCTTTGGACAGCTTGCCTTTGCTATGGGATTGAGACCGATAGCAATTGACAATGGAGAGTATGTCAACACATGGGGTTTCGCACTACAGCAGCGCAGACCCTGGCTGACAGTATGCAGGGAGAGGAGAAAGCTATGTCTCAAACACGGCGCTGAGGCTTTTGTCGATTACAAGGCAAGGGCAGAATGGCATTGAGTGATGTCCCTTTGTGTTGACGCGATAGGGTTAATTTCCTTAGAGCGACGAAGACCCTGTGAAATCGGTGCTGGATCTGACAAAAGGAGGAGCACACGCTGTGTTTGTGACGGGTCGGTGATTTCCCCCCTTCTCTCAGCAAAGGAGGGAAAAGTGGTTTACCTACTGGTTGAAAAAGCATACCAGGCATATTCAACGGCGCATAAATATCTGGGGAGGCGCACCGGAGGGAAAGTCATGTGGTCTGGCCGCCGCATTCCTTGTCGTCCCTCCTGTCTCGAATGCTGATTTTGTGTCTCTCCCAGCATTGCGCTGCCACCGACTGGCAGTTACCCGATCGGTTTTCCCCCGGACGCCATCATTCTACGGGGCCAGTCTTGGGTGGGAAGTTTGATCGGCAGCTTGGGAGACCTTGATATGGTTCTTGACTTCGCGAAGCGTGGTAAGCAAGTCATCACATCGCCCGTCCCTGACGAGTTCACTTATGCGCACTCGTGCCAGGAAAATTGACCTACGAGCCCACAGTCATCAAGCTGTCCGAGATGAATGATGCAGTCCAGAAGCTAAGAAGGGGGCAAATTTCAGGGTGACAAGCACTTCCCAACACCGATCCTATGTGTGGATCTGCTCAAATGACACTGACTCTGATCAGGGGTGTCGTCGTGGACTTTAATCGTCTATGATTTTTTTTTTTTTTTTTTTTTTT